CCCCCCCCCCCCCCCAAATTCTCATATTGTAAACTGATAATTCACAATATGAAACTTCATTTATATTTAGGTAGAAATGGCAGTTTTAAGGAAATGGTAGGAAAAAACAATACCTCCGAGTCTGAGTGGCTTGGCACTATATTCTCCATCAATTCCTCTTCATCGGAGGATTCTGAAAGAGATCAATAATTAATTGCTTGTATCAAAACATACATAAACTGTTCTATACCTGCATTTAATTTAATACATTTTAGTTATATTCTAGACAAGTTGCTGCATTTTGTTTTAGAAAATCAAGCTTCCTCATTTCATGATCAATACCAGTACGTACCATCTTGGTAAACCAACATTGCCGTCTGTGCAACTGTGGCCTCCTCCTCATCTGGTGTCTGAGACGTGATCTGCATAGAAAAATAAATGGCTAATTCAAGATGAAACTGGTCACTTTGCAGGATTTGCGTGCATGTTAAAGAGAGAAAGAAAGAATTTCAACCACTTGGAAAACAGACATGGTACCTAGATTCATAGATACAACTGACAGACTGTAGTATTATATAGAAAGGAAGACCCCCATTGTATACAAGCAACTCACTGCAGTAAAATGGACTATTAGCTGCGCCACAATATATAATATTATATAAGCATATGATGATTTCCTCATACCCACCCTCGGTTCCGGGGTGAAGGGATAAACAAATCATCATCAAGACTGAGGTAATTACCTGTTCACCTGATCAAGTCTGTCAGAGTGAACAGACGGAACTGTCAACAGGTAAATCAAATCTGTGGATCTATCACACATGAAAACTTTAAATTATTGAACTATTTTCAAATATAATATTCTTACTAAACTCTGATATGAAATATCTATCCTCACCTGCGAAAGCATCAGGTCTAATTTTCCTTGTAACCTTGACAACCTGCCCAGCATAGCAACCCTGGCGTCCATCATCTGATAGAGCGTGCTTAATGTGTCCACCAGTTCTGGAAACTGAAATAGCCATGGCACCCGAATTATTACATATTCTGCAGCGGTCAGCATCAGGCGTCTTACTGGCATCTTTTGAAAACCTCTATTTTAGCACTTCATATTCATTACTCATGTATGCAGTACTCAAGAATGATCAAAACTATTCATGATGACATCACCATAAGGAATTCAATTAATAAGCAATCCGACTTTCTCAGGGATAAAAATGAAGACAACTTTTGGAAAATTTAGTTGCCATGACCTACTTACTGTCATTAGATATGATGTGTGCATTGTCAGAACTGTCTTGATCCACTTGACCAATCTATGCCCACTGTTGATACAAGATTAAGAAATAGCATGAAAGAAAAGCTTCAAACATTACAAACAACAGATCTTTTAATAAAAAAATTCTCGTCATTAGAGACAAGGTCTTACTTATACTTCTTGAGGAGCTTATAAGTTGTGAAAATCCATTATCACTGTTTCAAATGGACGTAAAGAATCCAACTATCAGTACCTTTGAGAATGGCCATGCATTCTCCGCGACAGCTCCTGCACAAGTGGAATTATGACTGGGACTGGGAGTCGTCGCACTGTGTTCCTTATAATGTCATCATTTGTGTGTTGAAGTACATTCTGCAAACAAAAACGTGATTACTATGATATTATCATTATTGTTACCATTATCATAATGATCATTGCTTTTACTTTTCAGGAAATTACCTTACTAAAGGTGACTGAATTACTTTCTTGAAAAGATGGCTTTATTTCTTTACAATAATAAAAGCAACTGGAGTTCAATTAATTACTTACAAATAACAAACAACCAAAACTTTAACAACAAGATATATAACATTATATAAGAATATATATGTTGTGGATAATAAAAAAACTCACATTTAAGATTTTCTTATCCTTGCTCTGGAGGCCCTGTGCCAGCAGTGTGGCTAGTGTGTCTGCTTTGGGTGGATGACTGACACTCTTCTGCTCTGTGCTCTTCTCTATACTTATTGCATTCAGGCGATCCTCCATGGACATCTAGAAAATATATTCAAACCTTGACAACTATTTTATAGCCACTATTGCTTTGTAAATGTGAAAATTTTTTCAAAAGGTATAATCAAGGGGATGTTCATACTGTAACAGAGGGAAACTTATATTGAAATAAGCCGTTTTGGCTATACCTATAACAGCAAGTGTGACAACTTTGAAAGTAAAACTGTACATATAACTTCATCTATACAACTGATAAAGAATCTAAGTCCTGTGAAAAATACCATCTTCCTCAGATACCTCATTTACAGAAGACTTCCTCTTGTTTTTCCTCTTCCCGGCCTCAGAACTCAATGTTGGAGCTGCAGGAGCCATGACCCCCGGGGAAAGCACCGTGACATCTTCAGAAGTACCTGGTGTTTTGATTTTGGACACCCCTGTATCTTGCCTCAGCGCCAGTTTGGAGGGGTCCTCTCTTATTAAACAGATGTCAGAGTCCTCCGACCTGTACGGCTGAAATAATATTTTCAAACTTTACTAAATCAACGGAGACTGCTGGAGATTTATGATGATCATGAAAAGGATGTTTTTCACAATTAAAGACAATACTCAATAGATATTTTCAATACAAGCTTAACTAATATTTTTCTATTAACAAGATGTTTTTTTATACTTTTAGAAAACTGTTTAGGTAATTTTGAAAAAGTATACACCAGTGTGTTGAGTAAAGTTTTATGAACTCTTGTCAAGATGTAATCAAAACAGCAATAAATAAGAACAATGACGTCTCCACTCACTATTTTTTCAAAAGTTGGCTTCAGAAAGTTCCCATGACATATTAAGATCTGCTGTTCCCTCGTGTTGGTGAACTGGGCCGCTAGGAGTGGGATGGGTCTTGGCACCTCAACCTCACTACATGATGTGGCCACCTGGACCGACAATTTTGGCTGGAGTGGCTTTTTACATTTTCTGAAATTCAACATTTGCTTTGAATTAATTTTTTCACTGTTGCAATGGACAGTATTCACTTAATGTTCAAAGCAAAAATTTATTCCAAACTGCTTACTATCAAAACGAAAATTTGTTAACCCTTTTTTCATGAACCAAAAAGATTTTTTTAAAGGAATGTCTGACACTTACCCATTTAAAACATGTTCATATATCACAAATTGACCATTCTTTGTCACAACACCTAGTAAAAGAGGCTGGAATAAAAACATAAATATTGAATAAAAATGAAAATTGTGCAAAAATAACCTATATTATTTACGTTACATAAAAGCTATATAATTAAACAAAACACTTTAATATACCAATAATTGAAATTTTGATTTAAAAAGAGCTACTTACATCTTCTCTACTTGACATTTTAGAAATATCCATTGCAACAGGTTCATCTGGTAAAGAGAAGACTGCTAAAGAATTTTTATCCTTTGAGGATTTTTGTATTTGCCTGGAAAGATATAAATTAGTTTTCCGTCAATGAAACCAACATGATTTAAAAAAGAGGAGACATTTACCAACTAAGATGCATGGTCACTACACAAAATTATTAAAATAAACTATATAAATTAAAGCAAAAATCTCTAAAGCAACTTACCATGCATTTATTAACCTATCATTTAAAGCTGCTGACAAGAAGTATGTGTTGTATACTGATTCTAGCACATCTCCAGCAGCACCATTTTGCTCTAAGGATTGTGGGACACACAACAACCTTATCACTTCTGTGGCATGACCTGTAAATGTCTGAAATTAAAAGGGAAAAAAGTTTAATTTACACTTATTTTTCTTCAAATATTTGTCAAAACTATGAAAATGCATTTGACATCACCAAAAAATTACTTTCCAATTCAAATTATCATCACTGTTGGTATAAATTGCACTCAAGTAGATTTTAAACAGCCATGTTTTAATCCTGAGGCAGAAGTCATACTTTTAAAACTTGTCTTGTGAGAAGGTCCCACAACTTGATGGATCTCCCTGCTGATAACAAAGCACTTTCTCCAGGACAAAGACAGATAGAATACACACTGCTTGTGTCAGCTTTCCATTTGCTGTAAAATATACAGGAATGTATTCATGATCAAAATAATGGTAAAATATTTATTTTCAAATCCAGTCAAATGTAATTCTATAGCTCAAGTCCTAATATGCCTTCATCAAAATGCAATAAGAAAATGCTTCAATTTTAAATTAAACTATTAACATACAGTATAACTCTGAAATATAAAAGTATATTAGCTATCCTCCCACAACAAACAACATGCCATGCACACAGTATTTTTCCAGCCTTCTTTTATCAATCAAGCAATGCATCCCAGACACAAAGATACCAATGGTTTCACTTACTGTTTTACTTTTCCTTTCGACAAATTCCACTCTACTATGTGTTGATCACTTGAGCAACTGTAAAGTGTACTTTCTTCACTGTGCCAGCAGATACCATGCACTGTGTCACTATGACCACCATCCTATTATACAGAAAACAAAAACCAGGTAAAACAATTGCCCAATATCTGACTAGCAAGTTTCTGAGAGCTCAGAACAAATACACTCTATAAAACACTTGTTGTTAATCACATCATGATTCTTACTTTATATATTTTTCACTGAAAATAGAAAGTCCAGGCAAAAAAAAAATCATTTCATTGTTTTCTATTTTACTGCACAGCAGTGAATGAACCTGTCAATTCCAAACGGGGTGAAATTTCTGCCAACCATTTAATTCCATAGCAATTATAAAATATGCCAAAATAATATTTTTTATTATCTGTGTTGTCTTACCAGCTGTGTCTGTAGATCTCCTGTGACCATACTGTAAAGAAGAATAGAACCAGATGCTGTCCCCAATGCTACCAGATCCACACTTTCCACCAGATCTGACTGCTTTGATCTCCTCTTTTTCTTCCTTGGAGTTTCCTGACGGTTGAGTAAAAAGAAAAAGTTGATGAGGAGCTACCTCGGTATATAATATACCAGTTAAAAATGTCAAGCTCCTCCAGTCAGGCCCCTTAAATATCCATATTAAGTAACTTTCAACATATCAATTTTCACAATGAGTCTGATATATATTTGTTTTTACCCCTAATTTAAACATCTAAGTACAATTTGAGATGTAGCAGTTATTATGTATTACATGTGGTATTTCTGAAAACTGTGACACTGTTTCAACCAGGAACAGCTATGATTGTTTCGTGTTGAGATGACAACTTATTAACATTAAACAGCTCTTTCATCCCTGGACAGAAATTAGGCTGAGAAGCACCCGATACATATATGCAAGCAAGCATGGGGAATAGAGGAACTAACAATTTACCATTAATTCCCTAATATCAAAATATTCTATGCCTTATTCTAATTAATGTGTTTTGGATGCGGGTCATGGATATCTTTAAACGGAGGATAACTTTTTCGCGATTTATCTATTACTGTAATAAATTGTGGACACGGCTGTCCCACGCGTTTCAACTTTCACTCTCAGGGAAAACACTCACCGGCGATGAACGGCGAACTGGACCCCAAGCCAGACACGTACAGGTCGAAGACAGATGAGAACTTGGTGTATACTCATGTTTGGGCAGACCCGTGGCTGTGTCCCATATTTTGAGAGTACCGTCAGGGCTAGAATACGCTAAATATTCCCCATTCGGTGCAAAAGCAACAGGCCCCATAGTCGCCATTTTCCAACACGTGTGGTAATCTGCGCACCTGAAGTGCGCATTAACTGTAAACTTCGCCTAAATCAACCCCTTTCTGATAATTTTAGGTGGTCACTTAAAATTATCAATGAAATGAATAAACAATCGTATATGTATGCACATTACTCTGTGAAAAGATCACCATAAAACGTCTTAGTATGTTTCAAAAACATTATTGAAAATCTAGGTCAATTTTGGGTCTCCTCTTGAAAACTCTCTTGATGTGGAGGCTGGTCAGATCATGTGACTTTAACTTCCAGCGTACGACGAAGGCAGATCTTCGCTGACAAACATATTAGATTGACGTGTAACTGACTTTTGAATAGAGGTTGACTGCCCTAGTACTTCTTTTGGGGATGGATTCTGAGAGTACTAATGACGAGGAACCCCTTATTAGCCGAGATGACCCTCCAAAGGATAGGTAACTTGTGTTGACTAGTATTGCTAAAATAGTTAAAAGTTATTAAATTTCAGCGAGGATCAGCTGTCAGACTCATACTGATAATGATATAGATCATTGTCCAGTGGTCGACTAACATTGTGTCTCCGTTGAATTAACTTTGATTTTGAATATCATAAATATTTCCTGTTTCTTTGCAATGGTTACACATAATCAAAACAGGTATTGCAGTGCCAATGTATCTTTATTCGAGTTTTGGAGCTTTTTTTTTCTTTAATATGATCATTGATGCATTGCAGATTTAGAAAAAATTGAAGTCATCATCATATATAGTGTTTGATTTAACATTTACCACTTGTCATGTTCTTAATGCTCCTTAAGTACTCTTTTATTAACATTTGTGTAACCATGAACAAAACTTCATTAATCTCGCCCACTCCATCTCTGCTACATGTATCTAATCAGTTATTTCATGTTTGTGTGCTGGGATTAGTGTATTTGATATTTATAAACATGCTAGTGATTCTGCCAATATTTCCTACAAAATCTCTCTTTGATTGTAATTTTTTGCTATAGGCTCTAGTTTTCTTATGTGAATGTATTTATAATATAATATGTTTACTATAGTATATTTCTTTATCTTTATTATTTTACAATGTTTATATCCGTTTCAGATTCAATGCAGTATATTGCATATTTTACATTATTGGCATTGCCACTCTACTTCCATGGAACTTCTTTATTACAGCAAAACAGGTAAACTATTTATACATTCTTTTGCACATTCTTCGTATGATACAGAGGTCTGAAGGATTAACAGTTTGTTTTCTTTTGAATTTTTCTAAAATGGTGAGAAATATCCACATGATGTTTCTGAAAACTAAACTCTCTGTCCCTCTAAAAATAAGACTTTGAGCTCATGGTATCATTAAAAAGTTATAATGTTCTCAAGACTTGTTATCTGTAGGTAAGATAGCATCTGTCACAATGACCCACAGGTGTGTGTCTTAAGATAGCAGCTTATTTAAAAGAAGGCAGTTTATATATATTTATTATTATTTTTGTTATTATTATTTTTTAAAAATTTTATTGATAATCATGGTCATTTGAATTTGAGTGGTTCTTCTTACTGTAATTATGGCATTTTTATATACATGCACTTATTAAAAAACCTTTGGCCATGTCTTAAACCCATTAATTCATCTTTATCCTTCTTATCAGTGTAATGTCAAAGCTTTATGCATAATGGTGTCAATAGCTGTATGAATGAAGACGGCAAATGTAGAAATATGTCAATCAGTTAATTTTCACACTAGAGAGACATAAAATTGAAAAAAAAAAAGAAATTAAAGGAAGTGATGAAATTTGAAGGCTCAATAAGATATTCATAGCTGCAGGTGACAGTTATATATATTAGTAAGTAGCTGAATAAGAAAGGTGATTTTAAACTTTGTGGAGGCACAGTGTTATTTGTTTATATGTTATCTATTAAGTATTTATTTGTGTATCATTGGCTTTGGTAAGTGTAATTTACCTAAAAGTTACTGAGATCTATATTATGATTTATGATGTGCCGTAAATGCCAAGAACCTGTTGCCATGTTGATATTGCCCCCTTTACTTTATATATAATCCAGTGATGACAGTTGAATTTGGAGTGAGTCATTGACATGGGCCCCTTTCAAATAGAGTCATTTCAGTGCATTTTTCCAGTAGAAATGCACAAAATTATGCCTCTGGCAGTAGTCAAAACACATTCTTTTCTGCTAGTTATCTAGATATATTTGGTTTAAATATAAAGCAAAGTAGCTTACTAAAATGTATATGTTTGTATGACATAATTTATATATTTAAAGGAAACAGTTTAAAACGATGCTATAAGATTTGATTTTTAAAGTCCTTCAACCTTTAAGTTAATGAAAAGTTAATGAAATTTAACTACTAGTAATGTAAAACATGAAAGTTGAGAAAATCTTAAATCATAAATGTTCTGTGTAAAATATATATTGTTTTTTATTTGAATTTTAGTACTTTGACTACAAGCTGAGGAATTTGACATTCACCAGCCTGAATGATTGGGAGAATCCATTAGATGAAACTTCTATGCAAATTCAGTTTGAAAACTATGTGTCAATATGTGCAATGGTCCCAAACATTCTGTTTATGTTCCTCAATGCAGCACTGACCAAAGTGTAAGTTTTTTTAAGGCTGATTTGACACTTGTATATATAATTACCCTGCCATGATTTTAAAGCAGCTGCATAGCTGTATTAGTGTGAAGGAATGACGTGATTCAATAATTGGTGAAGATTTTAGCCAAATCTCTGAAAACTTAGTCAATTTAATGTTTAATACCTTAATTCCAATATGAATTAATAAATGAATATTTGAAATTTAGAGTTATAGTGTAGATGTTTTTTTTTATTTATTTCAACAAGTGCTTTAAGAGCAACCAATTAAGTTGGAGATAAATGATACTAATGTATTTGTTTCACTCTCCTTTCTCCTAAATTTTCAGTATTTCTGCGAAAGTTCGTTTGGTGTGTTCCTTCACGGTTATGATCATAATGTTCATAGTAACTATTGTGTTGGTCAAAATAGACACTGATACATGTAAGTTTTGGGGTAAAAAATATGGAACAATTTATTTAATTTCAGTAATTATAATTAAATGTGATATACTTTGTAACAGACATGATATAATTTTTGGTTGAATAATTTATCAGAAAATGTAGTCAGAAAGTAGATCAGCTTGATTTCATATTGCTTAAAAGTGAAATAATATCAAATCAATAAACAAATTAAAAAATAATAATGATAAATCATCCATAGATTTGAAAAGTGGTTTTTGTGATAAAACCATGACTAGTAAGGCCTCCCCCCTTTTACATTACTCACTAACCATATATGGGGAAGACTACTAGCTTAGTATTAATTTAAAGATTTGTTGGGAGAATAAGATTCTGATCGGTGAAGTTTCATCTGTGATAAAGTTCTAAGTTTGACTAAAAATTTATGCTTATTTATAGCAAAACGAAGGATTAAACTGGTCTGAAATTCACATTAACAAGTTAATGTTTAACCTATTATATCAGCTTATGTAAGTTGTTGATTTGTTATACAGTGTATATTGATATTAGATACCAACATCTTTATCATTTCTTTTTTCAGGGCAAACAGAGTTCTTTATTGCTACACTTGCAAGTGTGGTGTTCCTAAACAGTAAGTCTTTTCATAATTTTTATTTTTATTTTTGTAAAATATGCATTTTTTAAGGCTAAAGGAGGGCAATAAACAAATCATTATTAATAAAATGTGTAATCCGTCAAAAATTAGGCCTGCTTCAACTGTAACAATAAATGATAAAAACCCTGCTTATACTTTGTAGTGGGTAGCTCTGTTCTGCAAGGAGCATCTCTGGGGTTAGCTAGCCTGTTTCCAGAGGGCTATACACAAGCTGTCATGGGAGGAATGGTAATGGCATATCTTCATTTTTCTATATTTAAAATGAGAATGGTTAAAGGTACTTTCACATTAAAGCAATAATAACTCTTCGTTTCGGCCAAAAAATGAATTTTCCTGGAGTAAACAACAATTTTCCCATACTTACCAATGGTTAATGAATCCATTTTTACATTCAAAGTTAGTCCCTGGTTTTTTTCTAAAAAGTTTGGTTTTTTGTTAAAATCTCTTAAGAGATTTTAACGGAGTATAGACATCAGTGGAGGTCACGTGGTCTAAAGACAAGTTCAAATATCAGAATAAAAACTATAACTGCTGTTTTTGTGGTAAAACAGAATATATTATATTTCTATGAGTTATTCACAAGGTTTTTATTGTGAAATATAGATCTCATACGAAGAGTTATTATCCCTTTAAGGTGCACTGAGTTTATGGTTTTGGCTGTTTTTCCTTTAGATTTTTAATCTTAGGGTAACCACAAAAACTGAAGGTCAAAATGTGTTTACAATCATTTTTACTGCCTGGTTAAAGCTGCTTTGGTGTTCATTGAATTTTATCACCAAAACAGAATTACAAAACACAGTTGGAAAATATATCAGTCTGCTATGAATGACTTAAAATGATTAAAATTTTTATTTTTCTCAGGCAATGGGAGGCACATTTGCAGCTGTGGCTAATGTGATTTCTATTGCAGCAGGTAGCAGTGCCACTCAGAGCGCATTTTATTATTTCATGTTGGCAGCAATAGTGTTGATTATTGCCTTAATAGCATACCTGTCCCTTCCTTTATTGGTAAGTGTGTGTGTGTGTGTGTGTGTGTGTGTGTGTGTGTTTTGCTATTAATAACTACTAATGTGATGTGTGATGATAAGTTGTACTACCATGAAAACATAAATTAATGCAGTGTCAAGAATTTACATCTCTAAAAGAATACACTAGTATCACCGAATTTTGTCATTATATTTTTAACCCAGCCAAACACAAGATACCTGTATTTCATTCAAAGACAAAGGTTATTTTTTTCTTTAACTTATTTCAGAGCTTGTTATGCTGAGAATTTCCTTATTATTTTTCAGAAATTTGCAAGATATTATTTAGAAATTAAAGGTGAGATCTTCATCACATTATTATGAATCTAGTTGAATTATCACTAAAAACAACTAATGTTTGTATTAATGCACTTTGTATCTTATCTATTACATATGGCTGTAGAACACATTTAATATCTTGTAGTGATAACACTCCAAATGTCTGTGTTTTCTTATGCTTGTGTGGCTTGTGCTTGTTAGTTTAGGTGGTCATTTGTTTTACTAACCTTGTACATATATATAGTATATGTGTGAATGCGTTAACTATCAACTTAAAGAAGCTTTTGTTCCTAACTCTATGTTTGCAGTAAGAAAATATTATTATTTTCTTTTTTTTTTGCCTATATTAACAACCAAATTCATTTGGCTTACAGTAAATTAAATGTCAACTAACTGAAGGGGAAATAAGAAAGAAAAAAAAGAGAGTGAGCCATGTATAGAACAGTTTAACTCTTTCGTTTAGATTATCCACTAAAAGAAACAGTAGAAAGCATAGAGCCCCAGCCTAACGGTGATGTAATGCCTATTAACTATGATGGACCTGAAGAAAGTAGGCTTTTCTTTTTATGCATTTGTCTTTTAGTGCATGATGATATAGCATTTATTTTCTTTATTTCTTAGATAACTTGTTCCTGTTAATATTCTTCTGAAATTTGTTGCACATGTGAAAATGTTTTCAGTTTTAACAGAGTAAATAAAGTGCCTTTTTTTCAATGCTCTGCATTTTCTGTTAAAATAATCAATTTCCTTAGTTACTCACATCTTGTATTTGTCTTATGTTATATTTTAGATGATGAATCCCTGGAAAGTATAAATGGGAGCCAGCCCATAGTAGATCATACTGTTCATCAAAAGACTCATTTTAGAATAATTCTGAAAAGGGTAAGGTTTATGGCAGATCTGGTATTTTCTACGTACATAGATAATTATTTGTTTTTATGGAAGTATTTATATTATGCAAGGAAAATATGTTTTGCTGAATAGGAAATAATCAGTTAAGATATTTTCTGTAATTAAAATGATTCAAAAGCTAGAACTCAGGTGTGGTTTGTGTGATATTTAATCATGGAGACTTTGGTAACTTAATTTACATTTACCCAGTTTAATTGTAAAAGAATGCTAATTTTTTTAAAAAGTTCAAATAAAATTCCTCTTTATATTACAGGTATGGGTGCTTGGAACATCTGTTTTATTGGTTTTCTTTGTCACGTTATCAGTTTTCCCAGCCATCATTTCTCACACAGAATCGGTGGCAGGGCCCTCTGAATCTCTCTCATTAAATGGTAAATACCTTAACTAGTTTGCTCATAGTGATTTTTTTTTTTACATTTATGGTTTTTAACATTGTTTTCTTTTTTAACAGTCCAGTCAAATATAATCTTTTGGAATCTCTGTCATTAAATGGCAAGTACCTTATCTGCTAGATGAAATGCAAGAACTGATTTTTTATTTTTTTATTTTTTTGCAGATTTATGATTTTCAAAATTGTTTTTAACAATCACATTAAAGGCAATCTTTCCTTGTCTCATGGATGCCTTTTTTTCCTTCATTTCAGGGAAGTATTTCACTCCAGTTGTGTGTTTTGTATTATTCAATCTTGGAGATCTTACAGGCAGGACAGTGGCTGGATGGGTACAGTATGTGAGTAATTTGAATTTATAATTTATAAATCATTTTCACGTGCCAGTGTCGGGTCTGTAATGAAATAATTTACATGTTTTTTGTTTTTTTTTTTACTATTTAAAAAACAATGTATTTAGGTCTAGCATTCAGATTACTTTTTGAACTCCATTATCATGTTGCTAAAACAAGAGATGTAAGTACATGATGTTCTTGATAAAAACCATACATAAATAGATTTTTCTGGTTGTGATAAGAAATTCACCTTGTTATTGCCCTTTAGCAAAAGGAGAGATTGAAGTTTAGAATTCATCTTGTATTTTTTTTTCAGCCAAAAGAGAAGAGTGTTTTGTTACCCATTCTGACAGTGCTTAGAATAGGATTTATTCCACTCTTCCTCTTGTGCAATTTCCAACCCAGAAAACATGGGGTGCCAGTTGTATTCGACAGCGATGTGTATCCAGTAGTTTTCATTCTAATTTTTGCTGTGTCCAATGGATATCTTGGGACATTATGTATGATATACGGCCCCAAGTAAGCATTGTTACTGTTTACTTCTTTTCCATTGTCTGTTCAAAGTTTTCTCATAGCGTTTCTTTTAATCTGCAATTGATATTTAATGTGAGGGTAATATATGCATTTCATAGCACTCTGAAAGCCTATTCCATTTTGTAAAATAATGACCTAGCATGAAGAAGAGAAAAAGATTGCAAAAGTGGAATAATAATGACATTACGTATTAGAAGAAAAAAAGTCTTTTATTGTAGTAAATTGTTAAAAAACAATTCTAAAATCTATTTTCAGGCATGTCCCTGCAGGAGATATGGAGGCAGCAGGTGCTATCATGTCAGTGTTCCTCACAGTGGGGCTGGGCCTTGGATCACTCTTCTCCTTTGCTCTAATCAAATTGGTCTGAAGTCCATATTCTCAGTTCTCATTTGCAAAACCCTGGATTTTCACCTCTCTGCAGGCTTGCCATTTGGTCGTGTATTCACACTAAATTGCATAGCAGTGGATCAGTTTGCATCAATTTAGATTTTAGTTTGTTTCAATTTTGTATCAGTTTCACCTGGATTTTGAGAGTAGTGAGTGAGATGTTAACTTACAGTCTCCATTACTGAGGTGGGTTTAATTTGTAATACAGAGTCTACTACAGACCAAAACTCAGGGTTTGTTATTTCAAATATGCCAATTATATGCCTGCCATAGAAAAGGGGTCCAATTTGTCATTTCATCAGGAACAGCCATGGGTTGTTGGACACCTTTGACATAGTTTCTCAGAGAAGTTCTCCACATGGAAGCATTTATCGAAGCAGATTCGTATGCTTACATCATGAGGTCCCACTATTTAAGACTGGACCACTTAAAAGTGCGTCTTTTTGACTGGGACTCTTTGCTGCACTGAATTGAAGTCTTCCAGTTACCAATTAACAATTACAGGTTTTTAACTGAGCAGCAAAGTAATATGTTTGTAGATTTTGATATACTTTATTCTTACAATTATGAATTCCTCTTTTATGAAATCATTTTGTAGAGAAATTTGGATCTTTTGATAGTATTCATTGTACATACTGAGGCATACTTTCTCTTGTGAANATTTAACACATCAAAATTACAAATTCAGCTTCTTCATTTAAATCACAATTACATGTTTAAGTCTGTATTTTGTACACATATATATATTTATGTGCGTGTGATGGCAATCATGACTATAAATGTGCAGGTGTACTTTTACAAATAACTACTAGTATATACATCAGCAGACATACCCATTTCAGACAAAGCAGCAGCATGACAAACATAATGCAAAGTAAAAATAAAAATAAGCTTTACATTTGTAGTCAAACATTAAGTTATCAAAATTACTGCAGCAGATATTTATTAATATATCATGTATTATTTGATGTAAATGCAATAGCACTTTTATTAGAATCGGGAGGGATTTAGTGACATCAGTCAATAGAGAAATATCTAAAGATTTTACAAGAACCATTGGATACAGGCACTTTAACCCTGGTAAATACATCGCAAAGGAATTTGGTACACGTACATCATGAATCCTCTGGATTCATTTTACTACAATAAAATTTTCTAACTTGTCCAGGATTTCCCAAAACATTTTCTCAAGTAGCAGACTTAACTTGTCTACCACTACCACCATTACTACTCGCTTCAATTTTTACCTCAAAGAAATGTTTATCACTTCTCAAGATTTTTTCAAGTAACAGTCTCAACGGCTCTGCTGTCTTCCTGGAAGGCCGTTCTGACATCTGGAATGCCGAGGACGCCATCTTGGCCATCTTTACCTCCCACGTCTGCCTGGGTCAGGAAGGTATGGTCAGCATCGTAGTCTTCTTCTACAGACCTGTAACAAGGGCAGAGGTGTAGGCATTTCTCAAAATTATGAGTGAGAATAGAAGGGGTTGAGAATGGGATTTGACCCTGAATTTCAAAGGCATGGTGGTATGACTCCCCCCCAACACCAGTACATGGTAAAAATTCTCGGTAAAAATTTGTTGTTGGTGGAGGAGAGATGGTGCCAGCACTCAGGCTTGAGATTTGTTGAAAAGACAAAACAAAAACTGATGGTGATTACAAATGGTCAAAACTGACTACTGAACATTTGACATGCCCTGATTAGATTTTAGCATTAACAGATACTACCCGGTACAAAGCTGTTTTGGTTTACACTTACTGCTGTGTGATGCTAAGCATCCCGTGTCCAGTTTGTATGGCAGGAAATGCGGTGCGGGATCTCGTGGGTGTGGCGGCAGCTTCTTTCTTGGTTCCGTTCATTTTGGCAAACAAAGTCCTCAGAACCTTCTCTTTCTGCTCCCAGGTCAGGTCACTAATGTCCACTTGGCCTGACAAGTCCAGCCTACAAAGATGAATTAGAACTTTTATCTATCTATCAATTTATCTATTTATGACTTAACTATCTATCTGTCTATCTACTGGTATGCCTTCAGAGACGGCCCCCCAGCTAATTAAAACCTCTCACAGATTGAATAATCTTATGCAACATCAATAATGTACTCAAATATTACATGAGGTAATAAAATTTTGAAATACTGCCAACCTATGAATTATGTATGGTATACGTATGCTACTGAATGACAAAAATATACATATACACCAATGCTTGTATGTTTATACTCTTTGGTTACTGCCTGATCTATTTAGTATCTAATAAGTGGGATATAACATGTACCTGTGTTGCAAAAAAGAGTTACATTATCCAGTCAAATGGTTTACAGTTGTGTCAAATGAGACATTTTTCTTAAATATTTGATATAATTTCGTAGGCTGAAAATGAATCACTCAGATAAATTAATGATCTCACTAACTATTATTCATTAATGAGTAGCTTTAATTAGACTTTTTGACTATCCACCCTTTATTTGTACTGTAGGTAATACATGTGACAAACAACAAAATAGTCAAAATATTTCACAATTTGGATTATCAATACTTTCCTGGTTCAACAAAAAACATGCTTTATATAATAATAACAGTAATGAAATATTTATGTAGACAGAATGTGGGTTTGTGTTTGAGCTATATCTCTGCTCTTGTTAAATAGATTAAAAGCCAAAGAGCTGGCACAGATGGAACTGAAGAATTACAAAATGGGTTTTATTTCTGATACATCTTCCATTTTGTTGGATTCGTCATCATCATGGGTAAGTTTCTGAAGAATTCAATTTAATTATAACATGCTGTTTTGGATCATAGAATAAATCAGAGTGATGTCAAAGGTATTGTTAAACATATTCAGTAATTATTTAGTAAAAATCCATGATACAATGAAGGGTTGAAACTACTTTAACTCATTCAAGTCATCTGCTAGAGCCATTAGCATGGCAACCAAACTAAAATTTGCCTGTTTTACATATATATATATATCAAAATGTCACCAAAATTCAACATCAATGGAATAGTAATGGATTCTTGATTTCATGTAGAACAAATTTGTAAATCTTGCCACTAAGAAGAAGCTACACCCAAGGGGGGGGGGGAGTTAAATTAACACAAAAGAAGCGCAATTTATAGGATGGGGTATAACAATTCAAGATTGAAACATACGGGACCTGCAGGTATAACCTTGGGCAAGCAAGTACAACATTCACATTCTACTTACTTTTTGTCCTGTCTGGTTTAAAATGACCACAAAATACATGTATGCGTGTTAGTAATTTACAGAAATAAAAGAAAAGATTTCAAAATACTTAAAGAGGTTCAGCAAAAATTAACAACATCATATACAACACATATTTCAAGAAATAACTAAAAGAATTAGTATGTAATTCCAACCCAGACTAACACTATGGCTCTGTTGTCATCAGCCAAAACTGGTTTGATCAAAGTGACATCACAAAGTGGACAGAAGGTTGATTGTAGCATGTTATGCAGAAACCACAGTATTGTTATGGTAAACCTGAAGTAATTGCAATCAGCTCCTCACTTAAACTGAATGTTCACTGATTAACTGATTGCATTACATCCTACAGAAGCCTGCTGCATGTACTGTTTTGATCAATGCTTTCTCTCTTCTTTCACTTTGTAACACGGTGAATTTGGACCAAAACAAGTTCTGATGTACAGAGAGAATATTTGTATTACTTACAATCTCTGAGCTGCCTCCAAGTCTTGGAAGACACTGTTGGTGCTGTTTTCAGATTTGTGGAACGTTCTGATCTTTGGATATTCTCCTCTTCCAGCATGGGCCGCTAACATTCTTTGTTGGTAGGCAGCATGGGCATCCTTTTTGTATTGTAATCTAAAACGAGATGATAAACCATTAGTCTTTAGCATCTGCCAATTATCTCTTTCAAATAATTCTGTTATATTGCAGTATCTCAAATTTCTAATAAAACCTCTGTGTTAGTTCCTGATCCAATTAAGAATGGGATCATTTATATGTCATTATTTTCTACCAGATTATCATGTACGTGCTATGTCACAATCTTGTATCTCTTTAGGTAGTGCACTATTTATATTGATTTGACACAGGGGAGTGGTATGCATATGGGAGGGGAGGGGAAGGGATGCTTAGGATGTAGTCCTTGGCTTATATATACACCTAAGTATTCTAATATGATATGAAATGAAAGGACTGTGTTTGACTGGTAATATAAACATGCTGGATATCACAGTTTTCGCTATAATAACAGACTGAGTGTAATACTGAGGAATAAGGTGCATGCAGGCATTGCTGTACATTATTGGTCGTTATTGGGATAATTTTACTTACTGTGGAATCCGTTTCCTCAAACTGTTCATGAGAATATAGATTTTTAAAAACTATAATCAATAGATTTAATCTGTATTCAAAAAGCATACAGCTTTTATACTTTGCATTAGGTGATAGAGATATATCTAGGGAATCAATAACTTGAATTTGTAGGAAATATGAAAAGATGGCATCACAGCATAAAATGAATATATGACTTTGATAACATTATATTTTATATGTTAGAATGTGGCAAGGAAAAGAAACTTGAATGAATGAAAGAATGCATGAAATTAAATATAAAAGCTGTAACAACTTACTGGTTTGCAGCTATTTCAGATTTCACATTTTCCAGTGCTTCCAAGAAAAATCGCTCAATCTGTGTTCTTTGGTCTAGAATGTTTCTAGCTAGTCTTTTAACTTTGTTCATCTCTTTTGTTTTTAATTCAACAGTCCTTTGGAGTTTGACAATTTCATTTTTGCTGGATTCATTTTCTATTTGAAACTTTTCAATCAAGGCTTGTCTGTCTCGCTCAAATTCCCTAACCACATGGCTCAGTGACTGTTCCAATGTCTGGATTTTTTCTTGTTGCTGGAAAAAGAACACAAAAATTATCATCTCAACATTACCTAAATAATACCTTTTTTTGATAAATGGTTTTGATTAGCTGGTCAATTAGTAAATTAAAGTAAAATAACTGCAAAATCTTGTTCGAGTTTGGCAAAAATATATGTAACCTAAACTGGCCAAATATCAATGAACCTATATGTTGTGATTGTCATTGCCATCATTACCACATGGCATAATATTAACCAACATATATTACACAAGAAAGTTATTTACAAACAGGTGAGGAGGGAGTATATTAAAATTTTTGATCTAAAGCACTGTATGCCAACCTCTTTCAAAGCCTGTTTTTGTTGCTTAGATTTTATGACTTTCTCTTGCACAAGAGCTTCGTGCAGTTCTTTTTCTCCTGTCAAATGCTCGTTTTCCTCCTCCAGTTTTTTCTTTCTAGATTTAAGCTCATCACTTTCTTTGACGTGAAAGCCCAATGCTTCTGACAGCCTCACGTTTTCCTTGTAGATTGACCTTGTAGTTTCATCAAGATTTCTAAAATAATAATAATAATAATTAATAAAGAAATAAAAATAAAATAAACAAATATAAATTAGATGTGTCAGTATAACCTATTTCATTTTTGTATGCTGAATGTTGTTTTATTTCTTATAAATTTTTGAGAAGTAAAATTTAACCACTACATTGTTCATGTAAATAGCAATGCAATGGCCTACATATGTATAAAACAATTCTGTAAGATGCATTAATTATTTAATAATATATTTACACTATAGCTTCCAGGTGAGCTTTCTCAGCAAGCTCTGCAATTTTCTGGTTAGCCTCTTGTTGCAACCGCATCTGAAAATTAAAAAAGGACATTATCAAAGCATTTCTTCCCATTTACATTGTCTTCTTCTGGATGCATCTTTTATGTAAAAACAGACTTTATTATCCATTAAAATTTGTATAGCTCTTTAATATTATCATTATCAAATTATCTAATATAATATACAACAAATATTTATAACAAAAACACAGCAAATACCTTTTCCTCAAAGAATTTCTGCTCCATTCTTGTCAGTGTGGTTTTATGCTCTTTGTTTGCAACAAACATAGCATCTTTAATCTGAAAACAGGTAGAAAATAAGAAAATATAACCCAATGAACACCATAAGTCTGTACAAATTAATTGCCCTTTCATGCAAAATGCATAATCCATAGCTGTCTTACAGCATAAATTATTATTAAAATCCAAGTAGCACATTTTATTTAATTATGCATAGCCATCTACCAATACATCTAGGCCAATGTACAGAGATCAGTAATGCGTTCACAGAACTATACTCAACAGAAGTAAGTACACAGTAATTATCATTATTTTGTGTTGAGAATTAGATACTACTATAGATACTATGTTTTCCTAGAAACTTTCATTACAAAAATTCAGCTGTAGATCAACCATACAAAAATGAAGATGCTTTGGTTGGTGTATGTATTGTATACACACACACACATACACATACACACACTGGGAACTCTATCAAATCATTTGATCTGTCTTTGGAGAACATCTACTGACAGTCTGTCTCACAGGGCTGCCACTTGGCAGTGACAGACTTTAAATGCTGATGTCTGTAGAGAGTGGTTAAAACTGTGCGGAGATTGCTTTGACCTTTTACTAGGAACATTGGTCACTTATATAGACTAACTGATCAAATGGCTTATACATGAGATGGTCATAGATGAGATTATATAGTAAAGTACACGGGTGGTTGACTTTGGTCAGAAATATGGATGGGTTCATATAAATTGCAGGAACCATGATTATAACTGCATTTTGCTTGAAGACCCACTTAAACATTTCATCTCAAGTCTTGGCAATATTAAATGACTTAAAATATTTACTTCTGATATTCACTTTTCTTGACAGTTTATGTGGGATAACTATAAATAGAGTTCAGGCATAGCCCACCTCATCCAACTCTCTCTGCATCTGAGCTCTTTTCTTTCTGAATTCTTTAACCATTTTCAGTTCTTTCTGGAGTACTTCAATATCCTTATTTTTCTTCTCTAGTTTATCTTCCAAATCCTTGATCTGTTCATTGCAGTCATCAATCTGGAAGAGATATGTTGGAATTTAAGAATAATTTTGTACATTTCTTTCACCGTTATGGCAAGCACTTGCAGATTGTATATATATATCAGGCCCGTAGCCAGCAATTTCAAAAGGGGGGGGGGGTTCTTTTTCTGAAAAAGTGGACCTTTTCCCATCAAAACTTCATGTACCTTGATCAAATTTTACCCAAAGTGGACCTTTTTCCAGCAAAAGGGGCGGTTCTTTCGAACCCCCCGAACCCCCCCTGGCTACGGGCCTGTATATATATATATATATATTGAAGGCTACAAAAGACATTAGACATTTAAACAGCAAAATAACCCTTAAGTATTTCTAGGTGAAATTGCTAACTACAATTTTAATGCCAAGGGCTCAAACAAAACTTATAATTAATGTAATCAAAAACTTACAATTGTTTCCTTTTCTTTTCTGTGTTCTGTCTTTAGATCCTTGATTTGCCTTTGCAGTTTTTCAATCTATAAAAGAGAAATTAAAACAACAGATAATAATATGCCTTACAGCAATTTCCATAAATTGTGGTTTTACAAGTTTCTTTATGACTGGTTATTACCTTTATCATGACTTGATGCTGATATTAAGCTTTCCCATTTCATTTGTAAGTTTTTTATTTATATATTATTATTAATTTTTATTAACTTTATCACAGAAATCAACAAAACACTGAGTTGTTCCTTTAATTTACCACAAAGTCATAACTCGCATTAGCCATGTATTGTACTTACACCTTCATCTTTCTCCTGATCTTTAGTTTTAAGGAAAGAGATCACTTCTATTGTGTCCTTCTCCGTCTGATGCATAGCACTCTGGAGGTCCTGGTTCTGTTCCGCCAGTCTCCGGGCATTCTCTCTGGAAAACATTGACAGGGTGGATTTAGTACTCATAACTGTGTCAAACATTTCAATAATTATCATTTCAGAAAGTACACCCCGAGTGTGCAATATCTGTGCACAGGTTTTAAACAGAACTCATCTCATGAAATTCTTGTTTCTATGGTATTTTGATACAGTGTTCCTGTATACAGATGAAAACACTTTATAATCATGTAGAGTGTATCTTTAATTGAAAAAAGAACAAATTGATCAGATTAAGTGCAAACTTGACTTACCTGTATTCCTGCCTGGAAGCTTCTAGCACATTCAGTTTGGTTTCCCATACTTTGGCACTGGCTGTTGCTATGGCAACCTTACTCTCAGCCTTCTTGGACTTCTTTCCCTTCTTCCTGTAAACAATTAAAAAGGCAGTTGAAATTTTACTGACAGAGAACTCTGCTACATCCTGTACAACTCAGGTAATTTGTAACCTGAGATGATTGTTGCTGTACCACATTGGCAGATCAGGAGGGAGATCCCCACCCCCCTCTTTTCCCTATCACTGTAAGTGGCATTTAGGTATACATCTTAACTATAAATTATGATTAATGAAAATCAGAGTATGTGTATAAAAAATTATCTGAAAATATTTATTAAGAATATTTAAAAAAAAAACAGTGTTCAAACAATTCCAACCACTGGCTTGCTAATGACTGTGAAAACATAAATACAAAAACCTGGATATCTAATTTAAAGAAAGACATTTTATTTGTTCTTCTGCATTTCAAAATATTACAAATCCAAGAGTTGACAACCAAAGCATTATTTTAAATTGAAGTTAAAACATATAAGATGCTTTACTGAAGATATTATATGATATTAAATATATTTAATGAATCAGTGAGTGACTAAGCCCATTTTCGGTTATTTCCACTATACTGCTATGCCCTTAATGTAGTCAGGGCTTTATTCCCAATTTCATAACATGTTTGTAATTATATTTACTGTAGTAATGCATAAGATGACTGGTGTCTCTGCACAGTTTAGTATATTTCTCATTTAAAATTTAAATGTGTAATAAAACATTGTATAAATTATTGAGTGGAAACAAATATATCATTCAACATAAAATAACACCATATATTAAAATTCTTTTGAATTGATCTTGGATCTGTTACAATCTCACTAACATAGATTTCTTAAAATGAAAAATATATGTTGTAAGTATAGAAAATGAGGGAGGCAAATACATGTATCTCATTCTTTTAAACTAATATTTATATAACACTTTTAATGTCCATACTTTTTACTAGTAGTATCTAGTTTCTCATGGATATGTTGAGCTACCATGTATTTTATCAAGTTCTAACATTGTGTACTGCATTTTATGGGTTAAATTCAGAGAAATTCTAACTTCTTGAATCTATCATCCTCAATAGTTCATTTCACAAATGTATCCCCTGGTTCTATGACATTCCACGTCATTCCAGTAGAAATCTTCACCATGATCTAGAAGCACACAGTCTTCTTCATTTCCAGACTTCCTGCCATTATCTGGGTTTTTGGAGTCCCACTTGGTGTACTCCAGTCTCTTACCAGTGGACATCCACATGAATCTTCCTTCCCTCCCAACATCATGTGCCGAAGTCCAAAAGTCCCTCCTTCTCAAATCTGTAAAACAAAGAGGATTAATATTGAATAAACTTGAATTGTTTTCCACTAATCTTAAAAGGATTGATCAATATGTACAGTAATATCATGACTATTATTTTTAAAACAATAATTCATATACCATCCTTCGTAAGATTGGAGGGTTTTAATTTCTTGCCATATTCTAAATATCACATGAAATTGTCTCAGAATAGTCATAGATTGAAACTCACCACTGTCTTGTTCTATTGTTGTCCTTAAAAAGTCATTTTCTGCTTTTGTTTCTATGGCAACAAGTCTTGCACCATACTCTCCACATTCTCTGTCTGCTTCATTCCAAGCTTTCTCTGGCAAGCCAACAAATTTGTAGCAAGACTTCAAAGCTTTGTTATCGATGAACCCTCCAGGACATGTAAATGCTGAGTATCAGAAATATGAATTACAATCAATCAGAAAATGATTTAAGATGTTCAAATCACAAAAACAGAATTCTTTTTCTTTCTTTTTGTGCAAATGCATATTTGAAACAATCTTACGAAAGAAAAATGAAATTTTATTTTTTATTTTTTTCATTAATAAATAAAATTATTTGCCATTTTCAAAAAAGAAAAAAAAGAAAAAAAGGATAAAGAAATCCTACCTGTCACTCCCTGGGATAGGTTTTTGGCAGCATTCACCTTGCACTGGGAAAGCTCAGTGATCACAAGATTATACTTCTCCGCGACCAGCTGCATGGCAGTCTGCAGGTTGGTCAGGGAGGTCTGAAGGAACTTGTTTTTACTTTCCATGGCTTGACAATCACACGGAGTAGAACCACCCACCAGGTTATTGACTAAAGATCCCGAGGGAGGGATCTGACCCAGTGTAATAGGCAGGAGTAGTGCAAAAATGGTGAACAAAAGAAGTGCCATCTTTCTCTCAAGCCCACTGGACTTTGTTCATGTTCTGTAAGGGCCTTGACTGTATCAGTGTAATTAAGCTCCTATCTGTGGGCAAACAGATGACTTTGTTTACATTCATTAACTGTGACCTCATCTCAAGGTATCAGGGTATCATATCTACAGGAATTACAACCCACCATATTTACTCATTCCAAATGATTAAAACTACAAGGGGGATATTTTTTTAAAAAACATATAAAATGAAAAAATTTAAAAAGCCACTGCTGTCATGATTTAAAATAATTTTTGAGCAATAATTGGAAATAGAATAATTTTAGTCATAAATGCTTTTTCTTTTGCATGTAGACTTAAATATTTACTGAGAGATAATATATTTTTGAAGTCAACCTAATAGAATGTATGATAATCTAAGATAAGATTAGAATTATCTATAATCTCATCATCTGAAGATATTAATCAAAAGAAATGGAAATCTACAATGACTTTAAATTTCATATAAATAGGGCACTTAAAATAAAATAATTTTAAAGCCATCTCATGTAAGCCAAAGCAGTGGCTAAAGGATGCAGCATTATAAGTGAACTGAAACACCTAAACCAAGGGACTTCTGATAGCAAAATGTAAGGATCATTTTTTGATGATTTCAAATAAGAACATTTTGTGAAGATCAAAAAAGTTTCACATACTGAAATGACTATGGCATACATATAAAAAAATTTATTCATGAATTCATCAAATACTTTTTCATGGCCACTTATAGATTATAACATAATAGTTACTTCAATAAACTGAACTCTATCAGTTAAAATAAATCCTTTCATGATATTGACCTTGGTTCTTTCACATAAAACTGGACTATAAAAAAATAGCACTGATAACAAATTAGTAACAACTATAATTTAATCAAACACCTTATAAAGTGCACTGGTTACTATTTGGGAGTGCATGGGCTTAAGCTTAAAATAATCAGGTGAAATGTCTTAAACTGTCACAAAGTGAACAGAAAAAAAAACAATTATTATAAAATTATAGAATGCAATACATGCAATTGTTATATGTGCTCTTGGAATGTGTGTACACTAATACTGTATGCTTCATTACTTACATGTTTTCCTCTTGTGTATTACTACCACATAAAACCATATTACACATCAAAATATTAAATTCAAAACTGATATGGCATTTGACCCAATCATACAATACTTGCAATCACTATCCATGTGAAAAATGATTGTTAGTAAAAGTTTTCTTACATCTTGATATAAAAAAATTATGCTATCAATCTATAGCAAAAATGTAATGGACTTTTTAACTTCTTACAGCATTTTTCATAACTTATTACCATTATTATTATTATTATTATTATTATTATTATTATTAATCTATTTATTTATTTATTTATGTTTTGACAATGCTTTTTTAAAGGTAAGTTTGTGGAAGCTGGGCCTGGGGAATATTTTAAGATATACAATCATATGATCCCTAAAGGCCATGGCACTGGCTTGAACACGAATACTGGAAAATGGCACGTCAGTTTACAATTACCAATCACACTCTTTTACTAAAAACAAGATGTTCTAGCATAAAACACGTTCTAGTAGAATCCTTGTGTGTCACTCTCACTCAGTGTCATATTGGATCATTTGCAGATACTAGTAATTTCTCTTGCTCACGTTCTCTCTCTCTCTCTTTTGAATTCTATACGTCACAGTTCACTTACCCCTTCTTCCCCTTCCCTTTCCCCTTTCCTCCTTTCTTTGCTTTCTTGGGCATGTTTGTTGATTATATCATACTTATATCATATATTATAAAAATTCCCGAAAAAGATTGTAAAATGTGAAACGAGAAGCAGTTGTGCTTCCCTTGTTGCTATCGTGACCGACTAAACGATAGATGGCCACTCAAGATGAGCCCATTTCAGTGGCAGCAGTTTGGCCCTCTTGTAGCGCCCTCTAGTGCGCGTCATTCACTTGCTGACCTCAATATATATTTACCTGACTTGGCCTACTTTAACTGCACAGAATTGTCCTGCAGTTGTGTGGTTTTGCCTAAAGAACAGACAAAAATTATTTAGAACAGACAAAAGAACCAAAACTGGTATTAACGTCATTAAAGTTGCAGCGGAGAATTCCAAACACGTCAGAAAGGAGTCTTATCTGTCTACGGGTATATAGCTGTGTATGACATGCATGTAAAGAGTGGTTGTCCAGGTAATAACTATATAGGTATAATAACCAAGTTAAAAATATGACGAATTTATAGGTGTGTTTTAGAAAGTCTTTTAAATTAATATGCAGTAACTGTTTGGTATGGGCGTGCAACTGTAGAGGATAAAAACCAACTAGAAAAATTGTTGAAATGGCAATTAAATAATGTACAGTAATTGGAACGGATCTCACCCCATGCATTCCACTTAACTCGACCGGGTTAAAAATAAAACAGCTTCTGCCATGACTGATACTACTCATCCAGCTCATACCTTATTCAAATTTTTACCCAGTAACTTGAGGCTTAGATTTTTTGGTTATTAAGCGATTTTTATCTAGCTTTTATTCTTGAGCAGTAACTCTTTTTAACACAAATACTTAATTTCATTTTAGTACATTTAAATAGTTTTATTTAACAATGGTGCTATTACAGGGCAAAAGATTCCCGATTTTATATGTTTATATTTTATTGGTTTAATAAAATTATCATTATCTATCATATTTATCAATAATTAATAAAATGAATTGATGCTCATATAAAATTAAGATAATATGCAAAATATTTGAACATACCAATTGGAGAGTAGGGGAATTTGCCAGTTAATTTGTTATTTATTTATTTATTTATTTATTTATTTATTTAATTGATAAATGCATGAATTTGATCAGTATACTGGCCATTTGGTCAGTATACTGTGGACTTGGTCTAGTCAGGGCCAGTTGGTAAAATCCCATGCAAAGAGTCTAATAACTTTTGTACCTTGGTCTATGGATATTTAAAAATGGGAGTGATCGAGCTGTCCAATATTTCTGTGGTAACTACAGGAATACATTTCATTTCCAGGAATCTAATATTTAAAAGTACTCCATCGAACTACTTAAAAAAACATACACACTTCTGCCTTTCTTAAATATTGGAATCGGAGCATGTTATATATCATTAGTAAATGCTATTATGTTTTACAGGTCAGCATTCGGGTAGGACGTCACAATAATATTGGAGGGAAATGTACACTGTAAAAATTCGTCCCCAAAACATCATGAGAGAGGAACATAGGAGCCGAATGTATGGCTTTTCTGCCGTTGTGATAGTTATATTATTTATTTTGTTCACAACCACATATTTCTCACGACCAGCTAGCCAAAAATTTGGACTGTTTAAATTCTATACACCAAATAAAGACAATGAATTTGCAGCCATTATATTTGATGCGGGAAGCACAGGAAGCAGACTTCATGTGTATCACTTTGCCAAAGGAGGAAGTCCTGGTAAGTAACATTGATTACATCATGGTCATCTACCAGTCAATTTTGATGTGAGATATGCGGATCACTGGCCATATTTTGCTATGTAGTTCAGTTCTGTGCCAGTCTTGACAAATAAAATTTATCTTTCTAATTTAATATTTTTTGTTCTCAGAAAGGGGTTGAGTAGTATTTAAAATGTGAAATCTTTTAGACATTCCTTTTTTATACCCCGAACCAAAAAGATAACACCTGATCACAGATGATTTAAAATTATTTTAAAATGTAAAATCTTTTTTTAGGTTCATTACCCAAATTGCTAAGTGAAAAATTTGAGAGCATCAAACCAGGTTTATCATCATATGCAGAGGATCCAGTGAAGGTATTCTTATCAATATTACCTTGTGAAGAATTAAAATAATAAAGTAGTTTTAATAAAAATTAAGGTATAACGTATAAAAATGCTGATGTAAAGCTATTTGTGCATGCATCAGAAAATGTACAAGAAGCTGAATTGTGCATTTACTCTGTCTTGACAGGAAAAATGTTAAGGTTGTAGTTGAAAGAATAAATCTGTAAACTATCAAGAAGTCGCATATCATTTAGAGTTATATTAATGTATTAACAGGGTGCTAATAGTTTAGCTCCACTGTTGGATATGGCAAAGAAGGATGTGCCTGAAGAACAGTGGAGTAGTACTCCTATAGCTTTAATGGCCACTGCTGGGTTAAGACTTCTCCCGTTACCCAAGTCCAATGCATTATTATCAGAGGTGAGTGTTTTATACCAGGTTTTTTTTTTGAATTTGTTACTTGTTAGTGTTACATACAGTGTTTATACTTTATTTTTTGTAATGAACATCCAGTGGAGTAGATCTTGAAACTTATTCATGGGCGGATTGATGCCAACTTCTGGGTCTTCCGGTGTACTGTCAGATTTCCAAACCTACATTGATGGGTCTCTAATGGACTCAGGGTAGCTTAAATCCACTTGCCCTAAATGTTTAAAGATAAAATATGTCACTCTTGTCTGTAATATTTCATACTAACTGTATTTATTTTTCAAAGTAATACTTCGTTGAATGTTCACAGAATTCTGCAAGAGTAAATTCTGGATTGCTCACAAGTTCACAATTTGTTTGACTCAAGTCTTGGGGATCTTATCTTGTTGGCATGGGTGAACTGTAGACTTTGGCTGCAGTAAGATGCAGATGTCAACATGGAAAGCCTCCAGGGCTGGTGTTACTATAGAACTTGATATGAGCCCAAGAGCTGAGCTAGCTAAACTGAACGACTGAAAAAATTTGATCTGTTTCAACTCTGAAATAATGTAACCTTTGGTGTAACATTTCCTTTTGTTTTCATTAAATAGGAGATATTATATATTTTATAAAAGTGGATGCCTATTGATTTAATATTGTGCTTATGTTGACTTAAATTTTGGTCTTTATATTTGGACCAATTATTTTTGTTAGACCAGGCCCTGGCTTGAGTCCATGAGGCTAGTTGTTATTTTAGTCACTACATAGTGAATGATGAACACATTTTTTTCTGTTTTTTAGCAGGTTTTATTCTTCTGATTTACACATTTAGCAAAATAAATAAAATGGTGATGCTTTTTTTTAGTTGTTTGCTGTTTAACTTATCATTTAGTCTTATCTAAACTTACCTATGAAATTGAGAAAAAAAAGAAAATCTAGTCTAATGTCTTTAATTTATAGGTTACCAAATTATTTAAAAGCTATCCTTTCAAATTGGGAGAGAAAGGAATATCAATTATGGATGGGACAGATGAAGGTAGGACAGTATGAACCATACACATAAAATTGTTTGATGATTATTTTAAATATTAACCTTTTTTAATTCTATATTTCCATTTTATTTTATTTTTAATACCAATTCATTTTTAACATTTGACAATTATATATGGACAGTTACAGAAAATTGGTAAAATTTGGAGATTGTTGTGTTAAGTTGTAGGTATTGTTTAAATGGTATTTAGATTTGATCATCACAACAGGTATTAATCCTTTGAATATGTATGTTTGGAATTGTTAAATTTTTACTAATTCTTTAATTTCAGGCATTTACAGCTGGTTAACTCTCAATTTCTTGAATGGTAAGTTAACAATATCATTAAATTCGTTTCAAAAATCATTTTTATTTATACACTTTACATTGTATTCTGACAGTTTTTTTTCTTCTTTACCTCCGCAACCCAATTAGTGAAAGGGAGTGAAATCCCCTAAAGGATAATTACATGTTAGGACCAGAGGGACTTGTGCTGTACAGCTAACTGTTTCACTTGATGTGATAAAATAAGGAGTCGCACTTAAGTCATTTTAATTAATGATTTTGGCATTGGGTTTCTGATTGCATAAGAATTAGTACATGTGTCTGTATATCAGGATTGTTATGGCTTCCTGTTGCCCTTTCAGGTGGAATACTGGGGGCTAATAGGTCCTCAGGTGCTCTAGACCTGGGCGGGGGCTCCACACAAATCACTTTTATACCCTCGGAAAAGGTGAGTATTTTGTTTCTGTTAAAGTGATCATAAATTCCTGGATGTTTTTTACAATTAAACATGTATTTCATTGATCTAAAGAAATGATATATGAAAAGTAGATATTTATGGATTTCAGTACTGATGCATTTCAGTCTCTAGACTAAATAATAGCAATTATGCCTTCTTTGTTTATAGGAAACTGTAGAAAAAGCACCAAAGGAATATTTGAAAAATATTGACGTCTTTGGGAAAAAGTTTGATCTTTATACTCACAGGTAAGATGTGCTAAGATGCGCTAATTGAAACACCATTCTTATTCATATTAAAATATAACTTGTCTCTACTTAAGCATTTAGCATGAATTGACAGCCACCCAATTTATCATATAATGATAAAAAATTCTGTTGCGTTTGTCTGGTTAATAAGAATTGTGTGCACATTGCTTTCGAATAGCTACCTTGGTCTGGGAATGATGTCAGCAAGATTTTCATTGCTAGGAGGAACTGAAGGCCCTATTCCAAAGGAAGGTCAATAGAATTTTTATTTATTGTTTTTTATTCTTGTGTTGTAAAGATCAGCATTTTATAGAAAAAATGTACATTGGATTGTCCCATTGTAGGATAATAAAGGACTAAGAAGGCTATGAGCTGTAATTTTCAGTAATTGCTTTCAATATTGACAAATTTTGTTCAGTAATTATTATATAGTCATGTCAAAATGCAATAGATAAGCACCTGAGAACAATAAATCATACTTTTTCAGCTCCAGAATTTGATCATACATCTTTGATATTTGTGAAGATAATTTTACAGGTCGACCTGTTGAAGAAACTATGCTGGATTCTGTGTGTTTTCCTCCTGGTAAAGAAGAAAATTGGGTCTTTGGTGGTCAAAAATATGTTGTCAAGTATGTATTTAAGCTTGTGGAATATTTTTGTTAAAAATCTTATTAGAGTAACAGTGTTTAATAGGTTTTAAAAGTTTTTAGCTTTTTTTATGTGCCCTTTTAGCAAGATCTTACCAGCTGACACTGGATATTTCTTAGATTTTTATGATATACCCATCTTATAATTTTCAGGAATTCAGGCAAAAAGTTTGGATTTAAAGATTGCTTCACTTTGGCTGAGGCATTAGTCAACAGTACTGTGCAAAAACCAGTGGAAATATCAAGGAAGACATTTTATGCATTTTCTTATTATTATGATAGAGCAGTGGAGGCAAAGCTTATAGGTTAGTATAGTAAGGTTGGTTTTAGGGACAGTCTTGGATTTCAGACACAAAAATTTTCCAGTATTTACAACTGCAGTATTTAGTGTATATAAAAATCTGCAAAAGCCAAAATGAATTCAAATATTACTGTGCTGTTGCCTCTTTTTCAGCCACCCCAAAAAATGAATACTAAGGTCAAATATGACTTCTTCAGTTCTATTTTTTTGATAGTCATTCATTGTGAAGGAAATCAGATTTGGGGTACAAAGATAATAAAATAAAATAATAAATAAGTTAAATGAAGCATTTTAACTTGATATACCATTTCAGAAGAGACTGGTGGCACAATAAAAGTGGAACAGTTTGAAAAGGCTGCCAGTATAGGTATGTTTTTGTGTGCTGTGACCAATAACTCGGTATCTGTCTTCTAGGATTTTAATATTTACTGAACATCTTTAACTTAAAAAAAAAAGGTAGATATTTTATACCATTTTATTGATGGTGCTTGATAAACATTTTCAAAGCATTTTTTAGTTTACATTGTAAACACTGTGTTTGGATTACGTAGTTTCTGGTTTCTGTTGATCTATGTAGTGTTCAGTTACCATTTGACTTCAGTTGATGTCTGTGTCGTACAGCTTGAGGTACTATTATTAATGGGAGTAATCTGAAATATTCTTTGTATCTAATTGTGTATAACTTTACACAGTGCTGGAAACTTTTTTTTTTTTGGGGGGGGGGGGTTACCTAAGTTGATTTCCATTAAAAAGTGCAAATATTGTAGACATGAAGTAGGCATGTTTTGTAATCAAATGCAAGAATAAAGAGAAACTTTCTAAATAGGTCTGCTACCCTAGCATAATGGCTGGTGGGTGAGGGGCATTTCTCAAAGATGTGTAAATTATAGCAAAATTTGATTCGATACTATTTCTTGCAGCTTGTAGTAGCAGAGAGAATTCGGAGCGTCTGGGAGGTGTTTTCCAATGTGTGGATTTGACCTTTATCTCAGCATTACTGCAAAAAGGATATGGCTTCCATAGCGATACAAGTCTCATTGTAAGTTATACATTATCTTTGTTTTTGCTGTCTGAAATATTTATTGTTCACAGTATGTCGGATGCTTGTGGTAACACTAAATTAATTGTGTACTATCAACTTCTGACATTTTCAGTCTTCATCTGTGTTATTGTATATTTTGAGGGAACCATTTTATAGGCAAGAAATTTATGTTAGTTCTGTTTAAAGACAAAACATGAAAAATCATTTGTTCTTGTACATATATCATGAAGTATATTTTGTTTATTTTTGTGTTCCAGCTCCAAAAGAAAATCAATGATGTAGAAATCACGTGGGGGCTAGGAGCAGCATTCCCATTAATAAAAAAACAAATGGACAGCTGATAGATGTGCATTGTTATAGCCACTATTTTATTTATTTGCATAAGTTTGCTTGCCTTGTTTTTTATCTTGAAACTCTAATGTATGACACGTAGATTTCCTCTTAAAGCATGGGTCTGTGTAATTTAAAAAGTCAGAAATTTTTTCTTAGTTGAAAAAAAATGGCATTTGGTACATATCTAGGGCCAATCTGTGACCATTATTTAAGGTATCCTACCTAGGGTAATTGCACCAAATCAAATTTTCCTGCCAGTCATTGCTGGACCAATCCCTGCACTTGGATTTAATGTTTTGTTCCATTTTTATAAATCATTTAGTTCTTAGTGTTTCCAATAACATTTTGACTGCCATCCACATTCCTGATATTCATAAGATACATAGTACCTAGCAGACTTGATTTGATTTCTGGCATTAATTGCAAGATGTCAAAACTTGGACCTTTCAAGGTGCTAAGACTCATTAATTTAAGGGATTTTATCATATTTCAAGTTTAAAATGGGGTGGTGGGGGGGGGGGGGAGTGAGAGTGTCACTGTCAGAGAAAGTGTCATTGTGCAGGATGGAAGTATGACTTGGGAACATTTCCACCATGTGAAGGGCACCTTTAATTCTAAGATTTGGGACACTGTTTTGGGAAAGGTAGCATAAAGCACTTGGCAAACTTCACGATGTTTTAATTAATAGGCTACGTAACATTGGGGTATTGGTTTTTTTTTAATAGAATAAGTAAGTGTTAGCAGATTTGGGCATTATACGTAATTTTATGATATATATATTTATTGAATTATTGCTGGAATACTTCTGAGACGAATATATATTTTTACAAACATGCTTTATGCAATATTGTTTCAGTCTCTTAAGTCTTGCAACTGCCAGTGGTGGGTTTTTAAGGTATAAAGCTTTGGTACTCAAGTTGCTTACTGAGTGGGAGGTTTGGTTTGTCTTGTTCTTGTAATGATTTTCACGTACATTCCAGTTTGGTAAATTATTATTGTTAGCAATTTATTTCAGAGGTATTGCTCTGACATTCTGTGATAAAAGAAAACTCAGCAATTAATTGATGATAAAGTGGAGTTGATTAAATAAACCAGTTAAAATTAATTTGTCTTATGTCAGGTTTTAGGTAAACTGTAGTGTTGTAAAGATAAAAGGATTTCCAGCTGAATGTAGTTTTAAGAAACCATGATGCAATGGCTCTAATATTCTCCGTGTTTTTATGACATATTTAAATGCTAGTTTTATTATCATTTTTATTGTCATAAATTATAAGTTTATTGAAACATACATTAAGAAATGTGTTCCGTGAGATTTTTACATGCAAGTAAAACATGTTCTAAGATATCTCCAAGTTGTGCGTGGTATGCTTGGTCTCAGCATTGTTTTTAAGTGGATAGGATTTCTTTTCCATTTTTCATCATATGATAACTAGTGGAGTATTTTAATTGAAGTTGACTGCTACTTATGATTTACAGTGGGTAACAGTAGACTAGGGATTTTTAGTCTTTAGTCTTAGGGCCCATTCCCAATGAAACTATCGTGCTATGTAGATTACTCCAACTCCACAGGATCTCTGGCTGAATGGTCAAGTATTGGGATATAATTGTGTCACTTATGTTTTTTTTTAAACCAAAAACTGTAAATACAGGGCAATAAAGTTATTGTTTCCAAGATTTTGTTAACAACTTGGATTTGATAACAGAACTTAGGCTGAAATATGTTCAGGTCTCAGTCTTGGTCCATTTAATTGACCTAAAGTTTTCAAATTGGTTCACAAGTCCAGCTGCCTACACCCAACAAAACTAAACGAAACAAAATGGCCAATAAAGAACATTTACAGAAATAGTCAATAAGGTGACCTTTGATATCCTTTCAAACCATCTCCATGATTACAAGTGTTATTTGTGTTTATAGATTTTGGTAAAAGAAGTGTAAAATAATATTTAAGACCGTTACCCACACTAAATGTGCCAATTTTTTGTAACTTGTTAGTAAAAAGCATATCTCTTTTTGGCCATTTTAAATGGACAATGTCATCTGCTGAGCAGTACCCACTAGCCCTTTCCTAGCTTTTCTTTTCTTTATATGACAGTAATGGTTAGGTTACAAGAGAGGATGCATTATTTCGACTTCTACTAGCTAGCCAACTCGCTGCACCGATAGGAAATTAAGTTCCAATCTAAGTGTTGAAATCATGGCATGATGCTAAGGAATATGAAGTTACTGGACCCAAAATTAATAACTATGGGACGTTTGGGGTTTAAAACACTCCTTATATTTTACACTTGCATAAATGGAATAGCATGTTCATTTCTGAATGCATTTTCCAGCCAGACAATTTGGATTAAAATGCACACTTTTCATTAACAGTATAAAAACCAACTACTGAAAATTCAATATTTTTTTATTTTCAACTAAAACAGCCAATGATACAGAAATATCTATATAGCTTTCAAAGCCATGATCCATCAACATGTAATGTTATGGATACTAATTGTATAATTTACATATCCACATCAGTAAATTGAATGCAACAAACACATAGCACTCCGTCTGCCTTGTTGACGCTACAAGGACTTGATACATAAATATGCAAATATCTAGTTTAATTCACTTACACACTTAACATGATATAAGACTCGGCACAATACACAACAAATGTAAGTGTCAGTGTGCATTACGAGGAACACCATCTTGAGACAACAACCATCTGCTTTTAAAGAAATGATTTGTGTAAAAAAAAAAAAAAAAAAAAAAAAAAAAAAAAAAAAAAAAAAAAAAAAACGAATACAGGGTAATAAACTAATTAGCTTTGATGTCTGATCTGTTGATTGCTTTCAGGTTTACCGCCCGTGATCTAAACCCTAAAATTCAGAGCTAATCTTTTAAGTATTTCATAAAACCATTCAGCCCAAATGTTTTCAAAGGGGAAAAGAAAATTTTCTCTCATTCATGCCTAAGAGAATATTGATTCAAAAGCCTCCCTTGAAAGATGGCCAACAATATTTGAATCTTGTCCATTTTTTAATCCAACAATCAACCCATGAAAGCCCAATCTCAGTAATGTAAAGGAAGAGGTGGGCCAACAGTACACTGAACACTAGTCTGCCGGTCATCTCCCGTGGGTTTAACTGCTGAACATTTATCCTTCTCATGACTGAATAAACTCAATACTTTATAATACCAACCCAGGATGGAGAAAGGTATACAACATGAGAATTACGTTATGACCTGCAATAAAAAAGGCAATCTATATTGACATCTTTTGGCCAAATGGAAAATCTCCATTTTACCACTTAACAATAGCACTCTTTTATTTACTAGATGGTGCTGAAAATGTGATGTGAGCATTCATCTCTCTGTTCATACTAAAAAAAGTTCTTTCTAATGGCAACAAGGGATAATATATACTACAGTCATTAACTTGTCCACACATCCAATATGTACCGTAACACCAAACACTTTTTCTGGAAAAAAAATTTACAATATACTGACAAGATCTTACAACAATCAAGTACAGATAACAGTGAGACCACTTTTTATCATTTTCAACCAAGTTCTGTACCTTAAATAACAATGCATTTGGATAGAGGAAGAAGATAAGTTGATTAATTGCACACTTGAACCAGTAAAGAAACATTTTATATTAAGCAACTGTTATTTTTTTAGATTTAAACGAATTTTTCGGCTGACAAAATGTGATGCTTACTGGACAATAAGAACTGCACAATGACAACTTCTGCTGTTATGTCTCTCACAGACTACACAGCAATATCAAAATAAGTTCCTCTGCTCTTCAAAATGATCAAGCAGAATATACACTACCCAACTTGGAAATCTTTAGCTGATGACATAAAGGTAAGCACTGTTTATATTAGCCACCTGGCCTCATAACCATCTTCTCCCATTAAAAAAATCACACATCACTGCAACATAAGTATTTTAACTAGAAAAAAAATCAAGACTGCATCAAGAAAAGGAAAACAAAAAGTACAAACATGGACAGAACGTATCGACGTGCCATGAGCACTGAAACCACACCTTTCTCTCATGTAAGGACGCCCATACAAAAACCATGCAGGCATTGTGCAGATTTCAAACACACAGGACCTACCACTAAATACTTGTGATCTAAATGTCTTATTCTATGCCTACAACACAGATATTAGAGCCTAGGACACTAAGCCCAACAGTATGCCCCACTAAAGCTGCTCTCAAGGTTGACTAACTGTATTCGCCCCTATACAAAAAGAAGACTAGTTTTTAAAAAATTCTCGGCACCTAATATTCACTAAATGCAGGTCAAGGCTACACATCTATCATACAATAGCACCAATATTAAAAAGACGGCTATATCACGGGCCGCGCTGCTTTCTCATAAGGATAGAGACTTCTGCATTTAAACGAAAGTGAAATGAAACAATTTCTTAAGAGTTATGAACTGAACTGTGAGTTTAAAATGGTATTATGTATTTTATATATCTCCTTTCTTTAGTAAAATGTCTGAAATTTACTTCTACTGTTCAGAATATATCTCAATCATCATAAAAGAGTTGTTGCGAGTTTCAGATAAATAATTGACCATGGCAAGAAATAACTACAACTGAACTAAATTGTACAGAAAAATCAAATGCTGTAATTAATAAACACAAGGCATTTACAGCACTTAAAAACAAGAAACCAAGAGAAACCCTGAACAATCAATCACAAGAAGCCGGGCAGTGGAATAAAAATACCAATCATGTAAACAATGTGGGCCTTTCACAACATGATCTCTAACTCATAAGTCCACTAACACAAATTAGGATGCAAATGAAAATGTCATGTAAAATATGGTAGTAGCATGCATGATAAAACAACAAACAAAAAACTTGGCAAGGTAAAGCTGACAGTGCTCCTTACTAAAATAAACTGTTCCCTCTAGCTAGATACTGATATAAAGCCAGATTGTGACAAAAGTTAGTAAAATAGGAAATGAGACATTTGGCTAAAGTTCACATGTAAACAATATTAAAATTTAACAAAGTGATAAGTTTATTAATGCAATGCCTGCCTTGTGACTTTCTGTAATAAGACATTTTACAGTCTTATATGGGGGTGGGATTAGAGGGAGGAAGGGGGATAAGTGCAACACACCTAATTATCCAGAAAACTTTCATCTCTTGAAAGAAGCAAGTGACAAGCACACAGCCAATTTCAGGAATTACATGGAGATGGCAAGTGAGGAAAAGAGAAAAGGGGGGGGGGGGGGGTAATTCCTGCCTAGAAGGGGTTTTCACAAGACTTAAGCCATGCTGTAGACCTCTGCTGGCTAGGGATGGTCAGACACCCGTTTACTAATATCTTTAGTCCCGAAGATGTGAGGACAATAATAAATTACAAATGAAATGAAATGCACAAATAAATAACAAGCATGCACAAGGATATCCATTCAGAGCTAGATTTACAGTTACAGAAAAAAGATGAAAAATATGTGAAAATGTAATTACAAATTGCAAAATGCACAGATATCATTTTGTGTACATTGATAAATATAAATATTTATGTATATATATGTATATATGTATGTATATATATAGTATTCAACAAACATTGCACTTTCCTGTCCAACAAATGCAGTTAAAAGCTCCATGCTAGATTTATATAATAAGTTAAAATACTTAAATGCACTATAATGAGCAAAAGGGCCATCCTGTGTTCCATACGTCATGGTTTCAATACGCGTGCATTACCAAACGTCCATCAATATTCAACCTACATTCTACTTACAAAAAAATTAATCAGCATTGTGGTTTTGATTCAGTAATGATCACGCCATTACTGCAGCAGTCACGCTACTCCAACCTTTAACCAATCTCAATGCTCTCAACTCCATCATGTGAACTGAAATGGTTTTACATCTCGAATTAATACTCTGCTTCACCTACAGTTATCATAGCTGCACTGTAGTGTAAATATCAACTCACAACTCATCACGTATACCGTCACATGAATCATCCCACTGACAACCATCTGTAGAGACCACAGTAATACACAGGAGTGTGCATGGCCCATGAAACACTGTGATTTACATAAAAGTAGTCAAAGTAGTAAGAACACCAAAGTGCAATAGTGAAGTGGCGACATCTATGTTTCAGTAACACTAAAAGCAGCTATTTAAAGCCCCAGACTGTCAACATGTGCGTGTGAACAAAGATGAGAATAGCGGCCCTCCTCTGAAACTTGCCCACTGATAATACTGGGGGGAAAAAGATGACACACGTCTGTAGATACCAAGTGGCAAGACTTCTTCTAACCATCGGGCTGGCTTCATATTCCAAAGTAGCAGGAACACACATAACATACAACAAAGGCAGTTACAGCGTACAGTACACATTGCTGCTTCTTAACTCCAAGTAGCATTTCACCTGTCCACCTCATTGCTGTAAACTATCATCATGTTTGCTAGTTGGGGCTGGCGATAAAATAAACTGTTTTGTTGACATAGTGATCAAGATTCTGGTGTATGTCTCTGATCACACACTGTGACAACTAGCAAGCTATTGTCACCACATGCCAGTACACAAAAGTGCCAAATTATCAGTCTAACCCATAGCTGTCCCTGCTGCCTCCTTTCACTTTTGCTAGGATAAATCACTGATGGTAAGCTGAGCTTGATTATCTTGCAATTTCCTGACGTAGTTGTTGGGGCTGTCAGCTGCTTTTTTTATTTCCCTCCAAAAAATACTGTTTCCAGGACTGGATCAAACAACTTCCTTCTTCTTGAAAGTAACCACAATACCAACAGGCTTTCCTCTGGTCTGTGTACAGCAGGAATCCTATCCATCATATTGCAACTCAGTAGGAGTGGATAAGCTGGTTTCTTCAAAATGCGACTGGATTCACTCTGTTGCTACTGCAGTACCAATGTAACATGGAAACTTGTGAACAACAAACCACCAGCGTTTTTTCAGTGCACAGATTTAATTGTGCTTTTCTCATTTCAAATGAAGATAAAATGAGGTACCTCAGAACATGCACATACTCTTTTGCTCACAAGATACGTATCACTTTCCAGTCACATTTCAACTCCCAACTTCATTTGGTTAATTTCACCTCAAACTACTGCTGGTTTTATAGTTTTCTCTTTCAGATTCCACACTTTGCTTCAATTAATGTCTCTCAAAGAACAGCTGTCAAACTGCAGCCTTCCAAACTTGCAATATAACCATATACAGAAAAACACAGCCCCATTCAAACAGATGAATGATATCCTAAAATTTTGGCTGATGGTTGTACTATTAACTCAAATGTTTAAATGCAAATTTCTCATCATAACATTTCTTCAAGAGGAGGCTCAATTTTCTGTTGCTGTTGATTTTCTACTTTTTGCTCAAGCGCTTTAGCGGTAGTAGTGGCAAACTCTTGCTTTTGTGTCTGCTTTTGTTGTTCTTTTTGTTCTTCTTTATTCGTGGGAGGCTGCTGAGGTGCCGTCTTTTGTTCTTGCTGTGGTAGCTGAGGCTGTTCTTCTGGTTTTTGTTCCTCCGCTTCTTTCTGTTGTTGTGGCTGTGATTGCTTTTGGTCTTCCTTGGGAAATGTGAGCTTTCCATAGTCAGTGTTCACCATGGAGAAGCCTCTGAATTCCGCCTGGTTAATGGCTTTCACGACCGCATTGTCTATGGGCGTCAACACAGGGTCCTCTGATGTGAAATCCTTGTCAAAGTTGTTGGCATCAAACTTGGATTTCTGTAAAGGAAAATGCCAAAAGTTGATAACATGGCCAAAAGCACAGTTTTTTTTATGAATCCAATATGATGCCAAATAGTTTGGCTTTCAGCATATACTCTGATAAAAATTAAGAAATGAAATAAAATTAAGAAGAAAAAGATATTAATGAAATTATAATGTGTTCATTTCAAAGATTTTATTTAAACCATCTAATGTAAAGATCAAACAAGCTGATGCATTTTTTTTCAAACCTGAACCTTCTGGAAGCTTTTTCAACAAAAATCTTTCAATCAAAGACACTACTCACTATCTTTGGTCTAAATGGAGGTTTGACTAATTTCTGTTCTAACTCATCCCAGTTCATTTTATCATGGGCAAAGAAAGGGTGGGTCTTAATGGCCTTCTCTGCTCCATGGGCCTTCACACAACCTAGTCTCTTGGCAGGGTTCTTGGTCATGAACTGAAAACACAATTGACTTGATATAAGAAATAACTATATCAGTGTTACAGGAGTTATATAAGAATTCACTGACTGACACCCGTAAATAGTAAATGTATTTGGTTTCTAATGGACTGAAACTTCATTACTTCATAAGCTTAATATGAGAAAATATTCAGGTAAGGGCCATCACACTCATGCAAACAAACACGCATGCACGCACACACACATCACATGAATACTCTCCCACACCATGCGACTCACCCCCTTTAATATAGACACAGCCTCTTTGCTGAGCCAAACTGGATAGAGAACATCATCGTGGAGAATTGACTCAAACAGATCATCCTCATTGTCAGCTTCAAATGGTGGCTGTCCCGCCATCATCTCGTACATCAGCACTCCCAGGGCCCACCAGTCCACTGAGGCATCATACTCCAACTCCTGCAGGATCTAGAAAAATTCAAAGAAATCATAAGAAAAAAAAATCACCTTTCAAATGATATCTAGATATGTATAAAAAACTACTTTTAATATATTTACAAATATCTAGCTTAGATATCTTTACAACTAGATAAACACAATCACACAAACAGAGAACAATTTTCTTTTTCTGATTTTTACACATTAAACAGTTTGAAAGGTAAATTAATGATAAAATTGTCTTGAATGCAAGTGGGTATTTTTACTAAATGTCGACATATACTCGATTGTATTCTGATCACACACTTCACTGTGCAAACTATGAAACTATTCCCCCGCGATCAATCTGTTTTGACAAACAACAAGGGACACCCACCTCAGGCGCTATGTAATCTGGTGTACCACAAAATGTCTGTGTGGTTTTGCCTTCATACATCCCTTCCTTGCACATGCCAAAGTCTGCTAGTTTACAGTGGCCTTCTGCATCCAGTAAAATATTGTCTAGCTTTAAGTCCCTAGAATTGGATATGTTTGTGAATCAACACAACTGTCTTGTTTTCTTTCTTTTTTCCTTTTGTTATGGATAAGAAAAAAACTGGATGCTCAAAGGTAAGTCTAGGGTGAATACTTGAAAAGAAAGACATTGTAATTTCTTCCCATCTTTTTTCCCAAAGATACTGATTTATATTCGTGCACTCACTGTTGAAATTAAGAGAAAATATTAAAAGTCATCAACTGCACTAAGTAATACACAATGACCTGAAACATTCAGTTTCTTGTTCACATTCCTCCGCAGTTACTTTACCTGTAAATGATTCCATGCCTGTGAAGAAACATCAATGCTAATGTGACTTCAGCAGCATAAAACCGTGCCCTGTGTTCATCAAATTTCCGAGCTCTCTGAATTTGAAACATAAGGTCACCTCCATTCACATATTCCATTACAAAGAAGAGTCTATCCTGTAAAACAGAGAAAAAAATGTAAACAAGAGTTATCACACTAAAACTTCAACTTTATAACCATGCCTTTATCATTATATCAGTTCTGAGTTGAGAATCCAGTTATTGAAAATACCATTTCCAACTAGAGGATCAGAGAGGCAATACTGCCTCCAGACATTGTACCACCAGCTGGAGTAAGCGCATTCGTATGGAAATCCAAAAACAAACAGGAACAACTACAAGTGTTGTGTTTGACAAGCTCTTCAAAATGCAATAAACAAGACAAGAAATATGCCCCCTCCCCCAAAATAAAAAAAACATAAAATTCTTCTGATCAAGCCAATTTTCAAGACGATAGGCTTGTCAGTTTTCTTTAAAATGCATTATCAATGTTGCATATATATTGAAAGAAAGAAATAGGCCTATCTCTGCCAGTTTTGGAAATATAAGGGATAGAAAATTTGCAATGTTCAGTTCATGGTGAAAAGAAGGTCAAAGGTCAATTTAAATGTGACAGTTAGATGTCCAGCATATGACTTCCTATTCAAGTTCAAAAGTAACCATGCTTGTACCTCTGCCAGTATTGGAGATAAAAGGGATGGAAAAATTGCAAAGTTCAGTGCATGGTGAAAAGTTGGTCAAAGGTCATTTTCAAGTTCACAGTTAGATTGTCAGTATGTGACTTCCAATTCAACTTCAATAGTAAGTATAGGTGTATCTCTGCTAGTTTTGGTGATATAAGGGATCGAGAAATTACAAAGTTCAGTTCGTGGTGAAAAGTAGGTCAAAGGTCAATTTCAAGGTCACAGTGAGATTGCCAGTATATGACTTCCTATTCAAGTTCAATAGTAACTATGGGTGTATCTCAGCTACTTTTGGAGTATTTCACATTTTATTTTCACTACTGAATATTGCTCAGTTGCGCTTTTTGACATAGCGCAACTCCTTGACCGTATTGCAAACAAAAAAATGGGCACCACCTCCAGTATTGTGCTTGACATGCTCTACATAATGCAAAAAACAAGAGGTCTCTAGCATTTACGGTTCCAGAATTAGGGAGAGTTTTCAGTTTTGGCATCTTATGGCCGTTTCTCCCATGAAAATGCACCGATTGACCCCAAACTCCCAAAGATGAAAGGAGTCCCTAATTGCATCCCCTCACTATAATATGAGAGCTAAACTCTGTGTAGTTTCTGAAATTTGGCACAAATAAAAGATTTTTTGCAAAAAATTCCCATTTTTAGAAAATGTTGGTCTGTTTGACCTTGAAAAAAAGGTCAAAGGTCAAATCCAAAGGCATATTTGAAATCCTCATATATGACTTTCGGTCAGACTTCTATACTAATATTTCCCATAATTCCTTCCGTTTAGGAGATATATAGCATTGAAGTTTCAAAAAATTTGACAAGGGTGCATTTCATCGCCTGTCACACCCAAACGAATGAGACAAAAAAAACAGGGGGTTCAAGTTGAGATTATATGTGACCTAAATCCAAGAGATGGGGACACAGGTCCGTGCGGTCTAGGAGGAGAAGCGGTAACAGTGACTTGTATCCCACGCCACCCTGCGGAGCCGGCGGAGCTCACGGAGCCGTACGATATGGGTCGGGACTAAAACCATGAGTACCGCCAGCGTACACGCTGGTGGTACTAATTAAATGTCTGAGTTGAGCAGAAAGAAAGTACACACACGCACGCACACACTTTGTCCTCACTCACCTTTGTCTGAAAACTGGAGTGCAATGCAGTAAGGAAAGGATGCTTGGCTGAAAGAGCCAGGATTCTTTTTTCTGTCATAGTGCACTCCACATCGTCATCCTGAATGATAACATCCTTCTTCAGCACTTTGACTGCAAAGACATCACCAGTTGGTTTGTGCTCACCTAGCATTACCTGCAGAGAAGACAAAAGGGTTTTATATTAAAACAGACAATTAGAGAAAGATTGACTAATATGATTATATGTGTAGGAGTACTTTCTGTATACTGGCAAAAGTATTTGAAGATTAAATTGCTTCAGAAACAACTATGGAAAAACAAGCAGTCTACTACAAGCATTGTATTCACGCTCAAGTAGATAAATTTTAAAACATCATTTTCAAAACAAAAAAGTTCCAAAATCTTCACCTCTTTTAGAGCAGTGCTCATATCAATTGAACTGAACAACACTATCATATAATCTTTACGTTTTAATTCTTTTTCTACAATTAAAACTTCGCTGAAAAATAAATCATTTCCAAATAGATTTTAATGCATCACTGCAACTTTTTCTTTTCCCCCATATCACACATATCCCTACCTTTCCAAAGCTGCCTTTTCCTAATACTTTAATAAAGTTAAAATCTTGTAGACAGACATGGTCCTTGTCTCTCCTCTTGAAGTCCCTCCCTGGGGAGGAGGGGGTCCTGGGCAAGGTGGCATGGGAAGGAAAGTCTGTGTCAAGGCGGTCCAGGCTGTTGCTTGTCATCCCAGTTCCATCTTCACCGCTCTCGTCTGCGTCTAGAGGAGAAATTGTTTCAGAAAATGAACCAAAGGATGGAAATGATCCTTTTTGACAACCCTGTTGTGTTGCATGAGATTGTTACAGACATAACATCATCTCACTCATGATTCAAACAATGATCGACATTTTAGGTGCAGTCAAGGGGGAAACATCATTTCAATCAAGTAGTTAACAGTCTTCCATGTTTAAGGAGAAGGATCCAGATAAGAAACACTCTGTGCATAGATAGAAATACCACAAAGGGGCTGTGTGCAGCAACTCACTAAATCATGTTGGTTTTTTCAAAAAGTTCAATAGAAACACAGATTGCACATTGCAAATGCAAACCAATTTATATGATTCTCTACCTCTTAACTTCATATAAAAATGATGAAAAACACAGAGATGTAAAAAAACTGCATTTAAAGATCAAATAATTGAGTTTTACTAGTGGTTCACCCAAGAAAACATAAATTGATTAACAGCATCAAAGAGGTAATGTTAAAATTGCAATCTCAAAAAAGAGCAAACATGAAAATGCAAGGAAATGCAGATCCCAGGTCTGTTGCAAGCTGGTTTAACTCATAACATTTGTCAGCAAAACCGAATTGGCCTACTCATTTAAAATTATGATTATTCATGTTGCATCATTTTACTATTTCTAGTTTCATTGTGGTTAATTCATGACTGTTTGTTTCTAAATTTAAGAAGAGGAAATTTTAATGCAATTAATGGTATGACATTGTTAGAAAGATTACTTAGTGAGACATGTTCCAATTTCTAAAATCATGTAACTTCTACTCTTACAGTACTACTACTTCACTAAAAGCACTCGGTTCAACAATACTATTTTTGCATCATTTTGGTGGTAAACTCAGTCCCCCATAAAAAAGGAGACTTGTCTAGTGTTATTAATTTTAATTCCAGAACAACGTTATCATTATGTCAACATTTAGTTGTTTTAGACATCAGTTATCAAAGATGCTTGTTTGGTTATTTTAAAATGTGACATTTAAAATGCTGTAGCTGCAGTGAAAGTTTTCCAAGAAAATTGTCTATCCCAATATAACAATTGTCAGGATAATTAAAGCTTCAATTAAGCATTATACTTTCAGCAAAACAAAATTCTAGTTTAATGTAAGTTCTACACAGATGTAACATTGTGTTAACATTGCACTATACAAATATGTAGCTTGTTTTAGACAGGTTTCCCATGTGACTGAAATATATGTTGAAATATGTTACAAAGTGATGAATAAATAGACCAAATATACAGTTACATCTAACTAGAACACAGCTAGTAAATAAGCAAAGCCATGCAAGTCATAAAGGTATTCTGTAAAAACATATCCTGAAATTGTCCAGCATTGTAGCCACTCATGTTGTAGGCCAAAATGACCAATAAACCATTTTTTGATTTTTTCCGAAAATCATTGTCATAATTTTACCAAGATGAAAATTCTCCTTCACATCTAATCTGTCCAGTTTCACATGCTTTAGACAAACAGAATCCTTTTGCAACTTAACGTGGAGTTTTTGATAAACCCAATTATCAAAGAAATGCGATAATCCCATCCCAAGATATGGCTGAGAGAATCAAAAACTTCACATCTCCTTTAACAAGCAAACACCATACCATCGCATCAATCCACCAAAGGGAGAGTCAGTGTCCAAAGAGATGATTTAGAAAGGGAAAGCAGGAGTTAAGAGTGAGGCAAGGAAGAGGGTAAGCTTGTCAAATCACACACAGTTTCTACCTCAACATAACCCTGACTTTGACATAAAACATTTCCATTTAAAATTCCCCCTCCCGAACAATATCTTGCAAAATTTAATAAGCTGAATCCTTCGTAATTCAGAAGAGCAATATAAACTGCAACACCAATAACCATTTTGAACAATTTTGCCAAAATGTACCCCCTCTCTTGATATTCAAGTCTGAAATTATTGTCTACGTCAGTTCATCTCTGTATATTTTTTATTAACATTTTTTTTAAATTTTTGCTTTAGGCAATACCGGAACAACATATATTTCCATTCAAAAGTCATTCATTCACTAATACTATGTTTATTTTTTTAAATGGTCATCAATTTCTTTTCCACAAAGATAAGTTAAACATACATTTCGGAAACTGTTTTCTTCCTTTCTGAAGTTTTAATACCTCTCAAGATTTAGCTAAGATTTTTACATATCTGGAAAAATGGTGCAGCAGTTTACTTTCTCAGGTTCTTCAGAAACTGTGTGTGACCTCCAATTATTTCAAGCTTATAATTACCTTTAATTGTAGGTATCGGTGAGGATACAGTTCTCCTATCCTTCATAGTTTGTTTATGTATATTAGTGGGCGGAGACTCACTGATTGACGGCTGATAAATAAATAAGAACACAAAACCTGAAGCAAACGTAAGTGCAACTACAAATGGACCATTCCGCCACCTTGGTGAAGACGAGCATGAATACATGTAGAGTACATATGGCCGCCCCACAAGACCCCTGCACCAACATGGTGAGCAACCAACATCCACTGAGCAGCTGGCAACTGAACTAAACACATAGAACACTGGGCACGTACTAGCAAAGTCATTTAAGCCAATCAATTCATTTTTAGCCAAATCAAAAATGTTCAGGTTTGTCAATTGTAAATTAAGGGTTATGGGGGTTGGAATCAGCTTTTATTTTCTTAAGGGGAAAATGTCATTTCTTGCCATTAGCAAAAATTGTACATGCTAGTCATAGCCCAGATGTATACAGAACTAAATAAATAAATAACAATAATAGCAACACGACAGTATATATATATGGGTACCTGGGATAGCAGGAATAGGTAAACCTTGATCATCCCGCGAGGAAGCTCGACTAGGGCCTGATTCACTGATCGACGGCTGGGGAGTGTACGAAAAATAATAAAACAAATAAATGAAAGGATGACAATGATACACAATTAATCTACTGCAACTACAGGCCGTGGCACATACTGTGTGGAGAGCTGTAGGGACTGCTGACACAGAGTGTGCGACATGAATCAAATACCTGGCATCAGAGGAAGAGACAAGGCTCCCATATGACAAGCTCCGCTAGGACCAGATTCACTGATCAGAGGCTTCAGGGAAGAAATAAAACATAAATCACTTCATTTTATGATCATGAAATATAGCATGAGAAAATAAAATAGCATCATGATATTATTGCGTTAGAAAGACCTCTGGAAGTTTTTTCTCTTTATATAATATAATTTTTTTTTTCTTAGTTGGTCCACCGAATGAGTTGTCAGCTTGCCATCAAATTCTGTGTTTCTGAAAAAGTGAAAAGTGCAGGAATAAAATGGAAATTAGGTATGACCTTCCAGCTCCCCATACATGGGATGTTGTCTTATGGGAAAAAATATAAGAACACACAAAATAAGACTTCTTATCACCATATCATTTGTGTATAGAAATAAACAAAATATCTTATTTCACTTTATTCATTATCAAGTTAAACCCTTTATAAACAGTTGAATTCAACTAAAAGTTAAGAAAGAAAATAGTAACATCTTACTGGAACTATATAATTCACATTTATTCAAAGTCATATTCCTTTGTCTAATTCCCTTTTCAATATACCACAGAGACAATACATTTACCTGTTGTTTATTTCATTTTTCATCACTTGTCATTCCTGGTAATATTACTTTACATAAGAACATATCCCATTACCTTCTTCTTTCTCATGCCCAGTTTATCTCCTGTGATACCCAAATCAGCAAGAACAGTTGCCATATCCCTTGTGTTGATGCCGCAGTTGTTGGCCACATTTTTCTGACATCTTTTGTGCACATTCATCTTACAGACTAAAAAAGAAAAACAAGGCAGCAAAGCTGTCAAATGTACAGACAAAATAACAGAAAAAAGGATGCAAAAGAGGTNTCAAAGTTCAGCACAGATCTCAAAAAGATAACAGATAGCATGGTATGAAGTTCAACAAATGAACCATGCTTGTGTCATTACCTTCAGCAGGTCCCATTTCTGCTGGGATGTTTGAATAAATATATATATTTGTGGTAGAAAAATGCAACCTACTCTCTGAGGCTATGGGAATTATAAGACAAGCTGTTACCCTTACCCCCCCCCCACACACACACAAACACACACATACACACACAAATCCACTTACCCTCACACTGGAGTCCCTGTCTTATAAGCCCATACAGCAGCGAGCCACAATGATCACAGAAAGTGAAGCGTTTGTAGTTATGGACAACAAATCGATGTGGCACATTGATGTTGAAGCGCTTGTCATAAATCACCTGGAAATATTATATATATATTTCACTGTGTACAAGGCTCAAACTCTCTGCAATTGAAGAAATCCAGTCAACTTTCATTTATTTGGAATTGGTCATCCCAGTTATTTCAATGCTGGATTTCTCCGATGGTTGATTAAATGCCTTGTTCTCATCATTGGATGACAATGAAGTTATTTTCCTTAAAATTTCAAGAATGTAAGGAAATATCTGAATATTATTATGTCATTGCATTCACATAAGACAGACAAAGGGACAGACAGAAATGTGCTGTAAACATGTGGTTGTATTTACTTTTCTCAATTCTGTAGAATTCCGATGGTTTGCTAAACACTTGTGGTTGGATTTCTTTCAATATCTTTCCAGTTTCTGCTCACTGACAATATTTCTTCGCCAAAAGCTTGATCAGCTTCCTTCATAAATTATAATTAACTAACAATAATGAATTAAGCCATATTTACCCCTACCTCCTCAGTGGATGTGTCCTTCATTCCTGGGCATTTTGTAACAATAATCTGATGACAGCGTTTGTGGACAACACATGTGCACACTGAAATTACGACATAATCATACACCACTGTTCAACTGTTAACCATTAACATTTATACCACCTTGTGATAGAATCAAATTCTACTCCATCAAATATACAACTCCTAGCAGGTGAAAATGTCATCTGCATGGGTGTAAGTTGTAAAAACTGAAAATCCTGAAAACTCAGCTTGCAATTTCTCATCACATTTAGACCATACGATAAAAACGACTGAACTGAAGACAAATATCAGGAATAACCTTGAAAACTTTCACCTATGTATAAGTAAATTGTTAAACAAAGCAGTAAGATAACATTTGTGAAAAATAATCTATAACCATAGCCATTACTTTGATAAAAATGAAAACTTTCACCTATGTATGAGTAAAATGTTATGCAAAGCAGTGATATAAGATTTGTGAGCAACAATGGTAAACATAGCCATTACTTTGATAAAAAAAAATGCTTAGTTATGATCTTTTTTATTTTTAAAAATATTTAAATAAAAATAAAATCCTGACTTACCCTGGCATTGATATCCTTGTTTCCAAAGTCCCCTAAAAAAACATGAGATAATACTTAGGATGTTCAACATAACTACACATTTGGAGGAGAGTAAACTATTAGAAAATGAAGTCTTGACAATCGGCAATGCACTATAAGTGTAAAAAGATTAAATAAAACTGAGCCAATAAAGGTCCATTAAAGGCCCCAAAATAATCCAATATACATTTATGATACTATGACTCAAATGTATGATAACGATTAAAATAATTAGTTTCACTCTGAATTTTGTGTATCTAAGATTGAAGCTATCAGCAGTGGGAAACTTTTCTTGTTTACTTTTGTCAGATTACCTAGTTTTTATAGACAGTTTTTGTTTCAAATTCCAAATATCTTTATAATACAAAATATCAAGTTTCATAAGTAGTTAACATATTTCACAAAGAGAGATTTGTTACAATCATATTTAATTAACAATGTCTGACTTAATCATATATTGATTCTGATCTGTCAAAGATTTGGTCCAAAATTAAAACTGTCTTTGAACATTCACAAATGCAATAAGCTCACTGCAATGAAAATGATACTTTATATATATTTTACACTTAAATTTTACACCACGTTTTCAATTCTGAAATAAAATAATAAAAAAAAAAAATGATAGCGTGCTATAGCTTGAATGCCATTGCTTTTTAGCTACTAAAACACAACACTTCAACAACAACAGAAAAGTGACTTTGCTGTAGGCTTTGCAAATCAATGCCCTAATTTTTTTAATGCAGGAGCTTTTAGTCTGATGTCCTCATTTTTCAAAATCCATAAGACCTTTTATATCATACAAGTCAAAATCTGATTAGGTTTGATGTCCCTAAATAACCTGGCCTATAACAACCTTCCAGTTACCTAGATGTAAATTAATTGTTTTCCAGGTTAATAAATGCCCCACATACTGTTGTGCTGTGTATTCGCTGATTTTCTAGGCATATACCTACAGAAGACATTACTAAAAAGATTTAATACATCAGCACAAAATTAGGCAATACTTTAGAGAAAATCAGAAAAGAATTTGCTTTTTGCAATCAACAGCACTAAGAGAAAATGCAAGAATTTTTTTAATTACATGTGTCCTGAATGACCTAAATAACAGTCTAAGGCTTCATTCACATGGAAAGTCTATTTTCTAAATTCTATTTTCTATTCGCGGTATGTTTAGTGATCACGGTCTGTGCCCTGAATATCCAGCGGCGTTATTACTGGCAGCGCGAGCCAGTTACTTGTACAAAGCTGTAATTAACTCTCGGCTGTGCTCGGAGGAGATTCTGATACCTTTACGCATGCGCAGTAGGAATTAATGGTGACCGCGATTGCTTTGAAAAATGTGTTTGTCGATTTTGTGCATATTTCGCGTCTGTATGTTTGAGTCGTCACACCTAAACCGATGAACTCCACAGCTTAGAGATACTAATGCGCATGCGTCAAGCTATCAGAATTTCCTCCGAGCACACCCGAGAATTAATTACAGCTTTGTATAAGTAACTGGCTCGCGCTGCCAGTAATCACGCAGCGGGATATTCAGGGCACAGACCGTGATCACAAAACATACCGCGAATAGAAAATAGAATTTAGAAAATAGACTTTCCATGTGAATGAAACTCAGATATCCAATTCTGAGAAACCTAAAGTATTCTTTTTATGTGTAACCTACTACAGTACATTATGACTTCAAATATATATATAATTGGCATATTTAGAGTCTAAAACATGTTGCAATGAAATACTACAGTTTGACATTTATCAACCAAACCTAGCCTTTTTTATTAGCTGAATCACCCATTGCAAATAAACTAATAAAAGAAAAATAAATATAAAAAGAGAGAGAGAATGAAAAATATACAAATTTGTTTCTAAGGTATGTAACATGTCTTGCTAAAAAAAAAAACATTTAAATTCCTTCTGCCTAAGAACTTCACAATTCTAAAAACACCCTACAAAAACATTAATTTAATACTTCCACATCAAGAAACCTTTGGACATGGACAACTTCTTACAGCTGTTAAATAGTGAAGTATACTTTTTCTAGGAAAGAGATGCAATTTAACAGCTCTATCACATCTATCACAGTCACAACAGCATTACACTGCCTTGAAAAGAAAATCATTTCACAAGTGTGAAATGTGACAGTGACTCAGTAAGCAGACTGGAACTTGAAGGAAACAGACTCATAAATTATAAAAGAAAACAAACTATTTCAATTTTCATTCAGTGTTAACTAACAAAAGGTAAACCCAGCTACCTAAGGGCTTTCAAAAGCTATGTATCCAAATGGCATTCTTAGTCATATTATTGGATATTTCTCAGAAACAGCTGTGCAAATACACTTCTGAGAACCCCCTGCCACTAGGTTGTTTACCTGGGTCACCTGGAATAGCACACCTGTACAACCTGCACATTAACACATCTCTGACCTTTCAAGATCTATACTACATCCAAATAGTTATAATCAGCCAAAATTATAATCATACCTAGCCAGAGTTGTAAACACATAAAAATACTATCAGGAGCCAGCATACACTTACACGTTTCTAGACTCATAATATCAGGTTACTAGTTTTTTAAGTGGCTATACTCATTACAATTGAAGTTCACAATATCAACACACACACACACACACACACACACACACACACACACACACACAAAGCTTTCAATAAATAAATGGTTCTAAGAGAGTAAGTCTAAATTAAAAATGTTTATTTACCATATGAAGTCTCTACAAACTGAGCAAAAAGTGGGCTGGCGAAGCCATGTTGTCATAAACTTATGTCCGTTGACCTGGTGGACTCTCCTTCTCATAGCGCCACGACGGCGATTGAGCAGCCCCTCCTTCTCCTTGAACACTCTTTCTTTTGGTGGTTCTGGAAAAAAAGAAGCACCAAATTTTTTCCAAATCTTCTTTATTTATTGCACTTCTGTCAGCTTAAACTTTTGCATACCAGCATAATTCACATTGATAAACTTTTATCTGTTTTACTTTTTAAACTTTTTTAAAATGAGAACTCACCCTCAGACTTGGCCCCACTGAGTTCAATGAGGATGTGAATTTTTCCACAAGGCTCCAGATCAACCTGAAGTAAAAAATGAAAGAGGAAATCAGTCTGCAATATAAATACATTTATCATTAGAATGTTCAAAACTTCAATGAGGGGAGAAAATCTAAATAAAGACTGATGACAGAGTTAATATAGGAAGCAATTTTGAAAAATTTTTTGGAAAATAACAAGCCAGTGTAGAAAAACTTATGAAACCACCAAGGTCACCAATGCCCAAATGAATGTTTAACCTAAATGTCAGTTTAGGTTGTACAATCATGTCACTGCAAACTTCATTGGCATTACAGTATCACTTTATTTGATATCACTTTCTTACCAGTGTTAACCTATGCACTACGAAGCTGATATAAAAACAATAAAATCATCTTTAAGAGGGAGTTATATCAAATCAAATGTGGAGGTCTCACTAGATATAAAATCAGAAAATTAATCTATATTTCAGAGTTGAACCATTTCAACAGCTGGCTTTATCAATTCAGGCATATACAAAGCCATCTGAATTCAAGTCAGCATCAGCAAAACCCAGCAACCTTGACCTAAATATGTTAAGAGCAAAATCAGGGCAGGGAATGAGATCTTTGCACATTTCTTCCCATTCCATTTTATCAATAGCTATCACACCACCATTTGTGGTTATTGAGTTATTCCAAACTTCTCAACTTGACACAAAGCAGGCTTGTTTTTTATTTCAATGTTATGTAACTGGTACAATTCTAATAAGCACCCCTTTTATTGACCTTAATATAACCTATAAAATCCAACAAACATAACATCTCTTACTGACAAAATACTTTGGCTAGGGCACAGTATGGCTGCCAATTATTAGAAAATGCACTGACTGACCTTAAAAAATTCAAACTCCAAATGTGACAGGCCATCAATTTGGAGTGTGTTGCAGTTTTTTTAAGTAAAAGACAAATACAACACAGCAGCAGAAAGGGTCTCAGTGCACAGTTTTCAGCAATTCTTCTTCTTATGAACAAGGGTGTGATTTGAGAGGGGGTTGAGACTTGAAATTTGATGATGTTGTGCAATTGTTCCAGAAAAGTTGAAAAAAAAAAAAAAAGGTTAAGATAAAGAAATTGAGCTATGCTATATCTTTCTATATCACTTCATAACAGCAACATATTTAAGCATGTTCACATCTAAATCTTGATAAATTTTTTAAAGAACATTAACAATCAAACAATTTGCCTCAATTATGAAAATTAATGATAAATGCAAATATCAAACAGCTATAAATAGCAAGGTTGACTAACAGCTGTCACCGTCATCTAAGATTTGGAGACATCTTGTCATAAAATTTTTCTCAACTACATAAAATTTGACTGCATGGATTTGATATGAAATCAGGCAGCTTGACCCAGGAACTTTACTAAATAAATGAGGACAAAAATTCAGACAGACTATCTCTTCACATTGAATGCTGCACAAGATTTCATAACAGACAGAGATGACTGAACCAACAATTAAGTGATGGAAAGAGTCTCTCACAATGTAAAATTCAACAGACTTGGTCACAATGCTGTTGCCATGCATCAAAATTAAGCTAGTTTTATGATCAACAATAGTAAGTTCATACAAAATGCCATGATCAAAACATTTCATTTTAATTCAAAATAAGAGTGAAAATATTTTTTTTCTTTCTAGGGAATCTATTTGAAATGAAAGATCAAGGTGTAGCTAATATAGGACATAAAGGAAAAATAATCTAAAGCGCAATACAATCTATTTCATAGGACATTTTGTTCAAATAAACTGCGCATAAGGCATATGCATTAAACTTTTGCTTTTTTTCATAAAATATGATTAAGAATTACATGTTCATTACACCAAAACAACAACAAAAATTAAACTATTCATCATTCTAGAATGAATATTTTAATAATCAACATTAAGGAAAAGTGCCACATGGGACCATGACAGGTAGTGAATCAGCAAGAGAGCATTTGTCATGACTCTTTCGTAATCAACAAAATGCCTTTAATAATGAACACATGATCATGACCAAAAAAAAAAAATCTAAAGCTCATATCCGTTTTAGAAAGGGACCAATACCAAAACACATATGCCCAAAAGAGAGGAATGATTTTTTCAAACGCCTAACACCTCCCACAACCCCTGAATCACTGAGTGATGACTCAAATTCATCTCTAGAAACAAATCACTGTTTTCAGCAAAAAATGTTGATATACTTAACCTCAGCGGCTAAAATATAGCACTTGAACTCTGTGCACATTTATGAGAATATGAAATGTAACAAAACTCAAACACATTTTTTCACAAGTCTTAGGTAAATTGTCAATTCTTTGTTGCTTCATATCATTTGGAATTCGCCAAAATCCTTGAAAAATAGGGAAAAGTTGGGAGTAAGAGGAGCAGAGGCATGCCAAAATAGGTTTAAGTTTGAGACTTCTGATCAAGAAAGAATTGTCGTTGCTTTAACAACATGTGTGCCATTATGATCCCATTATGATCAATCTATCACATTTTTTAAAAGTATCAGAAGTATGTTCCAATTACAGTTGGGATACCCTCCTTTGGAATATCACTGCAGGTTGTATAATAATACAAGTTACAAACTCATCACAGACTGTAAATCTGATCCACTGGTTACTATCAACAATCCCACAGCTTATAATGGTATATGCATCAACTTCAATTGTAAACAAAGATGGACAAATCAACAACTCATTAGGGTCATGCTAAGAAGGGACATTCAATCCTTACTTAAAGCAGTTTAGATTACAGGCTAAGACTATTAAAATAAGACTCTTCACATTTTGAAATACAAGTGACTAGCATTCCTACAGTTACAGTGTGACAACTTGCAAGTCACAAGAGAATCTTTTGCAAAGTTGGATTTGGGGAATCTATTTTTTTACTACTCGCTGGGATGATTTTATTTGCTTTGGTGAATATTGCAACAGATGGACTGCATTAGGACATTTTATGATTTAGACATGACACATTCTGAGAGTTGGTCAAATATTTGCTCACAATAAAAAAACTAACAATATTTTATTCAGCTGTTATTGAATGCATTTGTCAAACTGTGAAATCTACAACAGTCTCATGTAAGATTTCATTTGCATGGGTTAATGAGTTGGACACAACACTCACTTATTAATAGCCACACCTCTACTGGCTCTACATAATAGCTTACTGTACTTCAATATATCTACCTGCATATATTTGTATGTAATAACTGAATAGAAAATTACATTGTTTACGCAAGTAACATACTAATAATGCATTACTAACCCATATATCGGAGTTTGTTTTCAAATCTTCAAAGGGTAGTGAGCAATTTGCTACAAAATCGTCTGGAGGAATCGCTGCATCATGAAACACTGTCAAGTTGATGGCGTTCCCATTGTGGACTTCTGTCACAAAATCTTCATTCCATGATGGTCGTATTGTTTTGCCCTTTGCTGTCGTTCTGGCGACGTACACTTCGTCGACATCGATAGAAATGTAGGGATTCAGATTCGCAGGCCCCATTGCATGTCTGGTTGCAAAGTCCGTCGCCTTCAAATCTACTGCCTCGCAGACAGTCAGCTTTACGGATCCGTTAAAAAACACCATTTTCGATGTCTTATGGAAAACCCAGAGTATCTAAACCTTCCTTCCTTCTCATGGCATGGTTTTCATGAATGAAAGCGACGACTAATGAGTATAATTAACCGTAAATTTACACCATTATCACAAATTTTCACAGAAATCGGAAGCAGTCAATCCCAGAGTTCCTCGGAAAGTTGATTTGAGTTTGCGCACCTTGAAAAGACGCTTATAACATCTGGAAATATTTTTAAAAACTACATAGGTTAGACAAGAATGATGTAATTGATAATCTTTTTATAAAACTCGACAAATATTGACTCATACTTTTCTTTAAATATATGTACACTAACTATACAAATATGTAAGCATCCTTCATTCCATTGATACAAGCGAACATAATGATGTAAACATGGCCGTGTCGGGTTTGTTAAAAATGCAGAGTCTGCGCAGTATTTCCCGATATCTTGGGTAATATAAATATACGCTTTGTTAAAAAGACATTTTTCAGTAGGACAAATAAGGAGTGACTGCACTCTTGAATTGTCACGATTTTTCACAGTACATTCACACTGGAAACGCAAATACCTTTGATAGTTATGAGTGCTTTTTCACATTTTCTGAGGAATTTGCTCCGCCATCAAATTTGAGTCAGGTTGTGTTTACCATGGCGTTGTTTAAACAAGACACGATTTCTATGCAAGAACACGTTACTATTTTATTTTTAGAGATGACACAAAACTTAAAAAATTTAAATATAAAGAAGCAGAACCAGGTATGTAAATGAAGTAAAGATAAAACGTTGAAATGATAGATATATTTAAAAAATCAAGAATATAGTACTGCAAAATGTAGAAGGGATTCAAGTATATTGTTCAACCAATTGGTTTGCTTTTTGTTTTGGCGACAGATGGAGGAATAAGAAATATACATGAGTGTCCTTTTCCCCTTAAGCCTTTCCCTGTAGTTTGCTTCAAGGGGAATCCAAAATTTATCTTTACAGTTTCACTCAGAATATTGATTTAATATATGCTTATACATTTTACACCTTTTGCTGAAGGTTAAACTTGTGTGTCATATCAGTTTGAGTTTATTTTTGTTTTTTATGGTGAATGAAATTTTACATGTACCAGGATGGGGCCTACTAGTAAATCTTGGATAAACCTGTACATTTAGGTTACAACAAGTGAACCAAAAGCTGCTAAACCCGTGTTCACAGTGTTGTAGACAAAGAGCATGCATACTACTCACAAGACAGTTCTCTTCTGAAGCTAACAGTGAGGTCAAGATTGCAGCAGATTCAGTCAACATTACCAACAGATGTGTTGAGGTAAGATAAAAGTGTGAGTTTCTGCTCTCATGGTGATTACTGAATTTGAAGTTTCGGTGATCAGTAATATAAAAACAATTACTATAAGGACCACAGTGTAGGATTTTCCCTCAAAAATTCATACTAAATAAATATTTATGTAACTAACCAACATTTGATCATACTTTCCTGATACTTAACATATACTGTAACAATCTAGGCAAATTAAAAAGTCCTTAACTCACGCTTAAGCATAGTTCTTCAAATTCAGTCATTTTCTTGTGCTCATTTCTTGCTCTGACTTTGGGTTCTGCTTGAATTTAAACCTTCTTCAGATTGTTTTCGCATCACTGATTCATGGCATTTATCTGTTGAAATGTGATTAACAATTATTATTACTTGTCCTCAGATAAGTTCAGCAAGAAGTGGTTTGTGTACTTATGTTTAAAATCTACACATTTTCACTTGAAATTAAACCTTTTTATTTTTCTTCAGAGACTGAAAAAAATCACAGCAGATGAGAAGGGGTTATTTCTACGGATATCTGTTGAAGGTGGAGGCTGCTCAGGATTTCAATACAAGTTTGAATTAGACAAAAATATGACAGAAGAGGACGTGTAAGTAGTACTTTTGTTTTTAATTTGCACCAAAATGTAGGCCAATCTAATTCTTGTTGTGGCAGCCTACATTGTTAAAGTAAGCAGCAGACACAGTAGGTGTGTATATTAATTCTGACAAAGGTATATTTATGAAGAATAATTCTATAATAATAGATAAAGAATTATCATTTAGATTGATATTCCATACATTTTCAAACTCAAGTTATATGCATACATATTTCAAAAACATAATATAATATTTAAATCTTGGAACAAATTTTCACTTCATTTAGTTCATTTACGTTCATTTTTCCAGTGTCATTGAAAAGGATGGTGTGAAGATTATTACAGATACTGACTCAGTGGAATTTCTGAAAAACTCAACAGTAGATTTTACAGAAGAACTTATACGCAGTTCATTTCAAGTTGTGAATAACCCTAATGCTGAACAAGGCTGTTCATGTGGTGCTTCATTTTCTCTAAAACTATGAACTTCGTGAAATTTGCATTGATGCAAAGTATGATGCACAAACAAATGAAAGAATCAACTTGTTTTGTTCTGAATGCTGTATTATTCCTATAAACGAATTCTTACTTAGTATGTCCTACACTGACAAATCTCAGTGAAGAGCAGAGCTGCACAAAAGGTTATATTCTGTACATACAATGTAAGAAATGTGTTTTTTGGGAATTTAAAAATTGATCTTGAACATTTTACTGTTAATGAGCCATTTACCAACAATGGAAGTCACATAATTTGGTTAATTGAATTGAATGCAAAATTGAATTACGCTTATATGCATGCTTATGTAATTACTGCACATATATAATACGTAAGTTACTTGTTTTAATCAAGAGCAAGTTAATCATAATAAAATGAGTGCCACATTTGGATTGATTTACTTACAGATTAACTTATTTGTTCAACAGTATTGCCAAATGAAATAAATTCTCCAAGACAATTTAAAAGCCCTTCCATGAATTTTTCTTGGTTTTTGTACACATTGTGGGGAAACTGGCAAACTTTGAAGATATTCTGATATAAATGTTTTTGTGGCAAATTTTGGAAATATAAGATAGGAAAAATTTCGTTCAGCATGTGGACATGCATTTTAATGAACTGACCAACAGAAGGAATTATGAGTAACATTAAAATTTGTTTGGAAACTTTGCAAGTTTTGTTTATCAAAGACAAGAAAAGGTAGCTTCAATTTACTTTATTTATAGGCAAACTAAAGCACAAATGACACAGATGAATGTAAGGATACTTCTCAATATTTACAAACAACTTGAACCTGTTGATAAGTAGATATTCTATGTGAAATGACAGTAATGACAATATCTCTGAGAAGTAACCATGTGTATGAAAAACAAAATGCTCTAATAATATTAATAATTTCCATGCACTTTTACAGCGATAAAATACTTAAACCTTCCTTTAATTATTGTGGACATGATGCAGTCAGCAATGCAAATCAAATGATTGCCATTCTACACAGACCATCATAAGCAAAATAATTAACGGTCTAAAGGCCAAAATAATACCCTGACAAATTCAAGACATTTTGAAGTATTTTCAAAAGCAAACTCGTTGACAAAAATTGAATGAGATGTTCAATGAACTTATTATCACACTGTGTCTAATTGACCACTTTAATTAAGAATTCAAGTCTATAAATCGAGTCATAAAAATCTAAATGCAAGAAATGGCATTACACAAATACAGGAGCTGGCACACTATTGCAATGTTCCTTCTCAGTCACTAATTTATAAAGCGATAAAAGTTGAACATTTTTGTCTTGGTGACAAAAAAATATAATAGAAAACTAAAAAGTTGTCATTTATATATTCATTTTGAAAAAAAATTATATTTCTGAAATCTGGTGAAAATGTTCTATTGGAAATGTTTGTTAAGTATCAAAGCAAGGAGTCCAACTGTTCTTGATACTTCTACACAACAAGAGATTTTTTCCCAATCTTATAAAATTTAAATTATTGATCAAGTGAATTCTTTTCCATTTCTGAGTAGCTCTATTATGCCCTTCACTGGCAGCATTATGGCAATGTTCACGACAGCAGTGCAAGGATCATGCTGAAAAGAAATGATATGGTAGATATATTAATGATACACATAATATATATTATATATTAATGCAAACATGTTTAAAATGTCTATAATGATGTTTTAAAAGTTTATTCTAAGATCTAATCAATTAACATTTCTTTATCCTAATCACGGAAATCATTTTATATCAAGTTCAAAATCAAGTCACTCACCAATACAAGTAGATAAAAAAGAATATCAGATGAACTGCAAGTTTGATCATGGCTTCTTTCATATGTGATCTGAGCTGATGTCTGTTATGAATTTCAGCTGGATCAAAAATCCCAACATTGCCAGCAGGTTTTTTCAAATACCTAAAATATGAATTTCACATAGTTAACATTCAGATATTTAACAAGAAAGAGAATTCACACGAAAATTGTTCCAGAAAAAAAAAATAAGGATAAATTAAGTAAGAGACAAAAGGAATTGAAAATATGTCAAAAAAGGAGTAACTGCACTGTACAAAACTCATGTACATAAAGATATGAAATACTATGAAAAGGGATTTCTCTGAGATTGTACGTTGTGTACCAACATCTTACACTTCACACAGTTCTTTGACTGTACCAGACAAAAGTGTTAAGATAAAGATGATCTTATGAAAACTTACTTATATATCTGCCATCCTGCCAAAGGAGTGTTTAACAAGAATACTCCCCAATTAAACGTGATTAAGAAAAAAAATGTTAGGATTGTATGAGCAGCTAACTCGGGGAAAACCCACTGAAACATAAAATTCAAATCATTACTGTATAATCTCCATTTTCCCAAATATACAACAACTCATACAAAATACAAGATAAATAGAAACTGAGAAATAACTGTTTGGTCAATGTATGCAAAGCACCAGATTTACTGGTATATATAAATATAGAGCACTATGGAGCTTATTATGTTATATTTATATAATTTATAATCATAAACTGGAAATGTAGCCTACCATATTTAGCCTGTTACAGCATGTTGTTGCATTGAGGTAATCACATTCTAAATCAGACAGAGTGATGACCTTGAAATGCATGTTAAGGAAACATACAAATATAATTTGACTAATTCAATACCTTCAACATTTCCATATCAAATGTGTACATCTCATTCAGATGCTTATATTTTGGGACAAAACCTTTGTAGCATGGTGTATAAGGTGAATGTAAACAGACAAAATCACCACATCATGAAGATATTATTCATTACAATGAAAGACATTTATTGATTTCAAACCATACTTATATGTAAATTATATACTTAATAATTTCATAAATGTTTTAAGGCTGATACATAAATTTCAGTGGTGATGCACTATGTTACAGATTTACGAGATTATAACATAATAGAAGTACCAAACTAAAGTGACATTTGCAGGTTTTTATTGGCATATGATTCCGTTTCACAGTCTATAATCTCTTAAATTCAAACAAGCCTACTTGATGGTCGCACTTGCAATTGCTTTTAAATTCAAGTGTCTGTTTCCAAATGTAATCACTGCATGACTATAATTGCCGATATGATAAGATAATGACACATTTTACGAAGCACGCTACCACCTGTAGAAGTACTGAAAAAATTTCACCTTCAAGGATACAAAATAAACTGTCAGAAAGAGCAAACATGCCCCGTCTAGCAACGCAAATATGAAGAGAAGGGAATCCACCGACATCGTTCAGAGTTTTGAAACTATTCACAGATGTCGCTTTTGGGACAAGCCCAAAGCGATAGTAATATTTTGGTGTAAATTTGTTAATATGTCATCCAATATCATACTAAATGAATTTTATTGGCATTTTATGATGAATAAGGCATTCAGAATACATACTCAATATATTGTACAAATGAATAACTGGCATTACATTACGTTCCCTCTTGACTTTCCCTGACCACCCGAAAACGAGACTAAGCGTCAAAATGGCCGATGATCTACGCACTAATCTCAACTTTGAAGATATCAATCATGGTCTGGCTCGTTTCCGAGATAATGTCATACTCAAATCAAGAGAAGAATCGAGAAAAATTATATCTACGTGCATTGAGAAAGTAATCTTGCCAGTATTGACCAAAATTGGAGAGATAGAGAAGCGCTTCCATTGCTCAGTGCCCTCTTCTATGAACGCGAGTTATTTCGAAGGCTTAAAAGTGTCAGCCAAGAATGAATTCGAGCTCATGGTGAACTTGGATCATTTAACGGCCTTCAAATCCTTTGATGATCTGGGCAATCGAGAAAGCAAATATGCCTGTTATGGCTATTTGTTGTGCAAACACAGCTATCACAATTTGTCAGACGTGGTGGTCAGCCCACCCCCAAATTGCAAGCATGATAAAGATGATCAGGTCATCTCAGCGCTGAAAGTAAGGAAGCATTTTGCTGAACTGGCCAGCCAGGCTTGTTCTCATATCAAATGTGACGAGGGGCTTCAGGTTGAAGCACAATTTCGAGGTATGTGTTTTTATGTATTAATTTGCTTTTAACGTTACATAATAATGTTTATTATTTGTATTGTATTTTTATTGCACTTATTGTATTTACATAATTTAAATTTAGTCAAAAGAAAATACTTACAAGGGTTGTTATTATTTCATAAATGTGAAAAAGCAAGAGGACTAAACACTATTTTGAAAATTACTTGGTACTCTCAAACATCACGTACCATCCTGATAATTTTAAATTAAATCTGCATGTGGGGTAATGTAAGATTTTAAAATACATAATTTAAGGTGAGGGATAAATGAGGATATCTACATGAAGGTGTTTATCTATTTCAGATCCTTACACTGTCTTGAAGATCACCATGGATGACAAAGCTTACTACTTTGAACTTGTACCTTCCCTACCTTTTGTGAATGCATGGCCCCCAAGTGCTGAGGACTTTGGAGTACGCACAAATGAATGGCTAACAACAGATGATGTCAGAGAAATAAAGCAGATGGGATATAGTGTGATCCCAATGATTTGCCCTGCAGACCCAAAGAATGAAGCTCTTTGGAGAATATCTTTCTCCAAAGCTGAGAAGTATGTAATGAGATACGAAGATTTTGGTGATCCACGCGGAAGGCGCAAGCAGTGTTCCAGTTTCCTCAAAACCATTCGTGAAGCTAACAAAGAAGCTATGAGACCACTGGTTTCTTACCATCTCAAGACCCTTGTCCTAAATGATTGCATGAAGTGGCCAAAGGATGAAAGCTGGACACATGAATTACTGTCTCAGAGGTTTGTTGGGCTGCTTTGGCACCTAGATGATGCACTGGAAAGAAGAAAACTACCTCATTTTTTCATCAAGAAATGCAACCTGTTGGCACCCTATGATATGGTTGATCTACAAGAACTGGCCACAAAAGTGAAAGATATTTTCAATGATATTGTGGTGAATCCCCTTACAAGTTCACAGTTGAACATTAAACAGGGACATTAAAATGCTGTTTTAATTCTACTACATTTGAATTGTGTGATGGCAGTGTAATCTATTTAGAAATATGATAGGAATATAACATTGGTCTTCCTGCATATATGCATAATATTTGATATATTTTTATTTTTTGTGCAGTTTAGACTTCATCTTTTACTTTGAGTTTAGAAAAGTGCATACTTATATTTCACTAAGTTTATTCAATCTCATTATCCTTATCCTGAGTATTTACAAGAAATATCTAAATCAGGGAAATGTTCAGATAAGAGTATTTGTAAAATGTGAGGAAATGCTGATCTGTACATGGAATATTCAATATATACTTGACTCACCTGTACAAGCCTTACATTCCTTGCACTTTATTTGTGACAGTTGTATTGAAAATTTACATATCAGTCATTTATTCTAGTAAAAGAAACAGGGACCAACTCTATGTTACCAATCATGTGTTTAGAGATTTAGACTCATGCAGTGTTTCACTGTTTGTTTATCAATATGCACCATTTTAAAGATTGCAGTGATAGCTTGACATTAAAAAAATTCTTGAATGTTATTACATTAAAAATAGACTGCAACTGACAATCCAAGTTCCAAATTGGGGATTTTGGAAGGAAACCAGGTGCCAAAGCCTTGAACAGCAGACTAAACTTGATACAGCCATAAACATCGATTTTTAAGAATGTATTCCTGTAGTATATCTAGTTTTTTTTTTTAAATCATAATCACCAAATTTATATAAATGTGTAAATAGTACTTTGGCTGACGTTACATTTACCTCTGCAATAAAAAAATTCAGGTCCTAAGTAGCAGCTTATTTTGACATATTTTAAGCTCTATTTTTACATTTTGTATAATTTAAATTTAACTTTTAAAAGAATATCCACTATAAGAAGTATTTTGGCTGTGACTTGGATCTAATATATACTTTCTAATATTATCTTTTTTTATGACAGAAGTAAAAGAACAAATCTTTACTATGGTATACAGATTTGTTAGTACTTTTTGTAGAAATGGGTGTCTTTTTTATCACCCAATTTGCCATTTAGTTGAATGACATGAATGTCATGATCTCTATATGCAATATTTTTAAAAATCAATAATTTTACAATATATGCCATAATTGCAAGGATAAATATTTCCTTACTAGTTAGTGTTGTATTTTTATGCCATCGTAATCTTGTAGCAAATGCCATGATTTTTAGGACTGATGTTCCCTCCCAATTTATTATAAATGTATTTGGCACTGTAACATCTTTATGTAGCAAATTAAAGATGAAATAAACAATACCTGGATAATTAACATAAGATATCTTGACAGTATTGACTATTACTGGTTATTAAATGTTATTCCAACAAGAACAATAGCTTTTGTGCTCTGTCTCACAGCTCTTACAAGATATGAAGATATTTGAACTGGTACAAATTATAAATCCTGTTTTTAATTGAAAACAACTTTTTTTAATGAAAACAATTTTTAAATATAATTTTTACTTTGAAAGTTTGACCAATACAGTATATTTCATTGAATAATGATTGCACTCACTGCATAGAAGTGACACAAATTGCAATTTGGAGAGCTGTAGAATCCACGGGTCCCCCTTCAAATAATCCTGTTGATATGGGCCAAGTGATATGACACATAAAGAGTGCCTGCACCTCACAGGAAAATAATTCAAGAACAAGTTGTTTACACATTACATGTTTATTGTTTTAGTTCAGTATGAAACAAGCACCAGTAAAGTGCCATTTTGGTATTAAATATATAAACTGACCATAGCAGAAATGAAGTTCTGTAAACTAGGTATCACTACCATTCATAATTGCTTCAGTTAAAACAATAAAGTACTCATAATAATGACAAAGCTTTGTGGCCAACTTCTCAGCAGCAATTCATCTATTATCTTCTCACTCAAAGTCCTCCAAGGTAAAATCTTTACACTACATTAACAGTTTGATTTTGGTCACTAATCGCCAATCTTTTACATGCTACAGTAGAAGAAAACTAGTTTTTAAATAATGTACATTTCTAAATAGTTGAGGTTAGCTTCTTCTTGTAACATTAACTCAAAATGCATCGAGTTAGGAGTACAGCAGTTTTGCATAATGCCATGCTGTGAAATAATTGTACATTTTTTTCTCTCTTGGAAAAGCCTATGCTTTTCCCTTTGGGTGTATGACCAATACAATGGTCATTAATAACTATAAGATTAATTACTGAAATGTTTCCCTCCCAAAACATGTGGAACTTTTCTAAATGGTTTAAATAACCGACAATTTGATCTAAATTATCTTACTATTATAACCGAACAAGTCAATAAATAACATCTAGATATGAAATGTGGAGAAAAACAGCTGCTGTATGTTTTTAGCTGTCTAATGTTTTATAAACCTACGCGATGTTAAATGAAAGAACTGTAGTGTGGTACTTACTCATTCACGCTTCAAAAAGTTAATGCATTAAAGCTAGTTTGCATTGAAATAAAACATACTCATAAATAAATAGAGACCTTACATCTAAATATTCACCCCTGGCTAGCTCCTTTTGACTTTATTACTTACAACATAATTTTAATTGAATTTTATCAAAGGCGTAATTAGTTGTATAATTATAAATTTGAAAGTATTAAGTTTTTTTCACTTCGCCTAAAATCCAAACTGGGTTGTGAATCGTTATTTAGGGTACTGTTTACGCTTTTGCTAAAAACAACAACCACCTGGTATAGTGTTGTTGATTCCATTTCCAAATACATGTTATCTCTGTCATCTACTACCTTACACTGGTTTAATAGAGATATGCATGTTTTTATTAGATCATGATCTGAAAACCTGATTGCATAATAACAATTTAGTTCTACCTCTCCACAAGGCTATAGTGCCAATAAGTCTCTCAAAACAAGCACAAATTATAATCTTAAATATACATGTACACCACGTACCATCATCGATTCTATACACATTAATTAATTAATTATAGTCTTTATGTATTGTTTATTAAATGTCAGGTGCCTAGATTATGTTCCAGTTCATCATACAAACACTTTTGCCAAAGCATCGGCTCCTGCACTGGCAATGTATGGTTTTGATGGATGAAAGGCGACATCGAAGATGGATTCGTCAAATTTCTTCCTATGGGAGGTAATCTCTTGGACGCATGTTTTGCTGTCCAGATTCCAGAGTCGTATTGAACAATCATGACCTAAAAAGCAAAATTTTCCAAAGTTTTAACTAGGCATTTTATTCCTGATGGTTGATGTAATGAAAGATGGTTGATGTAGTGAAAGACATGACAAACAAGTACAAAATTCACAAAATAGTTGAACTTATTTCATTACAGCAAAATAACAACCAACCACATCATATTCAGATAACAATACTTACTTCCTGATAATAAATATAAACCATTTGGATCTACTGCTAGACTGGTTACAGCGTCTAAGTGAGCTACCATAGAATGCAACATTTTCCCTGAAAATGCAAAGGAGGTTGTCCATGTAAATGCATACACATTTCTAAGACCAATATATTTATATTAGTATTGAATTAGTGATTTTGATAAAAAATCTGAACTGTGTTATGATAACGGCATAATTCTCATACACTTTCTTCATTTAACTAATATAATTGGTCATACGAGGTCCAATGGATTATTGTACAACAATCTTAAAACTACAATAAATAAAATCATCACTCACTGACCTGTGTTATTATCATAAAACCTAATGTGCCTATCTTCATGAGCTGTAATTGTGACTGGGAGGGTGGGATGGCTGATAAGTCTATTTATGCGCCCATTGGGGGAATCTGGAAATAAAATATCAAAATAATTTACATACTCCATGAATTTCTTAACATGATGACTTATTAAAGATATAAATAAGTCATCTTTATGCATATCACTTTTAAGATCCTAAAAATAACTGGATTTGAAATAGCTTTATACTATTCTGTTAAGCAAAAACTAATCCACTAAAACTAGTAGGAGCGATATTAGGCATACTGTCAAACAATCAATGTTTAGCTTAGTCGCATTTAAAGACAAAAGTTACCTTTAAGACAATATCTATCAAATACTCGAGAGATGAACTAATACTAAAGTGCTAAATGCAAAGAAAGAGAAGAAAATACCATTCCTGAATAAAGACACAGCAACCCTCACCTTTACCTTCTGCAGTTTCCAACTTGATAACTTGTTTGGCAGTTTCCATGTCAAAAATGAATGTGTTGTTGGAGGAATAAGAGGCAACCATCTGGTTAGGCTCACAACGAACAAAATCCATAGATGTGGGCACACCCTCTGCAGAGCCGGAAAGACATTTCGTTCATATTGTGAGTTTAAAGATCTGAATCTGTCACATACATTCTTGCCATTTTGACAGTTATTTTTGAAAGGTATCCCTTCCTTAATGCCCAATACAATTCTGCCAAAGACACTGAATTGATTGCATCTCAATATCTTAAAATGAGCCTGTTTTAAAATCAATAAATTAAATTTCAATTTAGTGACTTAGCTCAGACTCAACATACTGATGGTAACATACCATTTTCCACAGTGAATGTGCTAAGTAGTGGATTACTTGTCCCTGGATTCCATAACCTGACTGTGCCATCAGCCGAGCAGGACAGGAGCTGCATTCTAGAGCTGTGAACTGAGAGACCCCAAACAGCATCTGTGTGGGCAACCAGGGTATCAGCCAACACACTGGGGTCTGGAAGACATAGAGACATTATATAGCTGGGTAAAGGTTTATACACACAACCGCACAGGCAATGCGTCAGGTTACACACTTGCAGTATGAACAGAAGGAAAGGTGTGAAATGGGAGGTGGTACACAAAGGTAGAGCTACAAGTCAAGCTAATTTGCAGAATTTTATCTTTTTGTTCTACCTTTCTCGCTCCATAAAATGGCTTTATCTTTTCAATTACACAGCCTTAACTCTACTGAAGTAAAGATTCATGAAGAAGAAAAGCTATTATAAGAGAGCTGACATGAGGGTAAAAATAGTGAAGATTATCCCATATCAACTAATACAAAATACAGCCTGTCAAGAACAGAAGAAATTCTCACCACATTTTGCTAAAATACTGTTCACAACTAATTTCACACTTAGCAACAAAGCGACTTGTACATCACACTCACCAAATGAATCATACGGATCAATATTAGAACTGGGAATATTCCAACACCTAATGGTGGAGTCAATGCCTCCACTGAAGCACTGCTCTCCTGTGGCACTCATTGCCAAGCACAATACGGGGCCCACATGTGCTCTGAATGTGTAGATTGGCTCCACATCCAAGGACGCAGCTCTATCAGAATAAACACAAGATGATGATGATGATGATGAGAGAAAATGAAGATATATCTCATTCATGGTTTTTAGACTTGACCAGTAAGTTTGCCTCACTATACATTAACATAAACTCAAATATGTTCAAACATACATCTAAAAAGATACTCAACAATACCACACTTACTTCTTGGCTGGCACAGTTTTCTGAAGGTTCCACAGTTTCAGTGTGTGGTCTTCAGAACCAGTTATAAGCACAGGTTCCACAGGATGGAACACAAGCGCCCGGACTCCATCAAAATGACTGGAAAAGAAACAAAATGTGTCATCCAAACTATCAATGTTTAAATTTAGCAAAAACTTCAAACCCATGAAATCTAACTTCACAGAGACCCATGGCACCTATGGTGATGTAATGTGGTGTTTTGATAAATGGTTCTTGTCTGAAAATCACATTTATTATACAACATACATAATTACATACGATACTAATAACTGTCTATGTTTACTATATCAGAGGCTTAGATGCATACAGCAACATCTTACTGAGAAATGACACCAGAAACAATGACTCTCACTTCAACTCGTATGAAAAACCATTTACCTTCTAAGTGTATATTTGGCATTCCAAGTTTTCCTAAATGCTTCATTTGTTGCAGATATCTACAATATAAAACATAAACATTGATAAAAACCTAATGTTTACTATATCTAGATTAGATGATGTTTTTTAGAAAATAAATCATTATTATAATATAGCATAGTAAATATAAGCCATTTCTTTACTCACGTCATAGCATAAAGGATCAGCTTCATTGGACACAGTTAATCCGGCTAATTCTCCTAAACCTAGGGCAGCTTCTAAAGCATCGTCATCACCAGGGATACCTAAACATTCAAGAAAAACCCAATAAGCATCTAAAGTAGAAAGTTTTCAAATTTTGTACAAAGAATTTCAAGTTCAGCTTTTATTACAAAAGTGAAATTTACAGAAGTCTGCTTTTGTTAACAAAATTCCAAATAATGCCATTATAATACTCAAATTTAAAAAAAAAAAAAAAAAAAAAAAATTTAAAGCAAATTAGGATTTTGTACAAACAACACACATTTAAGTTTCACATGTAGATAGATAACCATACTGGGATTGTGCCAGCTCCAGTCCAGGTCACAGGCCTTCTATAATATATGATTTCTCACCCAGCTTTTGCATCAATCCAAATCACACACCAGCTTCATCAATACATAAAAAAAAATTTACTAAAAAACTATATATAGTCAAAGTGTTTTTCTTACCTGAATCATCAATTTCTGGTGCGTTTCCCCTGGGTGGACTGGCACTCCCAGACTGGAGTGCTGGCATCTCTTCATCATTCCCTAGGTTGGCTAGCATGGCCTGAAGAGTTGACCTCTTGGGCCCTATAGCAATAAGCATATCAATATAAATACATCTGGCACAACTTTTTTTATTTAAAAAGATACCTTAACTAATGTAATGCTTAGATTAAGTACACTGTTGAAGTAAGCTTTTATCACAAATAACTTCAACAATCTTTAATAAAACAACCTTGTTCACTGTCAGTAAAAGTCAGTTTTAAATTCCCGTTTGTGAAAATTAAGATTTTTTATGTAACTGTGGCATCAAGAAATCAACAACAAGATTCAATCTTATTTTTTGCTTACTTTGAATTCCCTTCTTCCCCTTCCTCTCTTTCTTGTACTGTTCTTTAAGCTTAGAAATAAGTTGCTGGTCAACACCCCATTCTTCATTAGGAGAGAGATCTTTCTTCTCTGAAAAAGAATAAATAAATAAATAAATAAATCAATAAATCAATAAATAAATAAATAAATAAATAAAATAATGTGATTAAAGGTGTCTGAGCATTTCAGCATTCTTTCCATATAACAAGAATTGATAATATACATAATGAAAACATCAACAGCTATGCCAGACCAGCCACTTGACATCACAAAGAAACAATCTTGTCACGTGTTGTCACAAGCCAAGTCCAAAGCATCATATTTGCTTTGTAACAATAGACAAAATTTAATCATTATCACAGAGTATAGTCAAATACATGTCGAGACATTGTAAAAGAACATATGCTGTGTTAGCTGACAATTTGGTAAAAATCAGTAAATAAATTGTAGTCAATAACAATTGAATAGCAATATAAAATGATTAAAAATACTATCTCAACACATGCCCTATACTGAGAAATATCAAAATTTGAAATTATGGTAGCTGACAATTTACTGTTTAAGTTCTTACCTTCCTCAACATAGCACCTAAATGCAGGCCCACTACATGGTATGCAAAAACTTGAAAGTTAAGCATAAGAGTACACTTGTCTGAATAAAGACTTGAGATTTTGTGGTTTTTTGTTCTTTGTTTATTGACAGAGTGGTTTTATGTGGCATCGTAGTGACAGCATACTAATTAGGCCTGCCCCTTATTTACACTTCTAGTGCAAACACACTCCCACACATGATTTTGTTTTATTTAGTTTTATCTTATCACAAACTGGCCAGTGACTGCAATAGTATTTCACCATATCACCTAACTTTCCAGCACAAATGACACTGTTACTGCAGATAGTAATGGTGATCAATATCAGACACCCCTCTCACTTCAACTCAACTAGTCACTAATTAACCAAGAGGACAATGCATGCCAGCCAAGCTAAAACTATCTTGAAGCAGCTACTTAATTCAGACTGATCACTTCTACTGATTCAGTTGAATGTGATTATCTTGTTTTTCATTCCTATATCCAGGCCATTGACACTACAACCATGTGACTTTCACTTAATTGAAGACTTATCTCTACAGCTTTAATTTATTCTATTGCAGCAAGGTTTTCTTTTAATTTTTCTTTTCTGATTTATAAATTAATTTTTTTTTTGTAATCTTCATTCTGAGCACAGTTGCCCTAAAGCTCTCTCTCTCTCTCTCTCTCTCTCTCTCTCTCTCTCTCTCTCTCTCTCTCTCTCTCCATTCTCTTAAACTAAGAAGCAAACCTGTACAAACTATTCCTTTTTTCTTTAAATCTTGCATGTCCTTACCCCACTCAGTGCCATCTCCCTGACTCCTTGCTTCGCCAGCCCCTTCCCCACTCTCTGATACCAAGAAATCAAACTCTGCTAAAGCTTCCTCTGTATCTGGATCAGATAGGACATCCTCCATTCCTGCCATGCTCTCATTTCCCAGGGCCTGAAACATTGAAGAAAAGATTGATCTTTTTAAAAATGGCCTAAAAGAAAAAGTAACATCTTCACGTATCGACAAACAGTATATCAATGTAAGCAAAATAATCTAGAATAGTCAAATTTTAATGGAAACAAGCATTCAAAGCACAAACCAAGTAATGAAAAATGGAAAGTAAGTGCCATACACTTACTTTTGGTTTTGCCCTTCTTTTCTCAGCTCTTTCCTCGGCCTCTTCATCAACAGGAACCCCATCTTCATTCTCATCACTGTAAATTATAAAAATAAAATCTTAAAAGCTGTAACATGGGTCAAACATATAACTTGAGATGAAGATATCAGATTGTTCCTTCACAAGAATCCATTCCCTATAGTTTATTGTGACCTTCCAATCAAACTGCTCTACTGAACAAGAAATAAACCAAAGATCTTATCAGTGCAGAATGCTATCAATTTTCAATGGCAAAGATTACTCCTGACAAAATGTATGAAAATGTAAAATAGGAAAAATATCACACTGAAAACTATACCCATTTAACAAATAATATTTAAAAATAACACACAACTTAATATAATGACATGCAGATATTTAACATCTAATCAATAACAAAAAAGAAAATAAACAGCAATATCAACAAATGAGTACAAAAAAAACTTAGCAACTATTAACACACTTTCATATTCAATTATCAAATATTGTAAAGTCAGCATCACCCATAGCTGGAGAGCTTGAATGAAAACATCTAAGGTTGTTACCAAACTATAGATAGGATACCTCCTTTGCCATGCATCTTCTCTGTACAGTAAGATTTCAAACAAAGTGTATAGCATAAGATCTATGTACTAGTACATGTCCACGGTTAATATAAAAGAAATATATATCATATGTACACTGCAAAGTGATAACCCCAAGCAAATCAAAAACACTGGTACCTGTCATAAAAATCATCACTGAGAGATTGAAGAAAAACAAAATATTGCTTTTCCTTTAGGAAATATCAATGACATGATTTGGACACACATTTAGTTGAACATGCATTCAATGTATCGAGGCTAGCAAGCAGGTGGTATGTGGCTAGTTTGTTTAACTTGTAGAGTTTTGGTCTTATAGAAGAAGTATTCCCAGTTCTTATAAGATTGAGGGAGAGTTTGCCAAATTCTCACATTTCTGCTGCCTTCTAACTCCAGCTCATGTCATCAAAATATTGAAACAATTTTTAAAACATTCTGTTGCTGCCTCTAAATGGACATAGGTTATTGGTACGATTCACCTTTAATCCATATCTAATGGCAACACATGGGATACTCTCATGCAAATGTTTCATGACACTCAAAATGAGTTCTAAATCATTTTTGGAATTTTTTTTAGATACATTTTTACTAATAATCAGTTTCGCTATTAGAACTCACCTATCATCCTCATCATCCACCACATTTTCTGCAGCCAGGAAATCAAATGTGGCCAGCACAGATGCTTCACTATCTATCAGAGGACCTTCTGCTATTGAGGTGGGAATTTTCTTGCCTTGTATTCTTCAATGTCAAAAATAAAGGAATAGCATACATAAAGGGTTGAGGAAACAGACCTTTGACACTTTAAACCAAAACTGGTTTTGATATTAACATTGATATCCTATTCTAATCAAGCTGTGTTCTTTCTGTAATTTGATGCTGTGTCACAGGCCGATTACACCCCAAAAATTGCAATGAAAAACACTGACCACAATTTCCTATGAATTTATCTATCATCAATAAATGTGCCATTTTCTGTGAAGCACTTTCAAATCATTCACCTTCTAGCTTGTCCATATTCATTAAGTCTTGTTTGACCTTTTCCATCTCCATTCACCATGTGTTGGCCTGCTTCAGATTCATTTTCTGACAATGGCTGAAGTCCTAACAGTGACCGCACTCGAGATGACCTCACGTCTATTATTGTATCCGTGTACCCTATTTCTTGAAGATATCTGAGAAAAAAAATATGTAGTATTTTTCTGAGCCAGCATCACATCTACCTTTTTAAAAATATATTACTTCTATAGTGTCATTTCACCTATGCAACCCATAAATTAACCTAATTTACAGAAGAAATGACTTATTTTTTCTATGCCCTGAAGCAGATTAAAAAAACTTGTTCAACACTATCTGTCATGTTATAACATTAAGTTAATCTAATTATTTTAAAAACCATGTGATTCTCAGGTCCCTTTCTGTCATCATTACTACAATTGTTCTTGCAAGTATGATCATCACAAGATCTTTCCATATCATCAGATGACTTCTTTCCAGTGAAAACAAAGCCAAGAAAATGCCAATGCTTATGCATTGAGAATCCCTACTAAGAAAGTAAACACTTTCGAAGTCACCAGTTCCTGCATGCTGAATAATTCAGCAAGTATGGTTATGTGTGGCTTGTAAGTTGTAATATGGGATTATTTAAAGAATAATTAAAGGAAATCTTTGAACTTACTGTCTAAGTAATTGCCGTCCTTGCCTCCAGGAGGCATTGCTGTTGGAACTTGTAACTGGCTCAGGATCTAAAATTTCTTCTACAAAAGTAAAATAGATAAAAACATCATTTATTACATTGTTTGTGGTTTCATGGATTTCTATTGGATTTTGGTTTCACGGATTTTCTATTCTATATCTATTTAGTGATAGTTATTACTTATTTCAGAACAAAATATTTATGAAACAGCTACATTTCGTTCTTGTCACAGAAACAACAGAATGTTGGTAGACTGGTGAACGACTCTCACTCTGGGTAGAAACTGGCTCCTTAATTTTTATATAAACTGAAATAAAGCGGGCAAAATTCAACATTATCACTACTGGATTACATAAAATTAAGATTGAAAATAAATACAGATAGAACTTTCAATTAGTAGATCTGACTAAACTATACCTTCTGTTTTCTTGTCGAAGTCTGGTGGTTTTATGTCTGCCTGATTCAGTTCTGTTCCATATTTTAATTTGTGATATTTAGCCCTGAAATGCAAAACAAGACATATATTCACATTTTTCTTGTACTTTGAGATAATATTTCCTTTTAAGACAATAAGCAAAGCTCACCATTTGAATTTTAAGCAGCTGGATTTAAAACTTTTCAAACACAATTTGCTGCAACCTACCTTTCTTGTTTTAAAGCAAACTCCAGCATTTTTATTCTGCGTACTAAATCCTGTTTCAGATTTTCTTGTCCTTTTCTCTCTCCCTGAAGGAATGCTATGCGAGCCTGAAAAGAAACACAAGGAACAAACTTAATATGCTATCTTATAAAAACAAAACCACTATCAGCTGTCCAAGTTGAAGCACATGATCCTAAACCTTTATCTTAATCCTTACACTACCCATTAAATATACATGTAGCCAAAACAAAAAACAATAAAATTAAGATTGGGGATAAAAAAAATGTTGATCATCAATTGGCCCTGGACCTGGAACAAGCATAGCTCATATTTCCAGAGAGGAGTCCAGCTGACAAATACAAAGACTTGACATTCAACTTCTATCGCTAGTAATAGGCACCGTTTCCTATGTATCTGATAACATTTGTTTACATTTATTTGATCTTCTGTACTACTATTCTACAAAGTATCAACTTTTTCTTCATCACCTCTTGGCACTAAAATTCTTTCAGGATGGGGAAAAAATAAGGAGGGTTTGTAATGTAAAACGAAAACAATTTATTTCTCACAATCAAAACCAAAAAAAATGTAAATCAATGTACTGCAGTTGAATAGCTATCATTCCTTATATGTTACATTTACATATATTCATCACTTTTTGTTTTTTTAAACTCACATTTTTTTCTTCTCCAAAAAGTTTAAAAAAAAACTCTAGGCAAATATATTTAGATTTTATCACTTCCCTGCATTCTTTCATAGCTGAATGAGATCAGAATAGACGCAGAGGTTAAATGTGGAATACCAGGGCAAACAATCCTTTGTATACAAAACAGTGGTGTTGATATCAGATAGCTTACTGAATGCCTTTTCATTGCAATACAACAACATTCCAGTGACATAAGAAACCAAACAAAACCTAGTTCAGCTGATATTTGCAGTGAGTTGACTCTGACCGAAAAAAATTGCAACAATGTTACTTCTCCAAACAACCATTGCCTACATATATTATTCCAAAAGAAATCTGTACATCAAACGTGTAAATCCTGTATTAAATCATTAAATTTTTTCGCACATACCTCTTCAGCATTACTGTGTCCTTATTAATTAATATGCAAAACCTAAGACAGAATTTGCTGAGGAATACGACATCCAATTAAACAAAGTACATCTATTTTTTTTTACAAATCAGTGATTTTATAAGTTACATAATAGATTTACTACATATCAGTACCAATATTCACACAATATCTATTACCCCCATTGATAGAATAAAATCATTATGAGAATGGTGCAGTTTATCACTTTATCATAAAGACTGAATTTGAAACTGGAATAGATTGATGATTTTTGCTGATTACTGGTTAAAACAAATCCCTACCTCTCTCAAAAAATAACTGCATGTCTAAATGATAAATACTTGTTAAAAATAATCTACTATTCAATTACACAAAATTTTCATAAAAAAAATATGATTTCTTAACAAATTGCCAAGCTGACTTACTTTATACTTTGACGTTTCTTATATATATGATATATGAGCTTTCTGGTGTGTATTGCAAATATTAATCAAGTGATCTGCAAATGTTGCATATTGTAACAGTAGGGGAACATAGCTTTTTTCACATTTGTACATGATTTTAATGACTATTACAATATATTAAAATTGCAACAAGTACTTAATACCTTCATGAGGGCAAAATGTATGATTAATTTCCTACACATTTCTTTTAAATTTTTCAAAATGAATATCAATTTCTTGATAACAGGATGTCCAATCAAATAAAGAGAATTTGACATTTAGGAAAATGTTAAATTTCATATGAAAAATATTCACATCATTGTTATATACAGTTCTCAACTTCACATTTGTTCTATGATCTCATCCACCAATGCATCTGATGGTCATCATTTAAGATTGTCATGTTTAATTTCATTATCTGTGTTTGAATTTTATTAAGGTAATACCTCTTACAATGTGCTTAGCATGCTTTTAGGCAATACATAAAATTGAAGTGGGTTGGGTCTCGTAAATAAGCATTTATACAAAAGTAGAAAACTGTGAAACAACTGATGCCTGGTTAGACCACTGAGAGGATAAAATAACTATGTAAGTATCGTCTTGTCTTTTGAAGTAGTGCATTCTGTTCGAAAACCCGACTGATTACTCATTGACATATTCTTTATTGAGAAAAGCAAAAGGACGCCATCTTTGAATTCAATATGGCGGACACATTTCAAACTCGCGATTAATTCCTGAAAGCAATCGTACATCTTTAAACCATCTATCTGCATGTGCTATTATTCGCACCAAAGACGCCATTGTCTTTTTAAAATTCATTCACAAACGTAACTTCTGATCATTAACTGCTTACCTGCAATTCTGCTCTTTCAACTTCCCATTGCGATCTTTCCATCTCAAACCGAGCCCATTCTGTTTGGAGAAAATGAAGAATCCCTGGCATTGAATACTGCTGACGCTGTCCATATTCCTCTTGGTTAGGTTTTCCGTTGAAATTATTCCCTCCGACATTTGGGCCATACTGGCCACCGTGGTTTGATTGAGGTCCCTCTTCCATCATCTTGCAAGCATCGCCATTACTTATTCAGTGGAGAGAGGGCGCTGTGGTAAATGACGTCAACAAAACAATCCAGTTCCAGCAGAAATCTATTTCTACAGTTAAAACAATAATCAATATACTGTAGCGTTTAACTTGACGTATAGAATAGCTATTATTATTAGAACTATCATGGTTTCTAGACGGAATACAAAACTACATGCCATTGGGAAAACTTGCACTTCCACTTTGCAGATTTTTTTATTAACGGCTCATGTTGATCTTCTTTTGCAGCAAGAGACCACAAATTTAGATAAATTGCAGACTGGAAATTTGGAACACAGAAACATGTTAAATTTTATTTTTTTAGTGAACAAACAAGGACAAGTCAGACTTAGTCAATATTTTAAGCACCAGGACGAAAATGAAAGGAGGGATATTGAACCTGAGATTGTAAAGAAATGCTTAAATAGACAAGAAAACCAGGTACTCACGAAAAACATATTTTGCAAAAAAGCACCACAAGTGTCACATATTGATGTATGAAAAATTGACATGTAGCTTGTGAAGTTGTGCCATTACATTCTGTAACATACAGTCAGTGTACATACATATATATTGTGTCATTGTCATACTGTCACTGTAGCAATAAAATGCATTCATTACCATGACAATTTTAGATCTCCTGAGATGTAATACAGTATGTGTGCTAACACATGAAAGATAAAATTTCACACAAGTTCCAAACTGGAAATGACGATCAGCTAGGGTGCGGGGGCTCACAATTTTTTTTACTGACTCCTCACCTCCTAAAGTCGCACACTGCTGAAAAGCTAATCTTCCTGTTGTAATATCACTGTGAATAACACATATTTACTGCATATTACATGAAGTCAAATGTTTTTTAAGTCCAGATTCGCTCTCACTTTGATTTCAGTGTTCATTCCTGGATTATAAGCAGTATAGAATTATTTATAGGAAATATGCTTCTCTGTATTTCATTGTGGCTGCAGATGAAGAAGACGTAAGTAACGATGTACTGTATCTGTTAATATTTTGTGCCTTGTAAATTTTACATACAAATTTAGAGTTTTGTATAAAAAAAAATACATAATATGAAGAATTTGAAGAACCTAGTACAATACAGTACAATAAGAAATATCCACTATTGGAAAGTATTGTTTCTTTGAATGTTTTATTGTAAATACACACAACTTTGTTTGTTTGCTTTACTGATATATAGTTCTTTGATTTTGCATGGTAATGTGAATATGTTTCTCATTATAGATATTTAAGTATAAAACAAAGACTTTGCATACTTGAATTTATGTAAATAATAAGTGGTATAAATAGTTCTATAGACAGCCAACACTATTAACATGAAACGTTAAAAGCTGGATAAATTATTATTATTATTATTATTATTATTATTATTAATCTGTGACCCTACTGAAGTCAAGTTATTTATTTTTCATTTTTAGAATGAGATGGCAGTATATGAGTTCATCCACCATTTTGTAGAAACTTTAACATCTTATTTTGATAAAGTGGTAAGTATATTTTTCTTCTTTTTAAGCTGAAGACATTAGACCTGCACAAGTTTGTAAAATATGCAAATTATACATTTATTGTATAAACTTAACATTATTTCTATACGTAACATGGAATGTATTTATTTGAAAGAAAATGAAACTAAATAATAAAGTTGATAAGCCAGCTTGATATTAAAAATTAAAAATAATAATAGGTTGCTTCATTTTGATTTCAGACAGAGATAGATGTATCCTTTACAGAAATTGGTAACCTTTGAAACAAGTCATATTTAGTCCAGAATTGTTAAGTTAGAAGGTTGATAAATTAAAATATTCTTTCAACTATATAACTTACTTAACGTATTAGAAGTATTACTCAAGTTTCATTGTATATCAAATACATATTTCTGCAAGGAAAGGTATTGCTATTGTTAAGAAAATTGTAAAGATATAAAAAGGTAAGATGTTTACAAATAGGGTCAATTGCTTTTTTTGTTCTGTCTGTAAATGCTGTCTTTCAAATTTAATTTGATCATATAATGTGAAATGAAATTTCTTAACTCAATAACAGATCATGTTTAACATGGACAAAGTTCATATGATATTGATGGAGATGGTGCTTAATGGAGAGATAGTTGAAACCAATAAAAACAGAATTCTGGCTCCATTGCGGACAATGGACCATGCTTCCAAAAGATAGCTGAAAATGCTGGACATTGGTTGTTTTGCTTTTGGATGCTACTTGTGTGTCAAATTCAGGATTCTGGGGCTCCTGAATTACAGGTGTCAGATGAAGAGGTTTCTGAAAATTTCGAAAACAGAGGGGAATGGTTTTCTTTGAATTTACCTAACTCAAAGATGCCATTTGTTATTTGAATTGGCGGTGTAAGCAGTAATGTGAAACAGTTAAAGTGCCTTTTTGTAAGTCTTTGTGTACTAGAAATTGCACTTTTTTTTCAAAATTTCACTTTAAAAAATAGCATTCTAGCTCTTGCAGCTTTAGCATTCTCTCTCGAGCTAAAAAGGTTTGAACCAGAGGATGCATCTCTTCTGTTTTGCAGATCTATATTACATATTTCAATTAGAAATATGTCCGTTAGAAGGGATTGACCCTCTAGAATTAAAAATTTCCAGCTGGCTGTGCTGGCAGCCACATTCTCCAGTGTGTTAGTTCCCTACAACTGGTGTCAGAGACCACACTGAGCCAGTGACTATGCAGTTAATACCCCTCCACTTGAATTAAACTGCAACAATATACCAGTCTAGTCAGGCACTGGGTAGGACGTGAGATGATTCTTAACTTGAGAATTGTAAGTGCCAGAGATATGTTTAAGTCAGTTTTAACATAAATAAACATTCACACTGTCAAAAATACCCTCTTTACTAATAATAAAAGAAGTGAAGAAAGTTGCAATGTGTCTGGAATTGGTTTGTTAATGTTCTTATGCCGTGTTGATTATGTTATTTCAGAATATATAACGTATAATAAAACTGCAGACTGAGAACTGGATATTTTAATGCAGTGTGAGATGCTGTCATTCAATGTCCAAGCGTTGGAACATACAAAAAGATGAGTAACCAATTGACACTCATGTTCTAGCAAGGAACTAAATCTATCCACTGTCAGTCTGTTAGTGCACTTAGGGGTACACCTTTGTAGTAGCACAATTTTTTTGACACACCTACCACAATGAGGGATGTAAAATTAGGGTCTTTCTAAAAACAAACACATTTCCAGTACCGTTACCAGTTTATTCACTTATCAATATAATTCCCTGTCTTAATTTAAAGTGTTGTAATAGAAAATAAATTTTGATACAAATCAATCACCATTATGCCATTCTAATTGCACCATACTTCTTATAGTAGATAGTTGCAAGTTTTTTTCTTCTTTTTTACCTACCGAGTTGAACTTTGACAACAAAGGCTGAAAAACAAATACTAAGTGCCCAGTAATTAATATGTCATTCTGACAGAAATCTCTGACAACAAGCTGTCAAAATGAGTGTTTTCTCATTTAGGTCAATAACTGTATATGAACTGTTAAAGATGGGATATTGTAACATTAACTTATGTTTCACTTTATAACCACAATTAAACTGTGTGGCATAAAGAACCTGAGAGGCATTGATACCCTGACAGCAGATAAAGACAGCAGGCATGACACCCAGTCTTTACACAAATCAATGACAAAACTGACAGAAAATGATAAGGTCAAACTTCATTTACTTCCTCTTCACTGTAACAATTAACTTGTGCCACTGCTGAATAGCATTCATGCATGGGCCCAGCATGTTTATATTTAATATTATGTATTCTAAGTCTGCTACAGCTCCAGTTTGTGCCTGGTCCATATGTTGACAGTACTTCATGGAATTCTGTTGGTGTAGCTGGACATGTAACATGACCAGGCCTAGCAGCGTGACTTTATGTTGTCATCAAAGTCATGTACCAGTATATCAAGAGATCCACTGCTATAGGTTTGGTGTTGCAGACAGCTTCATTTTCTCATAAAGCATGTGGTCCTGCATCAGAAAGAAGGCAAAAATGATTTAAATTTCCTCAAAATAATTTTCTTTTTATTGTGTTGATAAAAAAGAAATAAAAAAGTGAGAACCAAAAGATGCATATGTTTTAACAAACAATAATTTCAAATGTGGAACTTTGCAAAAAAAAAAAAAAAAAAAAAAAAGAATGAAAGAACTTACCTTTGAGGAGACAGAAGGCTTAACTTTATTAAAAGCTGCCTCAAAGTGTTCCTTCTGCACCATAACTGGAGATGTTGAACTCGCTTCTCCTGAGATGAACCGTTTCAGAGCAGACACCGAAGCTTCTCTAACTAAAGCTGCTAAATCTGCCCCACTGGAATAAAAATACTTGAATACTGCAATACTTGAATAAATGGTAACAAATAATGAAACTTGCAGTAAAGTGTGCTACACTTAATGTATCAAATTCACCTGTATCAATTGTACCATTTCACAAAATTACCAAGATCAAAAATTGATGTTAACAAAGACCTTAAAGTTTTGACCAAATGAGATTACAAAGAATTTAAAATACTGCTAACCTTCTGGTCTTTTAACACTGCTCACAGCCACCCACATCCCGGGGTTCTTTAAATGCTTTTAGACTTATTGAAGTCGAATATCTAATTTTAACAATCCAAACTATGCCCGAAAACTGGAGACTTTTTGTGAAACAGGCCCAAAGTCAATGAAGCTCAAGCGTACGTACCTGAACCTGTCACACCTGGAGTCAGAGGCAATGTTTTGCAGCACAGCATCTTCACCAAGAAGGGGTTTGGTGCCATTCTGAAGCAAGAATATTAAACATTTTATCTAAAGTGATTTAAGTTTTTCATATCATGCAGTTCTTTTAAAAGCCACATTAGCTTGCAGACCATGAAGTGCGATGTAAATTTTAGTCACTGTTACTCTTGCTGAACTGTGTAAAATGAGAAATACTTATATTAAGCTTTTTAGAAAGAAAATATTAACTGGTCTTTACATACTTCAAATACAGTAACTGTAAATATGTTTCCAATCCATCATTAAAAATCAAAAGTCACCTTCAGAGGAGATTTATCTTGAAATTTTTACTTAAAAAATGAGTTCTGTTTTTAGTGAAAAATTACCTTAGTTATCGTTTTTAGAATATCTTCCCTATCTTCAACTGATGGTAATCCAACAAACAATATCTTATCCAGTCTTCCTGGCCTTAAAATTGCTGGGTCAATGATATCTAGAACAAATAACCAAAGTAAAGTATATGGAACAAAATATAACTTGAAAAAAATCACTGTCAATTCCAAAGGAACATGTGGCCATGTTGTGAAGCTTTTATATTAAAAAATGTGGTCAATATCACCTGTAAGAACAAAAATGATTGTATCAAACTTAGTTTTTGGTTTCTTGCATCAGATATGCTGAGCAAGCACATCTATCACATTTCTTAAATAAAAGGATCTCATTAGCATAAGTGAACATTCTTAGTTGTCACACCCAGGAGAGTGTGGGCCAGTTAGGCGTGTGCTGCAGAGCAGAGGTGCTGAAATGCAGTGGCATTATTTATGTATTTACCCAGTAGAGGCATAATGGTTAGATGTTTATACCAATTTTGTACATAATGTATATTACCAGTATTTCTCTGTTTATATTATATAGTTTTCATAATTAATAACCAGGTTGCTAATTGTATTTTCATAAACTCAGATGTTATGTGAGAAGTAAGTGGTGATACCAGCTAGACAAATAAGTAACAATTGTATTTTCTTTGTTTTAGTTACACGGCTGTTTCAACCTGAGACTATTTCAAATAAAGCTCAAGTAAAGGAATATGCCCGTTGTCATTTGCCTCATTTTTCTGTGGCCCCAGCGAGCTACATCACCTTTTGCTTTATCCTATATTTTAACCACTTGTGCTAAGTCAGTGGCATTATTTTAAGCAACAGCAGCAATTTCTTGCATGGAAAATTGTTTTATTTTCTAAATATCTTTTCTCTTATTATTTTAAAAGCATAAAAATCAAAATACATTGGAAGATAGTGCCTTATTAGACCAATCAAGTATTTAGTAATGTCTCTTTACAGAAAAGTCAAATGTGATAATAGAAATATGTGCCAAATAGATGTATTATGTTCAGTTTACCTGGTCTATTAGTAGCACCCATAATAAAGACTTGTTTCCTTTCTTCCAAACCATCCATCTCTGTGAGAAGCTGGTTGACTACACGGACACTGGCTCCACCCTTTAAAAAGAAATTCATGGAATGTGTACACTATCTGAATATACTGTTACATATACCAGCAGGTTCATTATGATTCTGCATCAAGAAAGCCAATATTATGAGAGCAATCCACGTCTATGGGTAAATTTCAAACAAATATTTAAACCCTAAATGGGCCAAATATACTATCTTCACCAAATTTTACAGATTAAAATCCATGAAAAGAAGTTTCACATTTCTGACTATCTTATGAATCTTTCTAGAAAGTTCTTAATGCTGCTGTTTGGCATTTGTAAATAAGATCAAGTATGCCAATCATGTTAATTACCTTATTTATAAAATCTAAAGACTTTTCTTACCTCTCCAGCATTTGATCTTTTGGGACACAAAGCATCCAATTCATCAAAAAAGATAACACAAGGAGAAGAATTCCTGGCTCTTTGAAAAACTTGACGCACAGCTCTTTCAGACTCTCCTACATACTAAAAAGCAGAGTATATTCCAATAATTACAATAAATATTCCAATTATAAACTTTTTTACGCAATATAACAAACACAGCTTACCTTTTTGAAACACTTTTTTGACACTCAAAATTTATATCAATATTTTAAATTGTTATTTTCCAAAAAACATACCATATTCAAGAGTTCAGGTCCTTTCACAGAGATAAAGTTAATCCCAGATTCATTTGCAATGGCCTATGGGAGATAAAAAAGCATAACATCATGTAAAAAAAGCTGCAGCAAAATTTATCAGCAACTTCTGTACATTTTACATATTAGCTATTATGACAGTTGGCCTCAAGTCACACTGTGACCTAATGATTATATTTTACCAGTGCTTAACTGACCCCTCTGCTTATCACCAAAGTTCAATATTTTTTGTTGAATAAAAGACAAAAAATAATCTTTTTTCCATTTTTTTACTTTTTCTACCTAGTGAGAAAAATACTTGAAATAACCCATAACCAATTTAAGATCTGTCAATAGAACACTACTACCTGTTGCCTAAATATAACAAAGAATCTACCTTTGCCAGCAATGTTTTACCACATCCAGGTGGTCCAGCCAGTAAAATACCAGGAGGGTTGGTCAGACCAAGGGCCTTGAACTGCTCTGGGTGCTGAACAGGAGCCTGATGATGAGAAATATTGGGAACTTAATCTGTATTTTTCATTAATCATCAGCATTTTAGACATGTGCTGTGGTCATTTCCTGCAGTAAGATTTCTTCTGGCACATGAAAATTTTTTTCTTTTTCTTTCCTTTCGTTTTTCTAATCAAGTATCTGAATGTTATGAAATCAATACTAACATTGCATTTCAAAATGTTTCAAGCAAAAGTGAAAATAAAAAAAAAATCCAGTTTCTATGAAATCAAGCAATGTTATTAGTGCAAAATAGGCACTTTGATAACGTAAACAAAACTTCAACCACTTCACATTATTCCAAGCAGTAACTCAACCACATGAAAATGAAATCCATTCACTTGGCATGGCAGCAACAGCCTTCCTTACCAATATAGCCAACTGTAGCTCCTCTCTCACATCTTTAAGAGCACCAATATCATCCCAAGTAACATCAGGTATTGTGGCAAACCCTTCCCGCTTAGCTGATGGCTGGACATGTTTCAATGCCTCCTTGAAATCATCTATTGTTATAGAGAGTTCTTGAAGCTGTTCCTGAGTCAAAGGAGGGTGGTCTTTTAACCAGCTTAAAACTGTGTTTAGTGGAGTTTTTACTAGATCTGTTTCACAGTCATTAACTGGTTTCTCAGCACCATTTAATGCACAGTTCCCCTCTGATGTGTCTGCTATATCTTCTGTGGGTTCTTTCATAGTCACATCAGATTCCTGTAAACAACTAACAGGCTCCGACTGTAGATCATTAAATACTCTGAAACAAAAAGATGTATGCATAACATTAAATCACAATGATAAAACAACAAGTTAAAAACAGACCCCACAAAATGTTGTGTTTATTATCCATTATTCACTGCACATCTCAGTTATTTGGTTTTCATTTCTTGTTACTCTAGATTCTTTCTGTGACATGAAAAAAAGTGGGAAACGTCCAAATGAAAGAAAACTCCCATCCTTAATATTTATAGTCTTTATTTTTCTATAATTGTGCTACCCCTATTTACCTATTAACAGCAGTCATAGCAGCTTCCCTGGACAATGCCATCAAATCTGCCCCAACAAACCCTGGGGTATTCTTGGCAAGATAAAGGTAGTCAAAGTCTTCTGACAGCCTCAAACTTTTGCACAGAACTTGTAGTATTCTTTAATAAGGAAAGAAGTCAATGTTATAATGCAAATGGTTTTTTACTTGTTTACATTTTGTATGTTTTGTTAGAGAAGTAAATGTTTTAATTTAATTCCCATTATGGAGACATAGCATGCAATAACACTTAAGAGATGATGGCATTATCAATTTTATAAAAAAAAAGGGATCCTGGTAATTATCTTTTTTCTTTTGTTGTGATGGAGAAATGCAAATTTAATTTTAGACATTTAATTCTAACAGTCTCCTGCCACAAACCAGACACTTCACTATGCAATTTCTTTGTCATATTTCACTTGTTTAAACTTAGATATTTTGTGAAAAGACTCTAGGGAAGCTTCTTACTTCATTCTTGCTTCTTCATCAGGAATACCCATAGAAATCTCCCTGTCAAACCTCCCTGCTCTCCTCAAGGCAGGGTCCAGAGAGTCTGGCCTGTTTGTAGCCCCTATTACCACCACATGACAGTCAGACTTACTGTTCAGATCTGAAATATATATATGAAACATTTTGATGAGTCAGATATCTAAATTTTCTATAGACATATTACTCCCTACAATCATGGAAACCAGAAAAGGAGAACCCTGTTTATATCTAAATTGGAAAGGAGAAGAAACTTCAAAATTTTCACAATTGATTTGTCTGAAATATTTCAACATGCTGACTTAAAAGTCATGCTGTTAAATGAGAGGTCTCAGGTATTCAATTTGAACCCCTTATTTAGACACGTGCCAGGATGTTTGACTGTGGTTAGATTTTTTAATTTTGTCACTTACCATCCATGCAGGTCAAAAGTTGAGAAACAATCCTCCTCTCCATGTCTTTAGAGGCAGTTTCCCTCTTTGGAGTAATGGCATCAATTTCATCCAAGAATAAAATACATGGGGAAGAGTTCTGAAATCAAACCAAAACTTACACAAACCAAAAAGAAATCATCTTATAGTAAAATTTTCTGATGTGGTACTATGTTGTCAGTTATGTCCACTCCTTATGAAAACATACATAGGAGTAGTAAAATATTGCCATTAACATCCTAGGCATACACTTTTCCTTACCACTGCTTTTTCAAAAAGATCCCTGACTTTCTCTTCTGACTCTCCAGAGACCCCAGAGACTATCTCAGTGGAGGCCATTTTAAGGAAGGGCAAACCAAGCTCCTGTAAAACACAATGTAAAACTTAAGTCATTTTACAAAGCCTGCCTATACCATACAGGTCCAATTTCTAACCCAGATGAAAATTAAACAGAAATCCGGATGGGAAATTAGATGGGAATATTTTGTGAATGTGAAATGAATCAAATCAAGAAAGATGATCCATACCCCAGCTATGGCATGAGCTAGCAGTGTTTTTCCACACCCTGGGGGTCCATGCAGGAGAAATCCCCTGGGGGGAGTGATCCCTAGCTGCTGGTACACCTCTGGGTGCTTCATGTGAACTAATAGTTTACAGATCTCCTGGAAGAATAATTTATAATAAGGTAACTGATATTCTAATATTTTTAATAACAGTTACAATCAACTTGCAAGTACTGAGAAATAGCATTTAATTCATTTACAGCTATAAATGATAGTAAATGTTTACACTTTTCATGTTTGTGCATTAAAAATGCTCTGCAAATTTTTTTTCTTAATACACAGCTCTTGAGCTTAATAGGACTGATATTTTAACTGAATGACCAAGTAAAAAATATTGATTCCAACCATAATGTAAATTTTATTCTCACCATAATTGTTTTGTTATTGCCACCAATATCTGCAAATGTGAGCTCAGACTTCTGCACTTCTATTGCTGAAACATTAATGAAATTAACCCTCAAGTTCAGCAGAAAATTATATGTTTGTAACTTTTTATTCTATCAAGTTAATGCAAATTAAAATTAATTTGCAAATAATATTTTAAAAATATATATAATATTAATATAATTTTAAAAATATATATAATATAAGGAAAATCCATTATCAACTATGCAATATTTTCTCTCTATTCACCTTTCTGCTTTTGTTCCACTTCCATTCCAGTTTTTCTTCTTTTCTTTGCAGATCTTGGTTGCTTTTCTGTATCCTGTAAACATGTGTGTATAATTGTAATCACTATACCAATACATCTGACTTAAAATTACTTTTTAGGACTTTGTAGCCATAAAAAACATGTGACAGATGTACTTAACCTCAATATTTTCACACCTCATTACAATTACCTTTTTCTGTTCTTCCTCCATTGGCTGCACACTAGGACTCTCTTTGTCACCTGAAGTATGATTCAAAAACAGATCTTCTGCATTCAGTGATGATTTATCAATAAATCCCAAAGCATCAGAAGTTGCTTCACTAAACAAAATACTGCAGTTTGTAATACTGCCCCTGGATTCCTGAGATACTGTATCTGCATTCCCTGATCTTTCCAATTTTCTTTCAGGAGTCAAATTTGCTTCTGTGAATTCATTATTTTTGAGAATTTTTTGAAACAGGGCACCTGATGGGGAACTGGGCTTCTTTTCTTTACAGTCTGTATTTTCCTTTGTAAAAGATGAATTGCTGGAACTCAGATTTGTGTTAAATGTTCCACTGTCTTGTCTTAGTGGTGAGTTTCTGTAGAGGTTTGCCATGACATTATTTATGGAGTTTGAATCCTGAAAATAAAGAACACTGACATTCATAAGGAATATCTGACTGCAATCCCACAGATTTAGATCGATCCATCTGGATCGACCTAACTCCCTGGGGGTTCAGGCTAAATTGCTGTCAGTCGAGCATGCACGGTAGTTAATTACCCCCTTACAGCTTTTAGTAGATGGGACAGACGCTTAAGCCGGCTAAGCTGACAGTAATCTAGTGAAACTCCCCACAGGGATAGATCGATCTGTGGGAATTGGGGTCTAATTTTCAAGTTAATTGCCTTATATAAAATTCCGTTTCATTAAACATGTCTGAAACTTGATTTAAGTAAATATCAAGGCATTAGTATCACATATTATCATATGTGAATACTAGTACTTACCTCAATTTTATAAGCAGATAATTTTGAGCTTTGTACCTAATGAATTACCTTAAACTAATCATCACTATTATACCTATTTCACTTTCAGATCTATATTTCCATGTAATATGTATATATAATAACCTGCATGGTAAATTCATATGCTATCAATTGAGGCACTTACCTTGTAGGTAGCATACTCTTCTTCTTCTGAGAAACTGCCTTCAGTGTCTGGATCTTTACTGGAAAAATACAGATTTATAAAAAATACAATGTACAACTCAATACAGGACTGTTCTAACAACACTCAGCCACATAAATTATTTAACAGATAAAAAAGGCTTACGTTTATAAATAAAAACAACCCACAGGTATGTTTAAGTTTGACAGAAAATTCACAAAAATAATCTTGCAATATTGACTAGAATTTTTCCTAAGCTGCACTGGACTTGTATATTTACAAATAACAATAAATATTTTTCATGACAAGAAAAAACTGTCACTTACGTCTGAGCCTGCATTTTTTGTCGCTTGGTCAAGTATTTTTCTTCAAGAAAACTTGCATGATCTTTTTCATTGCCTTGACTGCGTTGCTGCTGTTCTTCTTTTAATAGAACATCATAAACTGGATAAAAAGATTTTAAAACTTAATAATAGCCTGAAAATTCTTAACAAAATCAATTTTTTAAAAAATATTCTTAATCAATCTCAAATAAACAGACAAACAGTAATCCTTTACCTTGCATTCCATTCTTGAGTCACCTGGATTTTTTTTCAGAAATACTAATTTCAAAACATCAATAAATACAATAATAAATCATAAATGACAATAAATTATACAAACCTTTTACAACTGACTTTTGGAAAACATTCCTTTTCTTCCTACCATACTCACTGAAGTAGTAATAAGAAAATGTTTTCTTTACTGGTTTGTATCTATCAAGACCTACACAAATAATTTTTGAAGAATAATTCTAATTAAAAATTAACACATATCTGTCATACACATCAATTCTAAAAAGCCAGAAACATTGAAATGCTGGTAAATCTTGTTTGGGGAAGTCTCTAACATAATACTCACTCCTTTTTAATTGAGTTTATACTCTTACAAAAATATTTTCCAGTTCACCTCATAAGCATCATCCTAGTTGACTCTCTTCAGACTCAGTTTATTGACCTTACCTGAATGACTGCTGCAAGTCTTCTGTAATTTTACTCACACTAAATGACTGGTGATTAGGATGAGATTGTATGTACTGAAAAGAAAAAAAAGCAGTAAACAGACACTGTCTTCTAACAAAACGTGTACTTGAATCAAGCTACATGTCTGTTCCAGCCAGGACGCAGAAATGAAATGCTGAAATACTAGTAGAAAGCTTTTACAAACGATTCGGCGATAGTCTGACTCTAATTATTTGAGAGTCTTTTCTTGAATCGACACTATGTATTTACATAATTTTTATTCTGGTAATACTTTCTGAAATAATAAAAAAAATGCCTGTGCAGTGCCAAACCACGGAATTTAGAGCGACAGAGAGAATTCGTTGAGAATATTCCCGATATCTTTTATCGACAGTGCGATATTACCTGTCTCATACGAAAAAGCAGACGTGGGTCACCAATGTATGGTGAATTTTTGGTTCCTGGGCTTTTTGATGACTTCATATCTTCAGGCCTTCTTTTCATCTTACCACGCCGATAGCCGTCCACATGGTAAAAAATATACTAAACATATCCCAGCATTCGTTTGCACTTCCTTTTCATCTAGAGACCTCTCATTTCATTGGTTAGAGATCTCCTGTTTAAACAAAGAAATACATGGTATTTATGTAAAAATAAACCAATAAAAAGCAATATATCAAATGCATATATTTCGCGGCAAGTGATCAAAAGGGGAAAGAGCAGGGAAGCCTAAGCGTAATAGAAGTATTTTTCTGTGGAACATCATTTACTGAAAACTTGTCTTGCTCTGCAAGGAAGAGGGCGCACAGGTGTGTAGACTTTATGATTGAAACGATGCTGTTTTCTATTTGATAATCGCACTTTTTACTCAAAGGTGAATTAAAACATGAATATGTGAAGATACTGACTACTGCCTGGTAATGGTACAGTATTGTGTTATCTCGGTGATGTTTGTCTATGTAACGTAGATTATATATTAATATGGCAGTGATGGATTCTAGATTGTGTTGGGGGATGAAAGGGGGGGTAGTGCAGGACCTCCCCCTTTTTGAAGTTCTTCCTCCTCCCCGCCTCTTCTACGCTTTAATCCATATTCCTAATTAATGGCATGATCATGCGTTGTATTTTGGTGTTAGCTAGCACCTTTGGAAATGAAAATTGTGATAGAGTTTGGGGGGGGGGGGGGGGGCCAGCTACAAGTGTCCTACCAAAAAATGTACAATAATTAATGGTATGTTGTCTAACGTGTATTCTACTGATAACTGCCAAATAAAATTAAACTTTATTCAAGATTATTTTCAACAAAGGAGACTCCAAAATAAATGTTTAAGTTCATAAATTTGAGAGATATGATCAATCAGAAGGAATTTTGATGATTTAATTTTATTGTGGAATCAGCTACAGTACAGTGCATGTATTTGCATGACTGTGTATTTGGCAAGGGTAACATTCCACCCCACATGATTTTCACTAAATGTGTTTTTAATATAATTTCAATATATTTTGAAGTAAAACTTTGCTGAATAAACTTATAGGTCCTGAGGATATTGCATGTTTCTTTTATATAAATAAAGCTTAGTAAAAAATAATTTATTTTATGCAAGTGTCACTAGATTCATAATCAATTGTAAATATATGCTGTATGCATTGTAAATAAACCACTTTTATTACTTTAGATGGGCAGCAAAAATGAACCAGAAGGTAGTCGCAAACCCATTAGAAATAGGAGGGATGAATTTATACCCACAGACAACTTTACACCAAGAACATTCCAGGTATTGTTGGTAGAATACAGAGCACTGTGACTGAAAGATTTGAAGTGACAGCACAGCTTGGAAGTAATAGTGCTTACAGTAGCTTTTCTGTTTTAAAGCTTGAGCCACATAACCTGGGGCATTTTGCTGAATTATTTTTTGGACAAGTTGGCATATGAGAAGAGGAGATATATTTTAACACTTAAAGGCAGAAATGCATTGAAATATACCATTGAGACACACCTGTATTGTGTTTTTATGCTTTTAACTAATGCCCATTGTGAACTTCACCTTTTTCTTCCATTTAAAAAACTGCAATGTACTTACTAGATCAATGTTTGTCATTGCTAGCTAGAATGAGCCCACTTGGGAAATCTTAAATTTTGACAGTTCAGATGTGGTTAACAAGGTATATTTACGTCAATACTTTTAATCAGTCATTTTGATACAAAACATTTCCCCTTTTTTGACTAAAAACAAAGCTGAATTATGTTAGAATCTGTCAGGTATTGATAAAATTAAAATACTTGGATTGGGATATCTAATAGAAAATAAGGATTTCAACAAGAAGGCTATTTTATCACAGACTGGAGATGAGAGATTTATAGATTTTTTTGTGGAATCTCAATTTCAGGTAAAAGCTTAGGCATATTTTTGTTATTCATCTAATACAGTGCTTTTTGCTCTGATCTACTTTTATCAGTGAATTATTTATCTCCCCTAGCCATTTTCAATTTTATCCTCACTCTGGTTAACATGTCTTTAATATCCATTGTCTTCTCCAGGTGGATCTCTTAGACAATGCAATTCATCAGAATACAATAGTATGTCTTGGGAGAGGGACAGGCAAGACCTTTATTGCTGTCATGCTGATAAAAGAGCTGGCCTACCAGATACGGAAAGATGTGCAAAATGATGGGAAAAGGACATTCTTCCTTGTAGAAAGTGGTAAGCTTTGTGTGTAACTGAAATTTAAGACCAGTAACCTCTTTACTTCTTCAAAACCAAGAAGTAAAATTTCTAACACTGGTTTAAGATAATTTTGTTGCATATTGTCGAAACTTGTAAAAAGACCAGAAACAAAGATAAATCACATTGTTTTTTCTAATTGTTTGATATATTATACTTTCGTTGTAAAGTAAGTTTTATCTAAAAACGTCTGTACATTGAACCTCCAGAGTTTTACCTTACTATTTAATTTGATTGTGTAAGTCTAAACAATCTAAATATATTATGGGCGGTGGTTTATACAAAAATGCAAAACACGATTAGTCGTCATCGTTATCAGATCAGTCGAAATGAAAACACGATTAGTCGTCGTCGTTATCAGATCAGAAGGCAAAATACGACTAGTAGTCGTCAAAACGCAACTAGTCATCAAAACGCAACTTGTCATCATCAAAACGCAACTAGTCATCATCAAAACGCAACTTGTCATCAAAACGCAACTAGTCATCATCAAAACGCAACTTGTCATCAAAACGCGATTTGATGCCAGATGGCGCCCATTGTACGAAAATCTAGGCCAAGTCACATGATCCACAGTGATCAAAATGGCGGACGTTATTGAAGCAGCATTATCATATTCCTCGCTCGAACTCGAGAATTATCTCGAGTTCGAGATATTATTATATATATAATATCATTATTAGATTGTACGCGTAGAGATAATTCTCGAAATAATAAATAATTAAATAATTTATTAAATAATTTGGACATGTTATAAATTTAAAAAAAACAAAAACACACACTTGTGAAGCACTGCTTTATTGTTGTACTCATTTCACAAGTTCCAGATATTATTATATATATAATATCATTATTAGATTGTACGCGTAGAGATAATTCTCGAGTTCGAGCGAGGAATATGATAATGCTGCTTCAATAACGTCCGCCATTTTGATCACTGTGGATCATGTGACTTGGCCTAGATTTTCGTACAATGGGCGCCATCTGGCGTCAAATCGCGTTTTGATGACAAGTTGCGTTTTGATGATGACTAGTTGCGTTTTGATGATGACAAGTTGCGTTTTGATGATGACTAGTTGCGTTTTGATGACTACTTGCGTTTTGACGACTACTAGTCGTATTTTGCCTTCTGATCTGATAACGACGACGACTAATCGTGTTTTCATTTCGACTGATCTGATAACGATGACGACTAATCGTGTTTTGCATTTTTGTATAAACCGCCGCCCATAATATATCAGCAAAAATATTTTTACAGTGCCATTAGTTGCTCAACAGGCCAAGGTTTTGAGGCTCCACACGGATGTGTGTGTGGGAGAGTATGTGGCAGCTATGGGTGTGGACTCGTGGGAGAAAGAAAAATGGTCAAAAGAATTTCAACAAAAGCAGGTATATGAAACATACTGGTCAGGTTAGGGGTGACCCTTTCCAGTGGATCTGTTATCCCCCATATCATCCCCACCCTCCACTCATTTTATTTTATTCCAAAAACTTTTTAATATATACAGATATAATGAAATATATATATGTTTGTATAGTGTTTAAGTCTTTTCTTTTACTGTAAGTTAATTTTTATCCCAGGCAGTTGACTTTTGGTTGAAGTCATTGTTAGTTATTCTTCTTTTAACAGTACATATATCAGCTTTATAGACTCTGCTCAGTGCTGGAGCTTTTTTTCAAAAAGGATACCCATCTCTTTAGATGAGTCAGTTTAGAAAGGAGTAAGTTTTCTATACAGTCTTGACTTTATAGCTTATGGTGTAAATTTTGTGTTAATTTAATTCCCAAATAAATTTCTTATTTACATTTTCTCTACACACTCTAGCTCCATGTAATGAAACAGTAAACAACTTGAATAAATGTCTGAACTTATTTTCAGGTCCTGGTAATGACAGCACAGATATTCCTTAACATTCTTCACCATGGGTTCTTTCCCATGTGGAAAGTCAACCTCATTGTGTTTGATGAGTGCCACCATGCAGTGAAGAGCCACCCGTATGTCAAAATCATGGACCACTTTGGCCAGTGCGACCCCCTGCACTACCCAAGGATATTAGGACTCACTGCCTCAATTCTTAACAGTAAATGTAAAACACCAGATGAGCTGGAGAGGAAGATGGGGGAACTTGAGGTGACGTTACACAGTTCGGCTGAGACAAGTACAGATATGATCTCACTGGAGACGTATGGAGCCACACCCAAAGAGACCATTGTTGAATGTGATTTATATGAAGACTTCACAGGATTAGTGTCCCAGTTTGGTAGGACATAAAAAGATAAAATTTTAACAAAAGTTATTAATATTTTTTGTTAAATTCATCAGACTTTTTTCTGTGTACTATTTTACTGGTTCCAAACTGACAGGTAAAACTATCCCAAATGTTAGAATTACGTTGGATTGAAGAAAAAGAGAAAAAAAAACTTTTTGCCAGCTTAGTATTGATTTTGTATCCAGTTTCATTTTTGAACTTCGGCAGCATGGATGAATAGTAATTTGATTGTTATTGAATAAAATAAAGAGGGAAAGATATAGAATTGCTAAAACATAGCCACATTACATTACTAGAAGCAAACATTTCATATTGATGCAATGTGATCTCTCACTAACAGATAGCTGTGAGGTTTTGCTATCATATGATCTTGGTGAAGGCCTCAACTGCAAAACATTTTCTCTCTTCAAGTATATATATATATATATATATTGGTGTGTATTACCTTTTTTTCTTCAGATGTCATTCTCAATTCAGCCTTAGACTTTCTCAATGACAGTAACATTGCCTTCAGTGAGGAGGAGAATGAGAGAGACCCCTGTGCTATACCAAGGACAGTGCTAGTAGAGTGTTTGGTGAGCTTCTTTGATATGTTAAACAAACACATACCATACCATTCCAAAGGTGTAAAATTTATAGTTTCCTTTTATAACCAGAACACTTTGGGGCATTTAAGACATTTGTCATGCCTCCCAGCATAAATAAAAAATTAGCAATTAATGTTTTCATTACATTCATGTTGGAGAAAGGTGGTTATTCATTCCAATTAACAACATATTTATTTATTAGCATTGCTTTATATTATTAAACTTGTTAAACATGAAAATGCACATAAAATTTGAACAGTGCTCATCATTGTTCCATGGCATAAGTCAAGTAATATGTCCATGGTTTCCCTCATATTCTTAAGCAAAACACATTAAAAATGTTGACACTGCATCTTTATTTTTATCTTTTTCAACAGGTTTCACTACATCAGTTAGGGCCATGGTGCTGTGACCGCCTTGCTCAAGCTTTCCACAAGCAGTTAGATAAGATACTCGCTCATGAGGCCATGGACATCAATATTCAACTGATTATATATACCCAAACCCAACTCAGAATGATCCACAATCTTTTTATCCACAAGTATGACAGATTGCAAAGTTTGGAGGAGTTACTGAGCTTTGTCAGTCCAAAGGTGCTCAAAACTCTGGAGATTCTCCGGGAATATAAGCCTGATGATGACTTCATGATCATTGGAGGTGGCCCCACAGAGTACATGGATATGGATGCAGAAGTGGCATCAGATGACTCATTTGATACGGATGAGGATGATGATTATGATGAGCCATTCTTTGACATGTCGAAGCAGCAACAGCAGCATAGCCAGATTCACTACATAGCTAGAAAACGTTCCTCTGACGAAAATGTCACAGAAGAGAAAGAAGGTGCATTGTGCGGGATTGTGTTTGTTGAGAGAAGACATGCTGCTTTTGCCCTCCATAAACTAATTGAGGAACTTTGCAACTGGGACACGGAACTCTTCTTTGTGAGGAGCAGTCACATCACTGGGCACTCTGCCAAATCTGGCGGTGTTCGAACTAAGGAGACTGAAAATCAGTTCCGAAAGCAGGAGGAAATTCTTCGCTCTTTCCGCTGCCAAGAGGTCAACCTACTGGTGGCTACCAGTGTGGTAGAGGAGGGGGTGGATGTGCCCAAATGTAACTTGGTCATCCGCTTTGATCCCCCCAGTAACTACCGGTCATATGTGCAGTCTAAGGTCAGGGACAATTTTATTATTTTGTTGTAGAAGTGTGGTTGGTGTATCAGATGATCAAAATATTTATTGTATCATTTTTAGAAGCCCTGTGTGAGGACAAAAGATGGTTTGAGTTTACTTTTGTATATTTGGTGTAGGGGAGGGTTTGGAATAATATATAATAGTCTGGAGGGTGAGACAGCTTGACCTTGTATGAAAGTGCAAACTCAACGTGGCAGAAGCTAAATTGTTAGGAATTGGTGAGTGTAGATGGGGTCAGAAAAATTCTAGGCTGTACACAGGCTCATAGAAAACTGCCTATTATTATTATTATTATTATTATTATTATTATTATTATTATTATTATTATTTTAATTATTATTATTATTATTATTATTATTATTATCATTATCATACTTGTAGGGACGTGCAAGGGCCAAAGAATCTCAATTTGTAATGATTGTGGAGCATGGAAAATTGACAAAATTTCATGAGGATCTACAAACATATCGGGGAATTGAAAAGGTGATTTATTTCATTTCTAAATAATTGTTTTTGTATGTTTTGTATATGTTTTTATTATTGTAGCTAATTTAAACACTTGCAAATAATTATTTTTGCCTTTATAGTATACTGAGTCTGGAGACACTACAAATATTGTTACATTTTCTACAAACTTAAAATAAGATGTGCTGTAATAGTGTTCAAAGACTACAAAAGAAGTTATTTTAAACTATAAAAGTAATGGATGTGTAGTTTTCTCTCACCAAATTATATTTGGTAAATAAATTAATAGGTTTCTTAACCTGTCTCTTTCAGATCCTACTGGGTAAATGCAATGAGTGTGAAGATCAAGATGAGGAAGAACATGACACAGCTACTGTAGATAATCTCATTCCTCCTTACATGCCAGTGAAGGAAGAGGGTGCTCCTTGTGTTACCATGAGTTCTGCCATTGCCCTGGTTAATAGGTCAGTTCTTCCTTTTAATCTTACATGCAAAAGAAAAAGAGAGAGAGGAAAGAAAGATAGAATAGAGTGGTAAATGGTTTATGTAAAATATTTGTATTACAAAAGATATAACATTTATTTTTAATTGGTGCAGTATGTTGGACAGAGACTACAAGAATAAAAGGACAGGTGACAGTTAATGAGTTCATTCTGCCAATTTCCACCCAAAGTGAGAATCAATCACAAGTCTACCAACAGCCAACGGCCTGTGGGCACTTAGCCTGATGATGCTCTTGTGACAAGAGCAAATATGTAGTTTTACTAACAATTTTGTTCCAAAGTAAGCGATTAATATCACGAAAATGTTGGTAAATAAAATTCCTTGCAAACATGAACAATCTTAGTGTTAATTTTCTAGAAATATTGTCTGCCATTCTAGGTACTGTGCCAAATTGCCCAGTGATGCTTTCACCCACCTCACCCCAAAGTGGCACATTGAAGAGCAGGGCACAGACCCTGTTATGTATGTGTGTACATTACGGTTGCCCATTAACTCTCCAGTTAAAGAGCCGTGTGTGGTAAGTAAGGAATGTAAGAAATTATAATTACAAGTTTACATTTACATCAATACACGGGACATGGTGGCCTGCAATGATGTCTTTGTGAAACTGTAATGTTTTCACTGGAATTTTGATGATAAGGAATGATTCTTTCAACAACAGGTAAAACTGTTATTGTATTTTATGTTCTAAATATTTAATTGTTCTAGATTATTTTACACTTCCTTATGGAAATAGAAGTGCATTTTAAGAATGAATTTGTCAGGTCTGACATTTTCTGTTTAAATTTTCCTTTCAGTTTATACAGTGTAAATGGGATATACAGAATGTTACTAATTTTTTCAAAATATTTCAGGGTGACCCTATGTCTAGTCAAAAGTTAGCCAAGATGGCAGTTGCTTTAAAAACTTGCCAGAAACTGCATGAGGCTGGTGAGTTAAAATGTTCAGCAAAATTTTTGTTGCTTGTTTGTATAAGCTGGGAAGAATTTCATGAAAAGAATAATGAAATAAATGTTTTAGCATTGAGTTTTGAAATAAATGTTGTAGAATGTTTTTTTTTACTTACTACAAAAAATTTATGTATGGCTGATATAGCAGATATGGATATATAAATAACATTAAATGAGATATTTATCATATCTTTAGGTGAGTTGGACAATCATTTGCTACCCATTGGCACCATGAGAGAAATGCTGCGCTATGATGATGATGAAAATGAGTGGGACAGTGAGGATGTGCAAGGACAGGCACGACCAGGAACTACCAAAAGGAAACAGTATTATTACAAGAAGGTTGGCCAACAATTTGACCACTAATTTTTTAATAATTTATTTATTTTTTTTTTTTTTGTCCAATTGTTGGAGTTTTTTCAATTGATATATAATGCTCTCAATAAGAGTTTGAATTAAGAGAGAAGACAGAAGTTTGTGCTGTTCTAAAGCAAAACTGTCAAATTTTTATCAGAATTATTTTTGTGTTTAAATTTTGTTTTAATTGAATTAGTGGTCAAAAGAAATTAAGTTCACAGTTCATCAAAGTACTTGGTTACTTTTTAGCTAGCTTCAAATTGAGTGCCTTACAGTATTCTAATAGGAGTCCAGTCCAACTAATTTAACAAAGAGCTGTTTTACAATTTTAGATAGCAGAGGCACTGAGTTGCGAATTTCCACAAGTTGGCCAATCCAGTTTTATGTACGTCATTAATATGAAACTAACCTGTCCCATCACAGAAGACCAAAATACCAGAGGTCGTAAAATCTATGCCCCAGAAGATAACCCGAGATTCTTTGGGATACTGACCACCAAACTGATTCCCAAGGTATGCAGTGCATGGTTTTGGGTTTTGAATTTTCATTTAGACTTGATTTCAGAAATGGGTAATAAAATGTATATTTTAGGTTACAGTTGTATGTATTGGATTTGATATTATTGTAGAATGTCCACAAAATTTTGAAGAAATGCTTATTTTATTTTATTTTATTTTTAAAATTATTTATTTATTTATTTATTTTGAAAATTACGTGCATTCCCACTCAGACTGGAAAATAAAGCGATATGTGCTGTATAACATCTGTGTAACATAGGACACTGTTATTTCATGATTACAATCACATATTTTGTTGCAGATTCCCAATTTCCCAGTGTTCACCAGATCTGGTGAGGTGGGCGTGTCTCTCATACTGGCCCAGACAGATGTGGTCCTCAACGCAGAACAGAATGAGAAGTTGTCCCAGTTTCATCAGTATGTTTTTGAGAGAGTTCTACGTCTGCGTAAAGACCCCATGGTCTACACCCCCAAACAGGCGCCCTCTGGTTGCATTATCATACCAGTGTATAAAGGTTTGTGTTTAAGGATTGGAGGTTCACACTTTAAATATTTTTTATGTTGCTAATTGCTTAAGAGGACTTTTCTTGTGTAATTGATAAGAAACTGTGAAACTAAAATTTAAGTTGATTTTTAGATAAAAAAAATGCTTTTGTGTTTTGTCTTTTTGACCCCAGTTATTACTTTCAGTGTACTTCTTGTACTTAGCTTGATACAGTCCAGTGTTTGTGTATATTTTAGTGATGATATTTTCACAGTTTTATCTGATTAGAAATAATTTTCTGTTGGTGTTGGACTGATGTGTATCAAACAGTTATGAGAAAATGTTTATACCTTTTGAACATTATTTCACTTTTAGTAAAAAGTTTAGATAGCATGTAAATTTTTGTTTATATGTACAGACCACAATTGATATTTTCATTAAATTCATAATGAGGTTCTTATGTATTTTGCTTCAGGAGATGAAGAGAATTATCAGGTGGACTGGGATTTCATCAACAAGATTGACATGACTACGCCTCTCATTAGTCGCCGATCATACCTCTTTAAGCCAGATCGTGAAAAATTCACATTTGAGGATAACAAATTTGAGGATGCAGTGGTCATGCCAGCGTATCGCAACATCGACCAGCCGCAGTTCTTTTATGTGGCTGAAATTCGCCATGACCTCAACCCGAGGAGTTCTTTCCCGTCTCCAGAGTTGTTTCGAACCTTCCAGGATTATTATTTCAGTAAATATGGCCTCAAGTTGACTGACATGAGCCAGCCTCTTTTAGATGTGGATCACACCTCTGCCCGACTCAATCTCCTTACGCCCAGATATGTCAATCAAAAAGGTGTTGCCTTGCCAACCAGTAGTGCCGAAACCAAACGAGCGAGAAGGGAAAATTTGCAACAGAAGCAGATTCTGATCCCTGAGCTCTGTGACATTCACCCATTCCCAGCATCCTTTTGGCGCAAGGCTGTTTGTCTGCCAACAATTCTTTACCGCATCAACTACCTCTTGATAGCAGAAGAGATCCGAATACGCATCTCCTCTGAGGCAGGGATTGGTATAGCTCAGCTACCAAAGGATTACATTTTCCCCAATTTGGATTTTGGTTTTAGACAAGAAATGGAAAAGCAGTGCCTACTGAATGGAATAGGAAGGGAAGATGAAGAGGGAGAGAGCACTGACAGTTTCGAAGATAAAAGTGATGAAGATGAATGTGAACCTAATAAGCCTGCATGTGAAGTAGACACAGATTCCAAGAAAAGTGCAATAAGCACAATCTTGCCTACTACAACTGAAACACATACCTTCAATGGATGTTCTGATGAACATGAGAACAAGGGACAGTTGGATCCAGAAATAAATCATCAGGATGTTCTGCTCCATAAGCGTTCTGGCCTTACTCTTAACCTGTCTCCAGCAACAAATCCCAGTGAACCAAATGCCAAGCAGGTACACAGCATGCCTGACAAGAAGCCTTTATTATTAGAATCTACCTCACCTTTTCCAGAATCTACAGAAGAATCTAGCAAGACAAATGGGAGTCTAGAGCTCTTGAAAAACTGTGATAAGAATCAAGAATTATTTAGAGGGGATAGTATAGAAGTGCAATCAGTGCCTGGTGGTGATTCTGACCCCATGGCCACTGCTGACTGTGATATTAAGGATTCTACTTCAGCTGCCAAGATAAGTTTTGATGCAGATATAGAGCTTGAAAATTATATTGGACCAACCCCAAGTATGCTGATTCAGGCCCTGACCATGTCCAATGCCAATGATTTTTTTAACTTGGAGAGACTGGAAACTATTGGAGATTCTTTCCTGAAGTTTGCTGTTACCATATATCTCTACTGCACCTATCCAGGTATTCACGAAGGAAAGCTGAGTAACTTGCGCAGCAAGCAGGTGAGCAATTTTAATCTGTATCGCCTGGGAAAAGAAGAAGGGACTGGCAGAGTGCATGATAGCCACGAAGTTTGAACCTAATGAAAACTGGCTGCCACCAGGTTATGTGATTGACAGTGAGAAAACTGGAGGGCTGAAGATTCAGATTGCCTCTATGTGTAAGCCAAAGACAAACCAAAGCACCTCCTTGGAAGAGAGCGTAAACCTCACAAATTCCTCTTCACAACAGACGAGTTCCAGCTTGGGCCAACTCCAGCAGAAATTCAACCAAGAACTGGAAGAGATCAATCAAGCTACAGAGACGGATACAGACGACCCGTCAGATGTGTGTGTCATTCCATATGATCTCCGCACGCAGCACAGTCTTCCTGATAAAAGCATTGCTGACTGCGTAGAAGCTCTGATTGGCTGTTACCTGACGCAGTGCGGACCCAAGGCGGCCCTACAGTTCATGTCGTGGGTAGGACTAAAAGTGCTTCCAGAAGTGGAGGAGAAGGAATCTCAGTCGCATGAAAACCGTAAAAGCTGTCATGACAGTGGAAACAATGGGTCGTCTCTTAATGGACATACAGCCATGCCGGTCCCATCAGAGAGAGGGAAGACCAGGTTTCACCCGTTACAGTCACCACCCTCTCCCCTCCTCACACATGTTCCCAAGGCACTGCAGGTCCTGGAGCACTACCTCAGTGGATTTGAACAGTTTGAAGAAACCATTCAGTACAGGTTTAAAGACAGGGCCTACCTCCTCCAAGCTTTCACTCATGCTTCCTACCATTACAATACAGTCACAGATTGCTATCAGAGGTGAATACTTTTATTCTAACTATGTTGTTATTCCCTTGTTTTTGTTTTGTTTTGCAAATCCTTAAAGAAATTATTGCTTCTTACAAAAGAGAAAATTTTAAGCTGATCACATTTAATTTCTGAAGCTCGATATTGCTCATATTATATTTTGGCATGTATTATATATGATGCATAATTATTTTGTCTAAAAGGCTGGAATTCCTTGGGGATGCTATTCTGGATTATCTTATTACCAGACACTTGTATGAAGATGACCACAAGTTTTCTCCAGGTAAGAAGCTTTTTTATGTGTGCTTCTTGTATGTTTGATCGTTTTTTTGTTTTTGTTTTTTTTTTTTACTTTCAAGTTATAAAGCCAGTGCCATAAAATTGATATTTTGTGTTAAATCTCGCACTGAAATATTATCTATGGCAATCTCCCTTTTTGAACTAATTCACTCACCCTCCACCATGGTTCTGTTACTGTGCAGTAATATGAGTGCTAAAACTATTGAATGTCCTTGGTGAATGTTTCATTTCCATCTTCAACTCCATGGACTATTGTATGAGCTTTATAGTAAACTTCATGCTCTTTAGGATTATAAGAACAGCCTGTTGAAGTATATAACCAAGATTACCAACATTTTTTCGTAGGTGTCTCTTTAATTTTATTGTATACATGTATGTTGACAGTAATGAAGAGATATTGCATTGTTTTCACCATTGTTCCCTGTACCACTTCAGGTGTGCTCACTGACCTGAGGTCAGCCCTGGTCAACAACAACATCTTTGCAGCTCTGGCCGTGAAGTGGAACTTCCACAAGTTCTTCAAGGCAGTCTGCCCTCAGCTTTTCTCTGTGATTGATGACTTTGTAGAGTGGCAGAAAGAGAGAGAGGACTTCATCAATGTGGATCAGGAGGTTAGGCTACTGTGTTAAGAAATGGCAGTATGGTTGGTGCATGGTCTCCCAAAATTCTTGCTTTAATTGCCTTGAGAGCATTTTTGTCTTAAATCATAAGGTAACATACTCATCCTTGTGGTTTGTTTTTACCCAACCAAAAATGAATAAGAGCTCATGCTCACATATTAGTTTTTATATGATTGGCTTAATTTTCTTAAATTTTTGAATTGGTCATTAATTTTATTTATATTGATAATATTTATTTGCTAATTAATGAATAAGCTTGTATTTTGTCTGTACAAGCATAGCACAATATACTGAACAACATTTGGTTACATTCATTTATTTGTAACCTAAAGTCTTTTAAAAAGTGGCAGTTTAAAGGGTTTTTCTTTCCATTTTTTATTTAGTTCATGGAAATAGATGGTGACAATGAAGAAGAGGGAGAGGATGTGGAAATTCCCAAAGCACTGGGTGATATATTTGAGTCGGTGGCTGGGGCTATATACATGGACAGCGACATGTCTCTAGACTCTGTTTGGAGAGTGTACTTTCGCATGATGAAACCACAGATAGGTAAGCTGAGATTAGTCATACTTCATTGTGAAATGCCTAAAATTCATGATAAAAAATAGTTCTTGTCTTACAGGGATTAAGTAAGGAAAAGAGTGATTAAAAGCAAATGTTACTGTCACAGACTTTACCCAATTTAATTAACAGATCTGAAAAATTCCCCAATTCTTTTGCATTAAACTATTTTCTCCCAAAGATGACTCATGCTATGTTTCAGAGTACTGTTCACAATTAACATCCTTGTCCTTTTATATGATAGAAAATTACATACTCTAAAGTCATATAACAGTTGTATTATTATTTAAACAGTCACTATTTTGAGGTGTGAAATATTTATATTTATAAAAATCTTTTCCATTTTTCAGATCAGTTCACAGCCCATATCCCCAGATCACCTGTGAGGGAGCTGTTGGAACTGGAACCAGAAACAGCTAAGTTTGAGTAAGTGTATCTGCAATGAGCCAAGCATAAGGTGACTAGGTAGAAAGGCCAAACTCTTTGGGGGGTGGGGGGTGGGGTGGGGTGAGGGAGTATGTGTATATGCAGTGACCCTAGTATAAGGTTACTAGGTAGATAGGTCCAACTCGGGGGGGGGGGGGGGGGACTCTCGCTGAATGCACTCAGATTTACAGAACGACATGCCACCTCGAGCAGCTAGGGTTGATTAACTTTTGCTTTCCAAAGCTTTTTCACCCATGTTTTAAGTGTTCAATGCCCATTAGGAAAACTCTGAGCATAGGTAAACCTGTTAGGGGATGGTTTCATGTATTTAAGATTTTTTATTTGTTTTTTTTTTATTATTATTCTTAGTCCACAGTTAAATTAATGCTCCTTTTGCACTTTTTTTTCATATTTTCTCATTGCTTTTAATATGGATTAGGAATGTTGTATTTCATGAAATTCCATTGGGTGTATTTTAATTATATAATACTCTCACATTACTTAAGATTTATTTCTTCTTAAGTTGGTTTATCTTTTGCTCAATATTTTCATCCTTGTTTATTTACTTCTAGAAAACCAGAAAGAACCATGGAAGGAAAGATACGAGTAACTGTGAATGTGGTGGGCAAAGGCTCGTTCCGAGGACTGGGAAGAAATTACAGAATTGCCAAAAGCACAGCGGCAAGAAGAGCTCTCAAGTACATTAGGATGATTAAGTTGCAGGAAACTTTAGCACTAAGGAAGGCAATGGCCCCAAGTCTTTTATTTAGCCAGCAGTAAATGTAATATTAAAGGAGTACCTGGTGTGCAGAAATAGACAGATTAAATTAATTTTTCTTAAGCAGCAGTTTATTGTAAACCAACCTGTATCTGGCATTTGGGATATGTGATCTTTTGTACAGTATATTCTTGCTATAATAGTGAGCTGCCCCATCTTGTGGCTTTTCATATTTGAATACCGGTGATCATGTATTTCATAGAGTATTTTCCCTGTACGATCATTCTGACTTAGGCATGGCATTTTTACCTTGTTTTTATGATTGGTATATTTTATTTTGATAATCTCTGGGAGTTTTCAAGTTCATTTGTTGTTGAGATAAAAGTTGTCATCCTATCGAGTGCCATGTTCAGGTGCTAAAATGTATGTGTACTCATCGCTACCTTTGATAAAATTGTTATATATGACAAAGCTCTGGTGTTACTCTGAACATAGTTTTGTCAAAAGGTGCTAGGTTTTGGTATCTTAGTTTTGTGCCAATTGTATTTTAAGAATTGTATCTAGAACAGTGTCACTTTATCTGGCTCCCTGGCATTTTAAAAATATGTTGTGATGTTATATGGTTTCATTAATCTTTGAACAGCTGAGTCATTATAAACTGGGTATCATTCATTAGTTGGACTGCTTTTTGTTTTGGAAATATATGGACGTTGATAGCTCCAAATTTTTCCAAAATTTCATTGATTTCTAGTTTTAAAGTAATGATATGTTTATGTTATAATATGCCCACCAATATTAAATTTTAATGTTATACATAGTAATAGTGTTAACATGTTTGCCAAAGCAACAGGTTAAAGATGAGAAAAAAGTCATTGCTGTGCAGTTAAACTTAATTTTTTTTTAAGGAACCAGTTGTACCCTTGGTTTTATTATTGGGAGGTTGTCTCCAGTGGTCATTAACGACAAAGGAAGTGAATTAGAAGTAGGATGTGGATTTTAAACAGGTTTTAATCTACTCTCTAAAGGTGTAATGCAAACTTGAATTTTTGAATCTCTCTGGTGATGATAATTTATCCTCATCTCTGGCCTCTGTGACGTTTTCCATGGCTTTTCATAATGTGATATTTATGCAGCTGATGCCACCTTATTGTTGTAAACTTGGTATCATAAGTCATATAATGGCAACTGTTTACCAAAAAATTATTTTTATACAAAAAAGGAACAGTTTCTATGGGTTTACAGGTGTCAGACACTGTTAATCTAAAATACTGAGGGAACGAGGCTTAAAGTTTTGCCATATTGATGGCGTATGCGCATCAAACAAGCATGGAAATGTAAAGTAGCTAGTCTTAGAGTGTAGGGCGAGTAAAGAAGAATCATAATTATACATATATTTTAAACACCTCACTTATTGCAAACATTTCAGGATTTTTTTAACTACACAAAAAACATTTTTAACAATTCCCAATTAAGAAGCAAGTATTTAATGATTTAACATTTTAGGGAAATATAATTACATATTTATATTTGAATATCAATTTATTTCTGATTTTATTTGATTTCCATTGTGTTATATACTTGTAGATAATGTCATGTAAAAAAGAACTATTAATGGTATCTTTATAGGGCTTAAGTTCACTAATTTTAAACTTGAAGTAGTAGAACATATTTCATTCTGAATTTAATATCTCTACCACAGTTTTCTTTTATGAAGCGATTTTGAAAGCCAAGAGGATGTATGATTTTTGGAAGAGCAATATTTTGGTCACAACAGCAATATGACAATGAATATCAGATTGTAGAAAACAAATATGAATAAAGTATGATTATTGTTTAAAAAGTGATTTATTTTATATTAAATGCTTAAGATCTCGGAAATTTCAGTGGAAGTGAGAAGGGATATGATTTGCCTCTCCTTTAGTAGCATTTTCTGTTCTCATCTGCATCTTGGAAGTGGATTGTTCAGCTGCTGTATGGAAGTCTTTTGAGAGAGAATAAGTCCCTTGTATTCAAACTTAATGTCATTGTAAAATAAGCAGTAACATCTATCTCTCTATAAGCAAACAATTGTAACAGAATAAGTAATTAGATGCACAGTTGTTATTACTCAATAATATTACCTAAATATTTTTGTTTTGCTTCCATGCAATGTGCATATTCATGTATATTTTTCCTATCTTTGTTACTTTTTGAAATATCCACTTATGTCAATCTACTGAATTACACACGCCTCTGAATTATCAGTAGTCCTGTTTGAGATTTTAGCAAGGCAGATTGCTTCCATCCAGTTTATTTGCTCTTGTGCTGTGTCTGCACAGAAATAAAATGTCCTTTTCTTGCCTTTAGGTTTGATACTGAAACCATTTATTTTGTTGTCAATGTCAGATTCGGCGATTTCGGCACCAACCAATGAAACAGCTTTCATTTTTGCCCTTGGAATCTGAAATTATATAANATCTGCAGTGACCCTAGTATAAGGTTACTAGGTAGATAGGTCCAACTGGGGGGGGGGGGGGACTCTCGCTGAATGCAATCAGATTTACTGAACGACATGCCACCTCGAGCAGCTAGGGTTGATTAACTTTTGCTTTCCAAAGCTTTTTCACCCATGTTTTAAGTGCTCAATGCCCATGAGGAAAACTCTGAGCATGGGTACACCTCTACGGGATGGTTTCATGTATATAAGATTTATTATTTGTGATTTCTTTCAATACTTCTTATCTTAGTGCACAGTTGAATTGAGGCTCCTGTTGCACTTTTTTCAGGTTATATATATATATATATATATTTAATTAATTAATTAATTAATTAATTAATTTTTTTTTTTGCAGACATTGCACTCAATATGGATTAGGAATGGTGTATTTGAAATTCCAGTGGGTGTATTTTAGTTACATAAGGTTTATTTCTTCTTTTAAAAGTTAATTTTTCTTTTGCTCAATATTTTCATCCTTGTTTATTTACTTCTAGAAAACCAGAAAGAACCATGGAAGGAAAGATACGAGTAACTGTGAATGTGGTGGGCAAAGGCTCGTTCCGAGGACTGGGAAGAAATTACAGAATTGCCAAAAGTACAGCAGCAAGAAGAGCTCTCAAGTACATTAGGATGATTAAGTTGCAGGAAACTTTAGCACTAAGGAAGGCAATGGCCCCAAGTCTTTTATTTAGCCAGCAGTAAATGTAATATTAAAGGAGTACCTGGTGTGCAGAAATAGACAGATTAAAGTAATTTTTCTTAAGCAGCAGTTTATTGTAAACCAACCTGTATCTGGCATTTGGGATATGTGATCTTTTGTACAGTATATTCTTGCTATAATAGTGAGCTGCCCCATCTTGTGGCTTTTCATATTTGAATACCGGTGATCATGTAAGTATTTCATAGAGTATTTTCCCTGTACGATCATTCTGACTTAAGCATGGCATTTCTACCTTGTTTTTATGATTGGTATATTTTATTTTGATAATCTCTGGGAGTTTTCAAGTTCATTTGTTGTTGAGATAAAAGTTGTCATCCTATCGAGTGCCATGTTCAGGTGCTAAAATGTATGTGTACTCATCGCTACCTTTGATAAAATTGTTATATATGACAAAGCTCTGGTGTTACTCTGAACATAGTTTTGTCAAAAGGTGCTAGGTTTTGGTATCTTAGTTTTGTGCCAATTGTATTTTAAGAATTGTATCTAGAACAGTGTCACTTTATCTGGCTCCCTGGCATTTTAAAAATATGTTGTGATGTTACATGGTTTCATTAATCTTTGAACAGCTGAGTCATTATAAACTGGGTATCATTCATTAGTTGGACTGCTTTTTGTTTTGGAAATATATGGACGTTGATAGCTCCAAATTTTTCCAAAATTTCATTGATTTCTAGTTTTAAAGTAATGATATGTTTATGTTATAATATACCCACCAATATTAAATTTTAATGTTATACATAGTAATAGTGTTAACATGTTTGCCAAAGCAACAGGTTAAAGATGAGAAAAAAGTCATTGCTGTGCAGTTAAACTTGATTTTTTTTTTAAGGAACCAGTTGTACCCTTGGTTTTATTATTGGGAGGTTGTCTCCAGTGGTCATTAACGACAAAGGAAGTGAATTAGAAGTAGGATGTGGATTTTAAACAGGTTTTTAATCTACTCTCTAAAGGTGTAATGCAAACTTGAATTTTTGAATCTCTCTGGTGATGATGATTTAGCCTCATCTCTGGCCTCTGTGACGTTTTCCATGGCTTTTCATAATGTGATATTTATGCAGCTGATGCCACCTTATTGTTGTAAACTTGGTATCATAAGTCATATAATGGCAACTGTTTGCCAAAAAATTATTTTTATACAAAAAAGGAACAGTTTCTATGGGTTTACAGGTGTCAGACACTGTTAATCTAAAATACTGAGGGAACGAGGCTTAAAGTTTTGCCATATTGATGGTGTATGCGCATCAAACAAGCATGGAAATGTAAAGTAGCTAGTCTTAGAGTGTAGGGCGAGTAAAGAAGAATCATAATTATACATATATTTTAAACAACTCACTTATTGCAAACATTTCAGGATTTTTTTAACTACACAAATAAAAAACATTTTTAACAATTCCCAATTAAGAAGCAAGTATTTAATGATTTAACATTTTAGGGAAATATAATTACATATTTATATTTGAATATCAATTTATTTCTGATTTTATTTGATTTCCATTGTGTTATATACTTGTAGATAATGTCATGTAAAAAAGAACTATTAATGGTATCTTTATAGGGCTTAAGTTCACTAATTTTAAACTTGAAGTAGTAGAACATATTTCATTCTGAATTTAATATCTCTACCACAGTTTTCTTTTATGAAGCGATTTTGAAAGCCAAGAGGATGTATGATTTTTGGAAGAGCAATATTTTGGTCACAACAGCAATATGACAATGAATTTCAGATTGTAGAAAACAAATATGAATAAAGTATGATTATTGTTTAAAAAGTGATTTATTTTATATTAAATGCTTAAGATCTCGGAAATTTCAGTGGAAGTGAGAAGGGATATGATTTGCCTCTCCTTTAGTAGCATTTTCTGTTCTCATCTGCATCTTGGAAGTGGATTGTTCAGCTGCTGTATGGAAGTCTTTTGAGAGAGAATAAGTCCCTTGTATTCAAACTTGATGTCATTGTAAAATAAGCAGTAACATCTATCTCTCTATAAGCAAACAATTGTAGCAGAATAAGTAATTAGATACACAGCTGTTATAACTCAATAATATTACCTAAATATTTTTGTTTTGCTTCCATGCAATGTGCATATTCATATATATTTTTCCTATCTTTGTTACTTTTTGAAATATCCACTTATGTCAATCTACTGAATTACACACGCCTCTGAATTATCAGTAGTCCTGTTTGAGATTTTAGCAAGGCAGATTGCTTCCATCCAGTTTATTTGCTCTTGTGCTGTGTCTGCACAGAAATAAAATGTCCTTTTCTTGCCTTTAGGTTTGATACTGAAACCATTTATTTTGTTGTCAATGTCAGATTCGGCGATTTCGGCACCAACCAATGAAACAGCTTTCATTTTTGCCCTTGGAATCTGAAATTATATTATTATAAAATTATATACGGATTGCCTTAAATCTTTATGTTATCTTGAACGTCAATTAACACTGACCATTAATGTTGCCTTCACACAGACGATGGTTTCTTTTCTTATTGCAGCAAACACCATAA